CTTCTGTCGCCGCAGCGTGTCAGCAAACATCGCAGTCACTTCCGGACTGTCCCATCGTGATGTCGGTAACGCAGCATAGGGAGTCGCATCGCTGTAAAGGTGATACTGCAACTCCTCCCTCTTCAACAAGGCTGCCATTACTGCGTGCGGCGCGAGTCGCACAGGTCTTCGCCGATCAAAAGGCAAGCAGTCGCCGAAAAAGAATTCTGTGAAAGCGAGACACCAGGATTCAGGGACGAACATTGACAATAGCTGACCTGCTTGCACCAATACCACGCTTGCATTTGATCCCTGTGGGTTCTCCAAAAGCTGCAACTCCTTTTCAATCTCTTGCTCATGTCTCTCCCCAAGCCTCCGACAAACTTCACGCAGCTCCAGAGCGTGACCACGACAAGTTTCTCGCGCTGCTGTCAGTTGCATGCCTGCGACCACTCTTGCTTCGCCTTCAGCTGCTTGCACCTTTTCTTCCTTTCTCTGGATCCTAGCCTGATCTTCTTGCAGCCGACGAACTTGTTCTTGCACTACGATGTAGTGCTGTAACGGATCATTCTCCGCAGCTTCGTCCAGCCCAATCAGATTTTCCGCTTCCTCCGCCTCCGCCTGCCCGACCTGTCCCCGCGCAGCCGCAGAGCATTCCTCTCCCTCCTCTTCGAGGCCGACAGGCTCTTCGTCAGACATAGCCATCTCCAAGTGCTCGTCCTCGCGGGACACTGCGGCAACGTCCACAGCACGAGACGACGCAGGACCACTCAAGTTCGGTCGAAACACATTTGCTTCGTCCATATGCACTGCGCCTGCAACGATTGCCGGAGGTGCTTCGTGCTCCCGCAGTTCCGTGGCAGCCCTTGCTTCATCGATGTCCACATCAGAAAACAAAGGGCACCTGGATCGCCGGAGACGAGCACACTCCAAATACAGAGAACGAGGCACCTGCAATGGCTTTGCTTTGGCAACATCTGCTCGAGCAACTGAGAACACAACCTGCAACTGTTCGCCCACGTCTCCCATCGGAGGAGGCAAGGATTTGACAATGGCAGACGTTTTCGGCTGGGCAATGAAGGTCGTGTTGCCCTGCAGACCATGCTGCAACTCGAAGGCCTCCCGTCCATGTTTCTTGTTCAGCACTACTTTCCGATACAATACCCGGGCCTGACCCAAGAGCATCCGGGTGGCTGGCAAGCTTCGCAGCGTCTGATAAAGCGGATGCTCACGCCCTCCCCACATATCATTCGCCAGCGCTCTCTTTGGAAGCGCGGGCTTGTGATGGCACAAGCTCTGCGCACACCACCTACACAACACGACCGTGGCATTAGCGTCACCAACGCCAGCGCACGGCGGCCGCACGTCCTCCGCCACACCGGCATCCTGCTCCTGCACTACCGCGCAGTCTTCCGTCTCAGCCGCAGAGGACCCGCTTCCCGCGCCAGCAGAATCTGCTTCCTCCTGCACAGGCACTCGACGCGTGTGCAGTAACCATCGGCTAGCAGGAAAAGCCGGATGTTGCACGGAACTTGCGTGGAGTTCCTCGACTGGAATGCACGGCCACCTCGCTGCGTAGCTTTCTACACTGAGAAACTTCTGGACGTCTTCGGCTGCTCCGCAATACAATATCCCGGCCTTGTCTTGCAACAGCTGCCGCTGGGGCTTCCTCCGCGCCTCTCCTTCGGACTCATCGCTAGCCTTGGATAGAGCAGCATCCTGTGCCTCCAGGTCCTCGCGGACCGTCTCTTCGCCAAGAGGAAAAGATCGAAAGAGATAGCACCGGCGCATCCGCTCGGTCCACTCCTTCGTCGCGCACACCGCGCATCCCACGAGCGCACGTGGCTCACGCTCGCGCGCTCGTGGATGGCGCTGCTGCCGCGCCCCGGACGCCGCCACTTTGGTTGTCTGTGCGGGGGCACTCACCAGTTGCGTGGCCGCGTTGCCCAGGGCGCGGCGCTTCTGCGCCCAAGATAACGGTAAGGCGTCACACGGATCGGCCGCTTCGTACTGCGCATGCCAAAAAACACGCTTGCGGTACTCCGCCCAATTGATATGCTTCGTGTCCACATGCTTGCCCAGATCCGACCATTCAACAAAGCCATCCCCGCAGAGTTGACAAGGTCTCGGCGCCGTCAAGACAGGCAACAACTCTTCAGACAGTGTCCGGCACGCGCGGAAACCAGCCATGACAGCGGCCTCCCGCTTGAAATGCGGAGGCGACGCGTACGTGTCCACGCGCTCAGACAAGATGTACGTAGCAGAGGGTGCCTTCAGCAGTCCCCGGCTTTCTGTCACAACCTCCTGCACGCGGGGCTTCCTGTGCTCTCGATGTTGCAAAATACCAAACCAGGCCACCCACACCATGAGCGTGGCCAACGACGCCGTGGCCCAAAGCTCTCGAAGCGTGTGAACTGACAGGAAGGTGTCGAAGTCATTCACCAGAGTCGCAAGATGCTCTCGCTCCTTCACATTCCAGGCGCTTTCAAACCACGCTGCTTGGTCCGGCATACTGTTCCGTGCAGATTCCAGAGCATTCACCAAGGTGTCGACGCTCCCCACACATCTTTTAGCTTGACATCGCGCTCGCATCACCTCCACCACCAAAGGTCCATCCAACAACGGCAACTCAATCCGCCGTGCAACCACAGCCGCATGCTCCAACTCCATGCCCGCCAAGCGCCGCAGGACATGCTGACCATCCCAGTGATGCGGAATATGCACGTGCCGGAAATCTTGCGCAAAAGGCGTACACTTCCTTTGCTGGACATCTTTCAGGCTACCTGCGAAAGCTTGTACTGTTTGTGGACTTCGAAGAAGCGTTTCCGGATCTTCTCGACAAAAGTTGCGCACGGCACACCAGCACTGCGGGTCCAACTGCAGGAACCTCCGGAAACGCTCTAGAGCTCCACGACGCGCTTCCAGTGTCGCAAACGCGGATGATGGACGCACCACCCGCTTCTGGTACTTCCGTCTTTCTTTGCAGCCTGCATGCTCACAGTTCCTGCATGCTCACAGTTCCTGCATGCACACCTTCCAATAGATTGCTTAGTTCCTGCGGCACCGGCAACACCGCTCGTTTCTTGCCAGCTAGAGTCTTGCGCGGCACGACGCGATTCTGCTGCAGCCACACGACAGCCTCCGCCAAAGTACCGAGGTCGCTGTCCGACAAAGGCCGGCCAGCGGCAACCTGCACGCGTTGCTCCACCAACGCGCCGGAACTGCTCGGGTTTACGTCCGCTGCCGCGCGCGCAACCGCAGACACAGTCATGCCCTGCTCCGCGTCCAAGGCGTCGCTAACCCGCGTTTCTTTCAGAAATCGAATGCAGGCGCCGCGCAACTCGGAGCGCACACTTTGCACTGCGCGGTTTCTGCCACTGGCATTTCGTATTTCGATCCCCCACACACGGCTCGCTTTCCTGAGCTCATCGGCACCCGCTCCCAACGCACGAAGGAGCTCTGTCACTCTGGCCGCTTCCTGCGCCACGAGGACCTCTCCGTACTCTTCCAGTTCCCTCCCCATCTCGCCAGGCACGGCGTAGTCCAGCAGAGCCTGAAATGAAACCGCCGGCAGCACGGCGAGAAGCTTGTCCGTCACCAGCGCCCGAAGCTCTTCCTCCTGCAAAAATCTCCTACCTTGTGTCCGGCTAATCCCTGCGTTCTTGCACGCTGTCCGTAAGCCCTGTCGATCCGAAGATAAACCTTCCAACAAAGCACCCGCCTGCGCAGCCGCAAGGTCTCCCAAGACACATGACCCGAGATGCTCGAATTCCGCGCGCGCATCAGCAGGCGCGGCTTCCAGCAGCATCGCCAAGGTAACCTGCACGCTTGGCTCCACCAACGCGCCGGAACTGCTCGGGCTTATGCCCTCACCCGCGCGCGCAACCGTAGACGCAGTCATGTCCTGCTCCGCCTCACCCAAGGCGTCGCTAACCGGCGTTTCTTTCAGAAATCGAATGCAGGCGCCGCGCAACTCGGAGCGCACACTTTGCACTGCGCGTGTTCTGCCACTGGCATTTCGTATTGCGATCCCCCACACACGGCTCACTTTCCTGAGCTCATCGGCACCCGCTCCCAATGCACGAAGGAGCTCTGTCACTCTGGCCGCTTCCTGCGCCGCCACGAGGACCTCTCCGTACTCTTCCAGTTCCCTCCCCATCTCGCCAGGCACGGCGTAGTCCAGCAGAGCCTGAAATGAAACCGCCGGCAGCACGGCGAGAAGCTTGTCCTTCACCAGCGCCCGAAGCTCTTCCTCCTGCAAAAATATCCCGGCTAATCCCTGCGTTCTTGCACGCTGTCCGTAAGCCCTGTCGATCCGAAGATAAACCTTCCAACAAAGCACCCGCCTGCGCAGCCGCAAGGTCTCCCAAGACACATGACCCGAGATGCTCGAATTCCGCGCGCGCATCAGCAGGCGCGGCTTCCAGCAGCATCGCCAAGGTAACCTGCACGCTTTGCTCCACCAACGCGCCGGAACTGCTCGGGCTTATGCCCTCACCCGCGCGCGCAACCGCAGACGCAGTCATGCCCTGCTCCGCCCCACCCGAAGCGTCGCTGACTGGCGTTTCTTTCAGAAATCGAATGCAGGCGCCGCGCAACTCGGAGCGCACACTTTGCACTGCGCGTGTTCTGCCACTGGCATTTCGTATTGCGATCCCCCACACACTGCTCACTTTCCTGAGCTCATCGGCACCCGCTCCCAATGCACGAAGGAGCTCTGTCACTCTGGCCGCTTCCTGCGCCGCCACGAGGACCTCTCCGTACTCTTCCAGTTCCCTCCCCATCTCGCCAGGCACGGCGTAGTCCAGAAGAGCCTGAAATGAAACCGCCGGCAGCACGGCGAGAAGCTTGTCCTTCACCAGCGCCCGAAGCTCTTCCTGCTGCAAACTTCTCCCACCTTGTTTCCGGCTAATCCCTGCGTTCTTGCACGCTGTCCATAAGCCCTGTCGATCCGAAGATAAACCTTCCAACAAAGCACTCGCCTGCGCAGCCGCAAGGTCTCTCAAGACACATGACCCGAGATGCTCGAATTCCGCGCGCACATCGGCAGGCGCGGCTTCCAGCAGCGTCGCCAAGATTATTGCGCCAATGGCTGCGCAAGCATCACTACAAAAGGCAAGATCTGTGTGTTTCTTTCACCAGGGTGCCTGAGTTAGTGAGTTAGCTAGCTAGGTAGCTTCTTCCTTTGTTCTCGTTGTTTTGTCTCTGTATTTCTTCCTTTCTATGAATGTGGCGCTGTTGCTGTTGCTGTTGCTGTTTTTTTGGTTGTTGTTGTTCAGAGTACCATCGAGACGCCGTCGCAGCACAGAAGCACCATCCAAGCATGCCCAAAGAAAGGGAAACAAGCTCGCGCGGACAGGGCGGGGACGGGAGGGCCGGACCACGGAATCGAGCCCGGGACCTTTCGCCGGAAAGCCGGACCACGAGACAAAACCCCCACGGTGCCCGGAGCCGCCAAAAAGGCAAAAAAAACGAGTTTGTGCGAGCCTGCGCAGTCGAAACGCGCTTCAACATCAAGCAAGAGCAAGAATCTGCGGTAAATACCACGCAAAACGCTCGCGGCCAGAAGTCGCCAACTCACTTTTCTGCGAGCCTGCGCAGTCGAAACGCACTTCGACATCAAGCAAGAGCACGAATCTGCGGTAAATACCACGCAAAACGCTCGCGGACAGAAGTCGCCAACTCACTTTGTGCGAGCCTGCGCAGTCGAAACGCACTTCGACATCAAGCAAGAGCACGAATCTGCGGTAAATACCACGCAAAACGCTCGCGGCCAGAAGTCGCCAACTCACTTTGTGCGAGCCTGCGCAGTCGAAACGCACTTCGACATCAAGCAAGAGCACGAATCTGCGGTAAATACCACGCAAAGCGCTGGCGGCCAGAGCGGGCACCTCAATCTGGCACCAAGGCCTTTTCTCTTACCGTAAGAACCCCTCAGTGTAGACACACTGTTTGGGGAAAGATGCCGTACTCCCCCCATTAAAACCCACTTCGAAAAGCCAGCGACCACGGCTTGAAAACCCTTCAAACCGTCCTGAGCCTTGGAAACACCTTCGGCACCCCCGAACAAACCCCCCCCTTAAAACCCCACGCCCTAGAAACACCTTCGGCACCCCCATCCAAAACCAACCCAAAAATCCCAATCGCGTCCAGGACCTCTACGAGACCTTCCGCAGCTCGCCGGGGCACCAGCGCCTTTGGCGCAGCCGGGAGGCCAGAGACTTCCTGCGGCGCCTGCTGGTCGCGCGCCCGGAGGACCGGAGTCGCATTGGATGTGCGGGTCGGATTCGGATTCGCCATGGGGCTGTTTCACCTGGGCGAAACGCTTACTTCCATTGGCTGAAATGAATTCATGGGTTTCCTTTTCCTCTTTTGTGTTAGGGAATCAGATTCACTGGACATATATTTGTATATTTTTCCAGGGGGCTTAAACAAATTGAGAAATTTGGTGCTCTTTTGAGCGGCGAGTGTAGTTAAAAAGAGATGGGTTGCACTGGTTTAGATTTACCGAAGCCCATCCATGTTTCCAAGAGGTCGCCTATGTTTGTCACCTTGAAGATCACCCCCAAATGGCCAAAGGACCTTGGGGTATATGTGGCTATGCCCTTGTTAGCGGCTGTTTTTGGTGGCTGTATATCTCATTCAAGCCCTGGGGCAGTGGTTTGAGGGTATATTGGAAACCAGCTTGGAGTTTGGTATGTTCTCCCTTGCGCATTGACCATTGCTTTTTTGGCAGGATGCTGTGGACAACATCCCGCACCGGGGATGAAACCCTAGACATCCTGGTAGAAACCACAAATCCCAGCTGTAGCTGGCCCCTGTGCCTGTGGATGGACAACATCCTAGCGCCCTAGAAAGATTGGGAGAGACCCACGAATCCCGACAGGTGCACAATTTTTTGCGCATCCACCTCGGCCTTTCTCGGGGCAGCGAGCCCCAACTTGCCCTTGCCGCACCCAATCCCAGGACTACTTGGGCTCCCGGGGCCCACGTTTCTACAATCGTTTGGGGTTTGGTGCTGCAAAATAGCTTTAGGTGTCCATGGGAAACAGATGTGGAGTGCAGATTAGGAGCCAGTGTGGCACCAGCAAGGAGGGCTTTGCACCTAAGCCTTTGCTTTTTCTCTCAGGTTGTCCCCCCGATGCCTCCTACTTGGTGGTTTGGGTTGGTGGCTTGGGGATTTGAACCCCTAACTCTTCCAAAATATAAAATTGGCCCTCCTGAACCACCACACCAATCCAAACCACCAACTGGAGGGAAGTTGATGCCTTGGTCAATTGATACTTGTTCGCCTTCTCTTCGATGCGCGCGCGGAAAGCGGCATCGGAGCCAGGACCGACCAACTGCCGAGGAGGACCGGCGCGCGCGATCGGCGCACTTCAGGAAGGGAGCTGCTTTTACCTGACCCGTGGGCGCGTTTTTTGAGGGTACAACCTTTTGAGGCTGTTCAAGTGGAAGCCACATGGCTTCAGACCGCCAGCTTCGGTTTCCCAAACTGAGAGGCCCGCGGTGCGAAGAAAACAGGTGCACCGAAAACGCCAGGCGTAAAGAGAGACCAATCTCCAGGCGTTGCTTCGCTTGCGCCCGCGACATCGGAGCAGGAGCATCAACCCTGGTAGCCATGCAAGCTAGAGAGCCATTATCCGTCAGGTATCCCTCAATTGGTAGTTTGGATTTGTGGCTTGGGGATTTGAATGCCTGGTTCTGGTAGAGGGATGGGCCATCCCCGAAACCTCCAGATCGCCAGCACCGGCCAGAGGGAAGCTTTCCGGGAGGCTTTTGTTTGCGTTTCGTCTTTGGTTAAGACTTTCTGGAGGGTTTCTTTTTTACCATTTTCCCTTTTTACCTCGATCAAGCTGGCCGTCACCTGTGAGCTCGCGCCCGAAGGCTCTGGCCCACCCGTGGCTCGTGCGGCACCAGCCGGACCCGGTGCCCATTGACCAGGCCCCTTGGAGTCCTTCGGGAGGTGGATTGGGCCATGAGCCACTGGCGAAGGTTCTTTGGGGGAAGGAGGGAGCTTCCTTTCAGATTGCCCGGATGAAAATGAATGCCTTCTGTTAGAGGGATGGAGGACGATGTTCCTCTTTCTGGTTGGGTCCATGGCAGTTACTGGGTACCAGGAAGCATGAAGCCTGTGGTCTTGAGTAAGCAGAAGGAAATAAGACCCCCTGGAAATTCTACACCACAAATCCAACCAAGCGAGTGAGGAGAAACAGATTTCTTCCGGGGTGGGAGGGCTAGGATTGGCTCCCAATTACCGTGTTCCTTGCGGGACGTGCAAAGCTCACTGCGGCTTTGACGCGTCTCCTAAGATTGGCCCCTCAAGCTTGGAACGAGTTATGGTGTAGTGCGCATTTGTGACTTTGTGCTTTGAATCTGCAACACCAAACCGAGTCGCCATCAGTGGATCCCAAACATCCCGATTTTGCGGATCCACGTGGTTTCCTGTTGGGTGATTTGGGGCCGTGGTTTCTGGGCGAATGACAGCCCAGGCGGGAGGCTTAGCTCCCACCAATAGGGGCAAGGGGATTCATGGGCCACCTCCGTTATGTCGTGATGACCGAACTGTTTTTTTGTTGCCGGACATGATGTCAGGTAGCGCACTTTCTGTGACTGGAGGGAGGGTAGACTTCCATTTGCTTCAGAATATATTTTATTTTCCCCTGTTGGTTTTAAAGGGAATCTATCACTACGTCAAATATTTTGTATTTTGTTCCAGGAGTCTTAACCAAGTGGAAGTAGAACCATCTCTCAACCAGCAGAACACAGCAAACAAGTGGTGGCATCCGCATCTAGCCAGGCGCTGCTGCAGAGCTTTGCCGGCTTCACTGAGGCTTTGCGGGGTGCCAAAAAACGGCGATTGTGGATAAGGAAGCCTTGGACAAACTTGGGGTGAGAAAAAAATGGGCGTGTCTGTGTGTTTGTTTTAAAGGTTGGACCCGCCCCCCCCCCCCCCACAAAAAAAAAGAAGAAAAAATGGAAAGAAGGTGGAATTCCTTTGGGCTCACACCTTTAAAACCACCAAACAAGGCATCAACCACCCTCGACTTCGATTGGCGCATGTGTTTGCCAGAAGAGCAGGACATCCCAAAATAAATCCGGAAAGACCAACCGTTGAACGCCTAAGGCGACTTCAAGGAAGCCCTTGAAACCAAAGGTACAGATTCATGAATCAGGGGACGAAGTGAAAGGGATCTGAAGTTGGAAGCGTTGGTGAAACTCGCGGGGCGACAAATCGGACTTTTCCTGGCCATGTTTGGTGTCTTGAATTTCTACTCAATGGTCCGAAGCCGACCTGAAATGACAACTTGTTTGGGTTTTCCAAGTTGGCCTATTTTGGTTTTCCCATTTTTGGCTTTCCTGGCCACTGTTGGTTTTCTCACTTTGTTGTCATTGACCTGTTTTTGGCTTTTCCCCTTTTGGTCCATGAAAAAGGCACGGCTGTATTTCTGGGTCCGACCAGCCGAGTGGAGGATCGGTCTCCTCCCTCGTGGGAATGGCAAAAATGCGCAGCAGAAGGGAAACTACGAGAGACCAAAGAAACAAGTTGACAATTCCTACCAACGGCGACTTCAAGACCACTCTTCAAGCAAGTCCATGTAAAAGATGTCCATGAAGGGTCCTCAATTGAAATTCCGACCGTATCCCTTCCCTCCCACCGGAATGTGGTTTTAATGTTGGCATTCGGACACACGAGTGTCAGCGTTTCTGCGGAGCGGGATTTTTCGTGCCAAAACGGGGGGCGGGGGGGGGGGGGGGCGGACACGGTTCACTCTTTTCAGGCTTCTTGTGCCGAAAAAGCATCCACGTGTCGCGCGGCAAAAGGCATCCGGGGCTCGAAGCTCCCTGATGCGGAGGCGCCACAGATGCACCGGAGCTGCCTCTATGCCTTGGCAGGCAAGGGCTTCTTGGAGGAGCCCAGGACCTCAGCGGGCGGTTTGAGGCGACTCAAATCCGGAGCTTCAGAAGCCCTGCTCATGCTGGTCTACTTTCCTAGGCCCCCAGTACCCTTTTTGGGGGAAGGGTTCCCCTACTAAAATAGACAAAAATGAAGAAGGGGTACCCTTATTCTAACCTCTCTACAGGATGACCTAGTTTTCGCTGGAGTGGAAAAGAGCCGGCTCTACCCATCAGTTTTGCTGGTGTCTCATTGACTGCGACTTGATGGAGTCTCTCAAAGAATGGCTTGGACTGACCCCAAAGGGAAGCATCCAACTGATTGCTTGATAGGGCATCCATATCATTCCATATGTCCCAACCCGGGTGATGCTGATGCCCTGAGATCCATCGGTAGGCCCTCCGGCCTACAAAGGAAGGTGTTTTGTGGAGCTACCATTTGCCAGGTACCCCTCGGTTTTTTGTTTTTTGTGTTGTTGTTTTTTTCCGGCTTGGTTTAGGATTTGAGTTCCTGGCTCCCAGCTTTAGGGGTTTACCCCTCCGTTTCACGGCTCCAAACCAGCGACTCGGCTTCAAACCAAACGAGGGAAGCTCCCGAGGCTGGACGCGGACATGGTGGGCTACGCCTTCTCCCAAGCAGACAGCGACAACGACGGGAAGGTCTGCCTGGAGGACCGAGCCGAGCTGAAGAGGTGGGTTTAGGTGTCCTTTTTGGTAGTTTTGGTCGAAAATAGAGGGCGATTCCTGGTTTACCTGGTGGCTTAAGCAATTCTACCAGGGAAACCGATCTATTTGCCCGAAAACGACAGCAAAGTGAGGAGGTGGGTTTTGACGGTTTTTTGCGATTTTTCGCGCGCAAAGCAGGGCTGGTGCTTTGATTCCCTTCCCTTAGTGCCCTTTTGCCCTTTTTTTGGGGAGGATTCCCCTACTAAAATAGACTGCAGAAAAAGGGGTACCCGTATTCTAACTCCACCCTTTTTGTAAGAACCCCTCCTTCGGCTCATCCAGTCCGGTGTGAACAGAGAATTGAAGCGGGATGGGATGGCTCAAGCATGTTCGGCTGCAGCCTTAAACCAACCTGACTCTGTGGTAGCCAAGTTTCCTCGGAAGGGGGCTGTTCAGCAGGGCTCATTCTATTTCCTTCTTGGGTGGTTGAAACACCTTTTCACGAAAGCTAGCCTTAGCTAGCTGAAGTTTCTCCTTGCGTAAGCAAGGTAAGGGGCTCAAATGCCGAAAGATTGATTTTTTCAATTATTTGAGCCGAAAAGATTGAAAAACATCAATTATTTAGACCCCCCCCCCCCCGGTCTCAGGCTCGATTCCTCCCTGGTCCATCCCCCCCCCCCCGGGCAGTGGCTCAGTGTTCAGCAGTCTCGGTTTGCCCGTTTTGGACTTGGTGCTACGAACTTTTACATGTTCCACCGATTCAGCTTGTTCATTTGAGACCTCAGTCTTCTCGGTAAACCACCTCGCAAGAATCTTTGCACACGCAGCATGCAGAACCCAGAGGTGCTTTCAGACAGCTTCTGACGCCTCTCGTTGTTTTCATTTTCCAAGGTTTGCCACGCCATCATGTGCGTTTGCGTGTCGCATCCTACGAATCTTGCCGGGCCTCTCGTTGTACACAAGCTACCTATGAATCCACTCTGTCACCGACCCATCTCATGCAACAACTGCTAGCTTTCGTTCACCCGCTCCTCAAGTATCTGGTGCTCTTTGAACATGAGATTTTGCTTTTGGTGTGGCAAGCAGGAACGCTCTTTTCCTGCGAAGCCATGGTGGCTTCGGACGGGTTTCAACCCGCGCGTCGGATGCCCCTCTTCTCAGGACCTGGTCGCCAGCCAGGCGGGGGGGAACTGGGATGGAGCTGTGTTCGGATTTTCGGCTCGGGGGGTCGCAATGGTTCGAGGGATTGGTTCCAACCATCGTTTTGTTTCTTTCTTTCTTTTTTCCAACCATTTTTGTCCAACCATTCTAGGGGTTGAAAAGAACGATTCCAAGCATTTGTTTTCAACCATCGTTCTTTTCAAAAACCGATCGCTGTTTCCTCAGGGCTTTGGGTGGTTTCTTAGAAGGATGCCTGGAAAGAATGGGGAAGGTACCCCTAGAATGATCCCGAGAGATTTCTTGCGTGGTTCGATGTTGAAGGGGGGTTCCATGTCGATCTGAAAGAGGAGGGATTCCTTTTCATGAATTGTTACTTCTGGCTGCGGGTTGCTTGGGTTTGACGCTTGGTGCGACGTGCCTATGCTACAGAGGTCTGCCAGGACGAAGGACTTGGAGCGGGCGCAAAGCGTAGGAACAGGGCCCGAACCACTTGTCACAGGATCATGCCTCCCCGTTTGATAGGCCACTAGGCCACGAGGCATTGAGGAAGTTCCTCGACCGAAGCCACCCGGCATGGGGAAGACGAGGTCTTCCTGTCACTCAGGGTTTATCCAACCACTCCTGTGATATCTTCGGGAATCTCCATCTCTATCACAAGAAGTGGAGTCCATTTCCCACAGCCCTCGGTTCCCTGTCAATGCCAGGAGAGCCGATGGTGGTGGAGCAGCCAGAAGGCCGGGACCTCGATGCCGTCACAGCCCAACACGGGCCGTGCTCAAGCAGACAAAGCTGGGCTTGCATGTCCTCCCTGTGTGTGTGTGTGTGTTGTGTGCGTGTCCGCGCATTTGGGAGGTCGTGAGAGGTGATGAGGGAGGCGAGTGTTGGTGGCTTGCTGTCAAGAATGAAAGCGATTTGTCGTTTGAAGATGAGTTCAAAGGCTCCCGCAACGCGAGTTTCTGGAGTTAAGGGCCTTCCCTTGAGTTCACCGTTGATCGCCTCCTTTCCCACAGTTCGAGAGCGTTTATAATATCTTTTTGGGGAGAACACTTGTTTAGCTGCGAAGAATCAGTGCGTGCCTGAGGTTGACATGGCTGCCTTCTTCAAAGCAGCTGATCAGGCCACCGCGCGAGAACAAACTGCCCAATGGCGGGGGGTTAAACAAAAGTGCATGAAGGGCATTTGTGGGTGGCTGCTTTGCTGAAAGACCGTTCCTTGGGGTGGCTTGGGTGAAAACAATTGAAGGGCATGTCCAGGCGTCGTCCTTCTTGGGCTCTTCGGTACATGTTTTTTTCCAACACTTCCAGACAGGGCTCCTTAAAAGATACATTTTGCCCAATTGAAACATGGCTATCTCCACCAAAATAAAGGGAAACCACCATTTACAAGGCAATGTTCAGGTGTATAATGCAAGGATCCCTGTTCCAGGATGGCAAGGGCTATCTTGGGTATACGGACTTCTTGGCCGCGTGTCTCTTCGAGATTCACAGCACCTTTGACGACTCTTGGCTGCCCTTGAGTTCGCTCGGCCTCGCGGTTGCGCTTGTGGATGCATTGATGCCCAGCGCCCGGTGTTTGGGGTTGGGGCGCTGGATCCTTCGGGATGGCGGGTTCGGTGTCATGGAAGACTTGGTATCGATCACTTCAACGGCCCATTGCTGTCCATGCAAGCCACCTGAACCACAATCAACACTCGGGTAGTTGAGGTTTTTTGTGTGTGTTGTGTGTGTGTGTGAGTGAGTGAGTGAGTGAGTGAGTGAGTGAGTGAGTGAGTGAGTGTGTGTGAGTGTGTGTGAGTGTGTGTGAGTGTGTGTGAGTGTGAGTGTGAGTGTGAGTGTGAGTGTGAGTGTGAGTGTGAGTGTGAGTGTGAGTGTGTGTGTGTGTGTGTGTGTGTGTGTGTGTGTGTGTGTGTGTGTGTGTGTTTATGCTTGTTTATGTTTGTGTTTGTTCGTGTTTGTGTTTGTGTTTGTGTGATTGCGGGTGCTCATCCTGGAGTAGTTTTGGAGGGAAACCAAAGGCAAGCAACCCATGCTTCGGGTCCAATCCCTGTTTTGAGACGCCCAATTAGGTTGCGGATATGCCCGCCTTCTTCAGTTTAAATAATTACTTTTTGAACTGACCCCCCAGACAGCCCAAAGAAGAAACACATGACGGTTGAGCCTTAAGGGCCATGTTTGTTTGCCCCCCTCCTTCGCGATTCTTCGGCTCGGAGTTCTCGGGGTCCGGTGGCGCGACCTCTGACTCGAGGGGAGCCTTGTGAACAGCACCTTCGACGTCTTGGACCACGATCGGAATGGGCTGCTGAAGGCCCGGTGGGTTGCGACGTGACACTGTTTTTTTGGGGTGGCCCCCGTGTTTTTTTTTTTTTTTTTGGGGGGGGGGGTTGTTGAAGACCCACACAAATGGCGCAAAGGCTTTTTTTGGGGGTTCCAAAAAGGGTGTACGCTCCCTGCCACCTTGCCATGGCACCTGTGGGGAGGCCCCTGGATCAGCTTCCTTCTGGAGGGACCGGGTTTTTCTGGGTGCCATGGCAACGTGGGAGAGAGGCTACTATCAAAAGACATTTTCCCCAGCAGATGTAAGCTTTGGGGTCTCTTGCAAGGTCTTGGAGGAGCTTTCAGGGAGGGCTCTGGACAGGTCCTTTCGCGCTGGGGATACCTGGGAAGCCTGAAGAACCTGGTTTGACAGGGTAGCCCCTATCGTAGTAAACTTGGCGTGCAGGGGTTCTGTCAGATGGTCCGCCAGGGTTCCTTCTTTGCCATTGGTCGGTTTTTCGTCGGCTCGTATCGCCTGCCCAGCCAGATGTCCGGCCTATCTGGTTGTATGTCCGGCCAGGCGTCTCACGGCTTGGGGAGTTAGAGCCAGATGGAGCTATACTCCCCACCCCCAGTCAATGTTGTCAACAAGTCCTTTATTATTAGCCAGGGCGGCCTCATGGTAGAGGGCTGGGCACACTAGTTGGGATTGAAGAAGCCCTTTGCCCTTTGAATGTTGGGAGAAAAGCTAAGCCACCTACCAACTGGTGCAGCAAACCTCGCAGGCGGAGGATGTGCGGCCAGCCTTCCGGCGCTACCCGGAAGGCCCGGTGACATGCAACTGACATAGGGTCCACTCCTCCCCCCTTTGTTGGGTTTCCTCCAAATGATTCCTGAACAGGTCGAAATCATATCTCCGTTGGGGGGGGGGGGTTCCCACGAAATGAGGGGGACATGGGAGGCTCACCACATTTTCCCAAACCTGGCTCCTTGGCGTGCCATCTGTTGCAACCAGCCAAACAAATGGATCATTTTTTGTTTAAGCATTGTTTTTTCCCACCTGAGGCCAAGAAACAGATGGGTTGTTTGGTTCTCGGTTCTCGACCGGAAGGAAGGAAGCGCCGCCTCCCGCACCTCCCAGGACTACCCAAGTACTGCCCTTTCCGGCGGGACGAGTGGCAAAGCTGCGTCTTCCGCGAGGCGTGGCGGTTTTCGGCGCGTCTGACGCGGGGCGGCCTGTCGCGTGACGCGGCCTGTCGCGGTGGTGTGTCTCTACAGGGGCGTTTTTTTGGTCGGGCCCCGGCGCGAAAGAGGGCGCCTCGAAAAGCGAGGTTTCTTTTGGGGGAGGGAGGGGCTGTTTTGGGTGGGTGCTAGGGCCGCGGGGTGGGGGTCGCATTGGGTCGCCATTGGTCAGCCTCCCGGAGGCAGAGGAGGAAAGCGCCCAAGCTTCCAGCGAAGGGTCCGAGGCGCGCGGCCATTTGGGCCGCTGGGTAAGGGTTGTCCAAATGCACAGGCAACCCGGCCAAAAGGCAACCCACCCAATTTTTTCGGAGGCTCCAAGCTTGGCGTCCTTTAGTTTCCCTTTGCCAGGGAACAATTTGCTACCCAGGGCCTTTGGAGCAGCCGCGATCATCAGTTTCTTGCTTCTTTTTGAGCCTGCAACTCCCGACCTGCACGAAAAACAATCCGAGCCCAAAAATGCGAGAAACAGCTGACAACCCTTGCCCCTTGCCCGGTGGCTTGCCTTAGGCGCCCGGGTTCCTCGAGCGCATCTTCGGAGGCCTCTTCTGCAGGCCGAATGCGCTGTCGCCAAAAAGGGGCCGTGCAACGTAGCATGAGGAGACCGCTTCTTTTTTTCTGGGGGTGGGTGGGGGGGTTGGGGTGGGCCTTTTTTTTTTTTGGGGGGGGGGGGTGCTCACTCACATCCCTCAACACAAGCTCATGCAACATAAGAGCAGATGCAAGGGTACCCTGCTTCCAGAAACTCGGGCGTCGGAACGTCGTGAAAAGTCTTGGACATGACTCCCCACCATGATGTCTACCAAAGGGCCCCCGACTAAAAAATACATACGCATGTTTCCCAAACAACTATATCTTAGGAAATCTCCGCCTGAAGCATTTCTTCTTTAACTGAAAGTTGTGAATCGCCAGGTGCCGTGTTTGTGGGGAGGGTAGATCTGGTTTGCTTCACCGGTTGAATGAACGGACAGTTTGCAGCTTGGTCCTGGCGTCGTTGTGGAGAGTCATGTGTGGAGGAGGGCCGTTTTTTTTTTGGTGTGTGTGTTTCTCGCGATGGCAGGCAGCTTCGATTCACGCGGGCTCCGAGGCATTGTTTGGCTCAGTCCCCAACCGCCGCGGCCAGGCTCAATGATGCAGAAAGTCTCGGGCTGAGTGGGGAGACGCTACAGGTCTGGCAAGGCAACTTGCGGCCGGGTCGGGGGCTTCCCTGAGTCCGTGGGAAGGCAGGCCCTGGCGCAGCATGGCAGCCACTCGATAGATTGGGATGGATTCTGAGTACACGGCTCCCAACTGGGTTTTTTTGGCAGAGTTTGCCCCAGTTGCCCAGTGGTGCCTTTTTTTCCCTTTTCTGGCGAAGTGTTTCCCTTTGTCAACCAACCAAGAAAGGATGCCCAGTTTTTTCCCGCGGCCACTGGGCATTTGGGTCACCCCAGATTGTCACAGAGAGGCGGCCCAACCTGGCGCCAGTTGTCGCGCCAGTTGACCACCCAAGGCAGCGAGCCTGCGGACGACGCTGAAGCCCCATTTCAAAAGAAGGCAGGGGCAAAGGGTTGTCCAAAGGAGTTTGCGTTCATGGTAGAAACCACTGGTTTTAGGTGGCCGTTTTCTGCGCTTACCAAAAGCACCCCTGAAGGTGATAACCCCCCCCCCCCCAAATAATCATAGAAGCTGAAGGAAGGGGTTTGGAAGACTTTCCTTTTGGGGAACCCCTCTGTCCACTTCCACGATTGTTGGAAGGAGAGAAGTTGTCCCGCCGGGAATCAACGAATTTGGTATGGCTGATCTTCCACGCCCAAGGTCCCATTTGGGAACCGACCAGGGGGGCCAACAAGTGATGATTTTACACATCAAACACGCTGTTGTGATCTGGTGGGTGATGGGCCAAAGGTGTCCTTTCAAGGCAGTTTTGGTTAAAGATAGCTGCATGCCGCTGCTAGCTTGCGCATCATTTCCCGGCGCCAGAAAAAGAAGAAACAACATGTCCAAACAGGACTTGGGGAGTGGTCGAACTTAGGGGTCCTTGGCATCGCCTTAAATCCTCGGCACTCAGATTTCAGCTCCGGCGTTTGTTTGGGGTGGGGGTGGGGCACCGAGACGGGTCCAAAAAGGTGCCCATTTGAGTGTGCCGGGTTTTTGTTTTCCCGAGGGCACCCCGGTTTTCGGGGGTTTTGAGGTAAACATGGTAAACCGGGTAAAGCAACTTCCATTTGCTTGATATGTTTTAATCCCACCTGTTGGTTTAAAAGGGAATTTATCATAGCTTCCCACGATTTCCAGGGGGATTCAAGCAAATGGAGTCATCCGCAAAACAGGACGAGGCACCCATTTGGATAGCACGCGCTCACGTGCGCAGCTCGTTTTTTCTCAGGTGGACGAGCTGAAGTCCTCGACAGCTTGCCGCTTGCCGGCCACCGTCCCCGCGGCGAACATGGCGGGGACGGTGTCGATTTGAGGTTTTTGGCGAAGGGTGGCCTCCCAGCAATTTGGTCCCCCAGTAGCGCCCACTAGTACCCTTTTTTGGGGGGGAGGGTTCCCCTACTAAAATAGACTACAGAAAAAGGGTACCCGTATTCTGACCTCTCCACTGAAAGACCTAGCCAATTAACATGGAGCCGGGGGTCCGTTGCAAAGGACGATGTAAGGGGAAGCCAAGTGGAAACCAGGAAGATGTTGATAGGTTTTGTTTAGGGGTCACAAAGGGGACAATCAGGTTTCCCAATCTTGACGCCTGTCCAAATGCAAGTCTCAACACTCACTTGCCCAAAGCGAATCGGCCTTTCGGCCTGGAACACCCCCATTTTGGTCAGTTGGCCATGGCCCCAAAAGGTTAGCCTTATGATTTTGGTTGTGTCCTTCGTGCAGCTGAGAAAATGGGTGTCTACTTTTGGCTGGTCTTCAATGGGAGGCAAACGAAACCCAACCGAGACCACGATTTTCAGAACCCTTCGAATCCCTCCTACATTCAAAGAACTCCTTTCGAAGTTCGGTATTCGCGTTGCGAGTTGCTCATTCTCTTAAGGGAGGCGTTCTGCGCGGTTTACGGGATCAATTGCCAAAGGCATCTCCAACGTTGTTGTAATGGGATCCCCGGATGAACAAGCCCCTGGTTGATACGTACATAGGGGGTGTTAGTGGGGGTTCATCACTTTTGGGGGGAACACTCCCCCTATGAATAGGACGGGTGTATTGATCCGGGGAATTATTTTTCTAGGACTCTGAACATGTTGTTTTCTGTGTTCCCAGAGATCGTGGCTGAGGAAAGATCCATGCAGCTGAACTCGCATACAGGCAGACAATTTTCGTACAAAACACACAATCATATACTTCATACAAAGCCATGCCATGCCAAATCATTCCATGGTACCATCATACAACCAACCTTGGCCACTCAGCTGGTGTGAACAATCAATGATTATCCTTGTCCACGCCGGATGGTAGTTCCCTTGTTGTGGTGTCCTGCCATCGGAAGCTGGGCTGCCCCTGTTCTCGGACATCGCCAAGTCTTGAAACGATGTTAACCTCACATCTCCAGGGGTGTAGGCAAGACTCACTTAGGTCTCCACCTATTGGTTGCTGAAACCTGGAGCAGGGAGAGGAAGCTAGGATCCCCTCCAGACAGTTTCTCATACGTACCCCTTCAATCACAACGCCGGTCACGATGTCTCGTCCCAACCATAGATTGTGACAATTCCTTCCTTCAAGAGTCCTGCACCTACAAGGACGCCAAAAACCTGGCTTGCTTGGACCGGGTCTCAAGAACGGACCAGAATTCCAGAACCCGTCAAGGATGCTAACGGAGTTCACCGGGGTGCTGGGCAAAATCCGCTCTGACTTGGTTTGTCGACTGGCCTTTCTTTGGTGGCCTCGGCTTCATCTCTTTTGAAGCCTCGGCTTCAAACCTGGGGGATTTGTGTGGGAATTTCTTTTGTTTTTTGGCTTCCCCAAATCTGGACCCTGAGGGTACCCTCATAAACGCCACAGGGAAACCAACATGTGTCTCAAAGTTGGGATCGTGCCCAGTCGTTTGAGCCAGGTGCTAGCAGCTCGGGCGTTGGCCCCGCAAGACCCGCCAATGCTGCAGGCGCCGGTTTCATTGATTTGGGGCCCTTGGAAAATGGGGAGAAAAGCACAGCCCCTTGGCTTTTGACATGGCCGCCTTCATGAGCATGTGAAGCGAGAATCCTTTTTGAGGAGGTTCAGAACATTCCTGTACTTGCGGTTGGTTTGCTTGGCTTGTGCTGATGGTGTAGGGGGATTTTCCGGGAGGCAAGCTCCAAAAACTACCCCTAGGCGCAAATATAATACAACATACAAACACTAACACTAAGACTGACACTGACATTGACACTAACACTAGCACACACATCGCAGGTGTCGTGGTCACATCCCTTTGCGCTTGGGCGTGGCAGGTCTGGTCATTTTTGTCCCTTTACGGGGGCTTTAGAGGACAAATGGTCGCAACTGCACAAATTGGTTGTTTTGACCTCTCTATATTTTCAGTGCCAGCTCAAACCTTTTGCAGACGGCAGTCGTTGCTGTCAGCCTTTTTTTTTGCAATGCAACTCCATGGTGGAGTTGGGTCGTTTGCAGAAGATGTTTGCTTTCAGATGTCATGCGTGGTTTCGTTTTCCGCAAAACCCTTTGGCCCCAGCCCGGGTGGTGGCGTGCTTGTGTTTTTGGGAAGAGTAACGTTTTGCAGCTGTCTGTTTGCTTGAGGCGAAGCGCAAAAACGGGATTCCTACTATGCGTATCCCGTTTATTCAATCGTCATGTGGAAATCATTTGGGTGGGGATCACGTGTGGGGATGTTTTTGTTTTCAATTTTAAAAGAGTTCCTGGGCCAACAGCGCCCCTAATGTGGGACGTGCCTGGTGCCGCAAAAGAGAGAGAGAGAGAGAGAGAGACAGAGAACGAAAGACAGCCAGAAAGAACGAAAGAAAGAAAGAAAGAAACAAAGAAACAAAGAATAAAATAGAGGGAGCGAGAGAGAGAGAGAGAGAGAGAGAGAGAGAAGACAGACAGACAGACACCAGACAGACAGACAGACAGACAGACAGACAGGCAGGCAGGCAGGCAGACAGACAGACAGACAGAGGGAGAGAGAGAGAGAGAAAGAGAGATAGATAGAGAGATAGAGAGAGCGAGGGATCCACCTGTGCATATTAACAGCCAACACAGGGGACGCACCAGGTAGCACCAGGTGCACATCAAACCCCTGGCCGGAGGCCGGGCGCAGCTTCCAGCTGAAGCCTCCCAAGGGCCTCTCAGTGAACACAGGCGGGGGGGAGAACCAGCGGCTTTTCTTGGGTTTCAGCTTTACGCCCTTGAACCATCTGAATTTCTTCCATTCGCTGAAAATGTGCGATTTTCCCCTGTTGGTTTTGCAGGGAATCTATCACTATTGGAAATATGTCGTTTTTCCTTGCAGGGGGCTTAAGCAAATGGAGGCTTGGGTGTTTTGGTAAGGCAAAGAATGCCCTCATGGTGAAGGTGCCTGAAAGGAAAGAACTTTACACCCGTGATTTTTGGAGGATACCCTTGCAAGGCAAGGTTGTGGATGCATCCTTTAAGGAACTCTGACGGTTCAGATGACGGTTCAGAGAGATACCACTGGGTACAAGTGATTTTGAGAACATGTCCGCTTCGGCTTGGACATGGATCTTCATACCGAGCTCTGGGGGTATGGAGGGCTTTTGCCAGCCCTGAAGACCAAGCAACTTTTGTCAAAGTTGGTCCACGTCACCCGAAGAACAGCTCAAGGTTAGGGAGGCACCAGCAGCTGCGTTTGATTGTCCCACGCCCCAAGGTTTTGGTGGTAGTGGAGACCAGTTGAGGGGGAGATCCAGCCGAATGTCTTGTGAATCACAAATCAACACTGGCATGGCTGGTAGTTTCACAACCTTTCCCAGACCTTCAGTGCCCTTCCTGCTGTCTTTTGGTCGGAGGGCTTGCCTCCAAAATCAGCTCTCAACAGAAGGGCGCCAATCTTTTCCATGGCCACTCGGCTTTTGGGTTTTGCGTCAACCATGTACCCCCTGGCCATTTTCTCCACGGAGCCTGACGACATTGCGGGGTGGCTCGGCGCGATGTCCCTAAGGGGGCCCTGGGGGTTCCTTTCTATGGCCACGCGGACCGGTTTGGGCGCGTCCACGGCCACGTCGACGGGTTTTCGGAACGGGGCCGACGCCATGCGCCGGGCCATGTGAGGCACCTCCTTCAGCACGGCGTCCACCTTTGCATCCCTCTCCTCCGGTCCGCCGGCGCCTGAGAGCCGAAGCAACTTGGGCGTGATTTGCGGGGAAGGACCTGAACAAGAGCCTGGAGAAGAGGAAGCCTCGAGCCAAACCGGGGGGCCCGGTTTTTCTGCTCCTGCTCTTCTTTTTTTTTAACGGGGTCGCCACTGGTAGCGCCTGCCCCGGCGTGGTGGAAGATCCCAAGGCCTCAAGAAGAGAACTCGCATCTTGCGGGTACTGGTTCTTAGCGGCTTGCATGGTTCATTGGGGTGTCTTTAAATGCTGGCGTTTCTTTTTGGTTTCCCTTGAACACTAAGACTAAAACAACGACGCCCTTTGGCACTGGCCGGGAGCCAGGACGTGGGAAGAGGACTCGATTGCGCAAACTGCGCAACAGAAAAGGGGCCCCTTCTTGTGTGCCTCCGCCAAAGTCGGCGCAAAAGACTGCAAGGCATGGGTACGCGTGCGCAATGAACTGCGTGTCTGTTTTGGGGGAGCCCTCCTAGGTCCGCCAGTAGTGCCCTTTTACCTTTCTTTTATGGGAGGGTTCCCAGACAGAAAAGAAAGAAGAAACGGTACCCTCATTCCAACCTCTCTACTGGAGGACCTAGCGTTTGAGGCCACCAGTTTCGGGCCATTTCCGAACATGGGACCCGCTACACGTCTGAGGCAGCAGCTGGCACCGGCGCGCAGCTCGTACTACGTGTGGCACTGAAGGCCGCAAGTTCGCAGGTCGCACGGATGGCCGGGGGCGGGTCCTAAGGTTAGCAAGGGACGATCCCAACCATAAACAGCGGCGGAATACCGCCTTCTTAATTCTTGAAGCATGGTTCTGGGTCGACCATTTTAATACCGGGTTTTGAGCAAGTGACTCACCTTTTGGTTGCTGATTGAAGGCGAGTTTCCTTTTGGGGTGATGTTTACAGGTTGGAAACATGGGGAACCCTGACGGAGTGTCGGGTGCTGGCCGGCCGTCAACGTCAGCTTCAACCAGCGTGATTTTGATAAAGTCCAACAGGTCACGTGGCCCTTGAAGCCTGTTGCACCATCCAAAGAAGCGTGCCCCTTGTCTCACAATTTCCACCCAGATTTGAGGTAAGTCATGTGCTGAGGCGACGGCGCATTTTGTTAGGCAGACCACTAGTGCCACTCTCACATCACCTCGCAAGCTGCCACGAAGCATTCCAAAATGTTGAGCAAGTTGACATGGAACCCACAAATTGGCTGCTTTTTGGCATGTTTGGGTTCCACGTAAATCTGGGCGGAACGGATGGCGGCACACCACCGCAAAACCGGGAGCGTTCTTTTGTGGGTCAAAAGTTGCTAGAATCGTCCGCAGTCCAAGCAAACGTGCTCGAGCTTCGAGGGACTGCACCTGCTTGACAAGTTTATGGACTTGGCACAATTTCGGGAAGTGAGTGGCAAGCAACAGCTTTACACTTGAGTGGCCTTCCATTTAGGAGGTGAGACTCATGTAGAAGCCGGCAGGATGATAGAAGACGCCCCAATTCGAGACAGCTCGACCCCTCCATTCCCATTGACCCCTCCATTCCCATTGGGCATGAGGATCCTCCCTCCTATTCTCTCTCTGATCCCCCGCATTCGCAGGACGGAACGGTAGGACCCGCGCAACGCCCGAGGCACTGTCAGATTGCGGGCTGCTCCCAAGCCTTGATGGTTGGAGAACTCATGGCAATACATGCGCACATGCATCATGCATACTTGTTGCTTGTGCTGCTGCTGCTTCTAGTGTAGTAGTCGTTGGTAGTAGTGGTCGTGCTAGTGGTAGTGGCAGTGGTGGTGGTGGTGGTGGTGGTGGTGGTGGTGGTGGTGGTAATGGTAGTAGTCGTCGTCGTAGTAGTTGTAGTGGTAGTGGTAGTGATGGTAGAAGTAGTAGTGCTGCTGCCTCTGCTCCTGCTGCTCCTGCTGCTGCTACTACTGCTACTGCTAGTGGCATCACTACAGCTGCTACTACTTCTACTTCTACTTCTACTGCTACTTTCGCGACGCTACTCATGATTTTATTCATTCCGAGTTAGACCTGTGTGTTTGTGTGTGTGGGAAGCGTGTGGGCGTGCAGGAGAGGGTATTTGATTAGCTAGGTGGGAGGGTTCAGAGATTTGTCATGTGTACTTGTACGCATGAACGCGAACTTGAGTATGCTGTCTGCGCATTGCAACATTGGTGGGCTGCTAAGTTCAGAGATGCACTACTGTCAAAACAAGAGTGCGCAACAACATGTGTGAATTTGCTGGTCCTTCAATGCCTACAGGCACAACGCACAAGAGAGCACTGGGAGCAACCCTCTTGGTTAATGAAAAGCGGCGAGGGCCGCGAATCCGACGCGATCTTTCGCAGCACCCTGCTGAGCAGGGACATGCGTTTTGTTCGCTTGGAGGCCCGTGCCACCGGGATTGGGCATTTTTCTTGCGTTGTGTGGAGTTTTCTTTCTTTGCACACTCACAATATGGCCAAGTGGAGTTCATTCTTGAATCTGTGATTGACAGGTCACACGCGTCAGCCGAGTTGACGTTCACCTGTGTGTGGCGGCAGGCTGAAATCAAGCCCGGAAAAGGGACTCACAACTCACCCCCCTTTCGGTACGGAAAGCAACCAACCCGGATGGCGGGCCTCTGCTCGAAGCAGCAGACTTATTTGGTCCCTCGTGTACAGGCGCTGCATGCGTTGAGTGGGCCCGACCAGAAGCGTCCAGCATCCGAATTGGGGATTGCCCCGTAGCGCAAGTTCGGTCAAGGCAGGCCAGTGTTCGTGAGTCATTGACTCAACGGAAAAGTGGGTTGTGTTGGAGGCGTGCCAAACATACCCCACATGTTTGTTGTTGGGAAACATTTTACATTTTTGCTTGTTGTGGTTTAGTGGGAAATCCCCACTTAACTGCTAAAATTTAAATTGTTGCTCCCCTTCCAAGGTCAACCAAGCACAGATTTTGGCGATGGAAACCTCATGTCTGCCAACGAGCTGGTTCGCTCTGTCCGAATTGGTGCGGCCATTTTTTGGCACTTGCGCCTGAAGTGGTTCAAAGCAACCCTTGACCTCCTTTCGCCTCTGGTGGGGGTATGGTGTATGCAAAAAGGTGCGGGTTGACGTGGTTGACCAAGAGAAAGAGGCACAGTTTTTCAGAGAAAGAAACAAGCAATGCCGCAGGGGGGGACGGGGGGAGGGAGGGAGGCAGGGAGGCAGGGAGGCAGGGAGGCAGGGAGGCAGGGAGGCAGGGAGGCAGGGAGGCAGGGAGGCAGGGAGGCAGGGAGGCAGGGAGGCAGGGAGGCAGGGAGGCCGGGAGGCAGGGAGGCCGGGAGGCAGGGAGGCAGGGAGGGAGGGAGGGAGGGAGGCAGGGAGGCCGGCAGGGAGGCAGGGAGGCAGGGAGGGAGGGAGTGAGGGAGAGAGAGAGAGAGAGAGAAGGAGACCTTGAAACAAGTGGTATACAAGCTCCACCCCTCTAAAAATCCAGAGCCGCAGTCACACCAAGTTGCGCCTTGAGCCCACGATGGCGCCAGCAGATGGCCTGCGATGCGGCTAAGTGTTTTTCTCCTACAGCATAAGGCTTTCCCCTGACTTCCATTTGCTCCAGAATATGTTTGTTTTCTTTTGGGGAAATACATTTATTTGTCCAGGGGGCCTAAGCGAATGGAAGTTGAAGGAGCCAAAATAGGATTTGCTATTAAATGTTATTTCCCAGACCTAATTGACACCGGGTGTTGTTGTTCTTTTGAAACCTGCTTGGTTCCAAGTGAGATGCACCACATGGGTCTTCCATGTTTGAGCCACAATTGTCCGGCATCTTTTGCGCAAAGGCTTAAGGCCTAGATAGCGGGAACTAGGGTTGGTTGCAAAGTGTGAATTTCATCCCCTGGTCCAATTCCTTTGTTCAGGCAGGTTAGGGTTGGTGGTGTTGGAATTTGAGCCCCTGGTTCTTGAGACAAATGGGAAACCATCCCTGGAACATGTCCAAACCGCCAATGTTTGAAGGGAAGCCAAATGGAAAAGGTGGTTTAACACATTTTGGTTTAAGCCACGGTTTCAGCAAACTGCCAACCAATCCTGCTTGTATACAGTTTCAGTAGCTAGTTCTACCAGGCTTTACGGTGCTTCTTGTTTGCCTATTGTGGGCTTTGTTGGGCCACAGCACCCCAGGCCAAGTTGCAAGCATCACTTCCTGAGTTCTTAGCTTCGATTGGCCAATCCACCGGGGTGTCCTTCATTTCCCTTTCAAAGGGAACCTCCACAAGTAGCACTTGTTTCAACGGGAACCACTAGTGAATTACAAAAACCAGTGACCCCCCCAATCCACGGAAGCGGTTGACCGTTGACCCCCCTGATACGGCGATGTGAAAAAAAAACGACCCCGTGCATTCGCCCATCGACGCCATGGACGAAGACTGGTCGGAGTGTGCCGCCCGACTGCTGGCGAGCGTGCCGCAGGATCTTCGCACCACCTCGGACTGGACCAGCAGCACCTCGAAAGGGCGGAAGCTGAGCCCGTGGCAACACTGGAGGTTTCGACCCAGCCGTTTTTGTTGTGTTTTTTGCAACACTCTAAAACCAAGCGATAGTCAGCTTACCTAGGGGAAGAACCCGATTTGAAACCGAGATCAGGTAAGCGTTAGTTGGTGGTTTGGATTGGTGGCTCCGGGATTTGAACTTTTGAACCCCTGGTTCTTAAGACTACATGGGAAACCACCAAAACAGCTTCAAGCCACCAATTCAAATCACCAACCAGAAGGAAGCTGGCAAACGGTTCTCTTTCTTGCTGGTTCCCAAGGAAATGAGTAGGTTGATCAATATGTTTTTTTTTTTTTTACCAACTAAATAGGGGTTGTACCATTACTGGGTGGGCAGGTTGACTTGCTGGCTATCAGGAGCTGAGTTGGAATGTGTTTCCTAGGGGATCCATGGGTTCGTTCACAAAACACGCTGGTTGCTTCCCTACACTCAAGAAGTTAAGAAGTTCAAGGAGTTCAAGTCAAGAAGCCATGAGAGATTTATGAAGTTTAAGATCAGCTGCCCCGTGTTTTCTTCATGGTTTACCTCAGTTTCATCTCACACTTTTGTCTTTTTGAGGTCCCTTGAGCCGGCTCCAAAGCGCAGGCGAGCGGAAGCCACGCAAGATGTTGGAGATTTGAGATGAACCAAACTCCTACTTGGATCCGGGGTTCTCATTGATTTTGAGAGATGTGGGTGTCCAGTTGCTTCTTCTTTTCTGGGGATTCAGCCCACTTTGGGAAGGGGAACGCCGCCCCCCCCCCCCCCCTATTAGTAGGACGGATGTATGGATCCGGGGTCAACATTACTGATCTGCAACAATTCTGGCGAGCTGGGGGTAAAATAAGCTCATGGGTGTTGTCCCTTTTGTTGGGGATCCCTTTTCCAGGCTCCGTTTGTTTTTGTTGAGGTGTCTCGAGTTTGGAAGGCTTGGGTAGGAACACTTCATTCCTCAATCGAGCACACCTCCCAAGGACTTGATCCAAACTGGCTGAGGTGCATATTTTTTCCCACCCAACCCACCCATTTCAGGTGGCGTAGCGTCCAGTTACCCCTGTCATGGACGCCCGTTGGGGCTGGGTTTGCACCACAGAGCGGGCGCGGAAGTAGGGTCCCCGTTGGGGGGGATCGCGCTCACCAGTCGCACAGCGTGAAGCTGGGACGCGGCTAGTGGGTGGGCCTGCAAGGGTGAGCAGCCCTGCAGCACCCTACTTCAGCTCCGGGGAGCATACCAAGGCATTACCCTCGAGAAACGAGTTTGACTGATCAATGAAGGCAGAGATGAACAAGGGGTGCGCCGTGTTTGAACCATCGGGTGACTCAAGCCAGGAATGTGCACTAAGTGTCCAATATTGTTTTTTTTTTTTTTTTGGGGGGGGGGGCGGGGGGTTGAGCCCAGCGCAAAAGCCTGTCTGCCATGACTCTTCGACTCTCGGACCAAGTTCCCTCCGCCCCACCAAAAGTCAAACAGCTGAGAACAGCCCAGAAATCATGTGCCCTTTTTTGAGGGCAGCCTTTTTTTGATGGTTTTAAAAACAACAAGGAGACCCATGTTGGGGGTCCAACCTTATTAAAAAGACAACCCCCTGTTCCCCTCGTCCCCATCTCCAACCGCCCAACCACCCAACCGCCCCGAAACCGATTCGCCCAAGGCGCCGCGCTGTCCTCAGCACGGACCAAGTCGCAGCTGCTGGAGGTTTGCGAGGCCTTTGGTTTGGAAAAACGGCGGCGTCTCGGGGTGCTTCTCACTTCCTTGAGTTCCTGGACTTCGGTCACTTTGTGGGAAGACCGTTTTAGTGGTAAAACAAGTTTGGTTGCTTTTTTTGGGCCACCCACTTCGGAAGTGAAGCTAATCGGCGTTTCAAAGGATCAAACTTGGGAGGCGTCGTTTTTTTTTGTTTTTTTTTTGGGGGGGTCCCCTTTTGCTTTTTTTTGGGGGTGGTTTATCCGGCTTGGGGGTTTCAACGGCACACCCATTCGGCCAGCGAACGCATCACCGTTGCCAGCTGATGCCTATGGGATGAGAAGTGACAGGGATGGGAATGGAGCTCACAATCACTCAGTTGCCTTTTGGCCTTTTTGTTTTCCTGTTTTGGCCGAATGGCCCATATCTAGTCAGGTTAACCTTTTATATCCAGATCCTTTCAGCAGGTGAGATCAGCTTGGCATTTGGTGTTTTGGACTGTGAATGACCGCGCATGCTCAAATCCAGGCGCGTTTTTTTTTTTTTAAATGAGGGTTTGCCCCCTGTTAATTTTCAAAGGAATCTATCACTGAACGTATTTGATCATTTTGCCAGGAGACGTATCCACAAATGGATGTCTTTTTAGCAAAACGCTGACCTTCAGCTGCCTTGTAAATTCGGTGGTTTGGATTGGTGGATGTCCAAACCACCACACCAAACCACCAATTAGGGGGAAGCTGAAACCTGATTTTGTCGCAAAGCACTCTAAACAGGGGGTAGTCAGCTTACCCCGAAATGGTGGTTTGGAGTGGTGGCTGGCGGATCAGGTAAGCGTTGGTTTGGATTGTTGGCTCGGGGATTTGAGCTTTTGAACCCACCACCAAAACAGATCCAAGCCACCGAGCCAAATCACCAGCTAAAGAGTCAGCAAATGGTTGGGAGAGGGCAGGGGTCCCTCTTTCTGGCTGGCTATCGGGAACTGGGTCGGAATGTTATTTCCGGAATGACAATCCAAATGATTGGGGGATCCATTGGCTTGTTCGCAACACGCACTGCTTGATTCCCGGCTGAGAATAAGCAAGATCCAAGTATTTCAGGTCAAGATGCTCAAGTCCTTCAAGTCAAGAAGCCATGCGAGAGAGAGAGAGAGAGAGAGAGAGAGAGAGCCATGAGAGATGAGTTTACGGCCTGCTTTTCTTTTGCACGGAGCTCCCGTGCCAAGATAAAATCCATGGGTTCCAACTGGCTTTGACCAACAGCTAGGCCAAGGGCCTGGATTGCCCCGGCCGCGCCTCGGTGAAAATCCGTGCGTAGGGCTTGGTGGTTTAAAAGCCGGCCATCCGGGTCCTGAAAGGTTTTATGGCTTCTTTTTTTTGGGGGGTTTTGGGTTTGGTGGCAGTTTCCGTTTGACCCAAAGTCAAGCTTGTAGCAGGGGATCTGAAAACGGACAGCCCAGTTGGGTGTGTGCAACGGTTTTCCTGTTGATTGCCTTTTGAAACCACCAAAAGGGGTCCCCCCCGAAAAAGGGACACACCCGCTTTTGGGGAAGCCTTGCACAAGGAGGAGGCCGATCCGATGTTTTGCCCCATGTGCCCTTAAAGAACCAAGTATTGTTGCACGTGGCTCGTAAGATCATGTTCCCTGCTTGGACAGTTTGAGCGTTTACCATATTTCATGGTATTTCTTTGGCACCTTTTTGCTTCGCTTTGCAGCGGTCTTGCCTGCCCAAAAGGGCAGTTTAAACATCACCTCCATTGCGTGGAGGAAGGGACACATGAGGAACGCTATATTTCACCCCCGGGACCATTGACCATTCAACAGTAGACCTTTATTTTGTTTTTGCCCTGTAATAGATTCCTCGGGTTTATGTATTTTGCGCGTGGGCGGCGTGGGTACCCGTGGCAAGAAAGCCAACACCAGCTGGGTTGTCTCAAGACGGTAATATGAATTCGCGGGAAGTCTCCTTTTGGCTTACCTTGGTGCAGCCCAAAGGAGTATACACCCACAAAAGGCAGCCTTGAAGTGGAAACCATGTAAATCCAACACGCCGACTCAGCCCAAAGCATGGGAACCACATACACGTTGAAGCTGTCACATGCGGGATGGGCTGTCTTCCCATGAAGCACGCACCTGCCTTTATTGACCAGAAGCGACTATCTAGTTTTTGTTGTTAAATTATTTTTTTTTTTAATTTGGTGGTTCATTGAATTGTCCATCATCCATTGGGTGGGCCTCCGCCCCCTCCAACCCCAAGTTGCATCCCGGTGGCAGCTTGTTTGGATAGTACGGCGTTTGTGTCAAAACGCGGCTGTAGAAGATTAGGGGAGGCAGTCGGTGCTGTTGAGCCTTATGCTTTGGAGCAAAGGCTTAGCGCTCACACAAACACCTTGCCCCGAACTTGGAAGTTCCCTTCCAACCACTGGGCGCAAGTGGCCGTAGCAAGGGTTTTGAACCCGTGTGAATGGGAAACCAGCCCTTAACCACCAAACCACCACGCCACCAATTCGAGGGAAATTTAATTCTGCAAGTCCCCTTCCCCTCTTGGCCGTTAGACTTTGGCACGGATCGCGCATGGATCCTGCGCCCATTGAAGTGACTGGAGGAGGGGCATGCTGTAATCCACTGCCTTCCAGTTGATGTTAGGGGTTTTGCCCACACCCACCAGGGGCTCACAGGGCTTCTGCATGATCCGTTCCAAATTTCACAAGCCTACATTTTCCAGTTCAAACCCCTGGTAGTATCCCCCTTGAATCAGGTGGTTTTCAGTTCCCCCTCCCCCCCCCCCTAGCTGATCCCCTGGCAGTGGTTTTCAGTCCCGGTAGTGGTTTTATAGATTTTAACTTTTTGGATACCCCTCATATTTCTTTTTAACCTGCAAAACGTTAAGCATCTTTTGCTGGGGGATCTTTAGCACCCAAGGCCAAAGGGACGTCTTTCGCGAGGCAAGAGCGAGGTCATCGCCGCGCTGCTGCGGGCAGAGCTGGGCCCCGATCTGCCGGAAGAGGGCCTGCGGGTGTGCAGCTTGGCCGGCGGTTTTTTGCTTCTCCGGGGAAATCCATGGGCTCCTTAAAAGATACAGCTCTTGGTGGCTTCCAGCCATCCGGTTCCTTAGCCTTTTAACCTTTTAGTGTTTAGTGGTACTTTCCATTTGACCCATTAAAAGTTAAACTTTGAGCGGGGGATCTGAGGGCAGCCCAGATTTTGCAACCAGTTGAAACATGTTGTTTTTTCAACACCAAAATACAGTTGAATAACACAATTTACAAGGCAATGTTCAGGTGTATAATGTAAGGATCCCTGATTTTTGTGTTTTTAATAGAAAATGGGGTCTGCATTCGGAAAGAGGGGTTCCCGACTAAACGTATGTGTTTGTTTGGCGGGGTCCCCAAGAAGAATGGGATTTTCTACCACGGAAAGGTTCCCATACACTTTTCCGGTGGCCCCCCCCCGCAAACAATTACGAGTTCCCCACTAAAAGTGCCGACACCAAGAATGAGATTATCTACCAAAAAATGTTTCCCACCCAATTGTGTTGTCTTGGTTCCCTATCACAAAAGTATGGGGCTCCCCACTAAACTTGTTTGTTTGTTTGTTTGTTTGTTTGCTTGCTTGCTTGTTTGTTTGTTTGTCCCCCACCCGTAAATGGTTCCCTACTGCCAAATTGGGTTCCCTAACAATATGGGGGTTCTGCAGTAAACATAGTTGTGTGCTCCAAACAATGGTCCCCCGCCAGAATACGGGGTTGACTATGAACATTTGGGTTCCCCATTTCGCCCCACCCCTCCCCCCCACCCAAAAATAGAAGGGTACGCCATGGGGCATGGTGTGCAAATCGCCGTTTCTGGGTGTGTTGTGTTGGCATATGTTCTTGCAGCATCCATGCAAACAGCACCGCGGCCTCACCCGAGGCCCCATGGCAAGCAGCAAGCAGATTGTATGAAACCGAAACAAACAATTTTCACGCAGAAATGGCTGGCCAAGGGTATGCTCTTGAAAAGGAACTCTTCAAAGTCTAATCAAACATAATTCTAATTCCTGACTAGGTTCTATCTCAATTCTAGCTAAATTGTACTTGATTACTTCCTATCCTACTTGGACAGAAGATCATATTCAATATAATAATCCGGTATGAGTTGTTACACATGTTTAGACAGGAATTATGACTAGTTTAACATAAGTTAAATTCGACTTGACATCCCACCTGAACAATAATTCCAATTTAAAATCAAATTCAAAAGCATAATTCTAATTGAATTCCAATTCAAATCCGATTTGAGTTTCACACCTTGCAATTTAGACCTTGCAGACCTATAGAACTGAATTTGTTTTCCTTGTGTGTCCATTGTTGTGTGTGGTTCGTGAAGTAACTTCTTTCTAAATAATGATTTAATCCTGACTAAAATTTCCTACTTGGTAAAGAATTTCTACTCAAACTCTACTTCAAATCAAGAAACTAATTCAAGTCTACTAAAGTGAACGCTGATAATCATTATTTTCGCAACTGCAGGCCCCAATGGCCTACTGCTCTCCCTAAGAAAGAGTTCCCCATCAACAAAAACATGGGTTCCCCATTAGGAACATGTTTGGGTGTTTGTTCATGTTACCCACCAAACTAGCTTCCTACTGAATAATGGGGTCCCAACCAAAAGAGGCCGTTGGTTAAAAGTGGGTTCCCAACACTTTTTCAAATGGGGTACTGAAAAGGCTTCTTTGACGAGTTCCCCAGAAAATGGTCTTAGTCCTAAGGGCTCCCATTTGGTTTCTGGCCTTCGGGTGGGTTTCTGCCTTCCGAGGCCACCCCGGATTCGCCGTGGGCTACGATGCCGCAATGCGGAACCCTGCGCGGCCTGATCAAAACCTGGGATGTTTCAAGGAGAGATTTTGGGGAACTTTGAATGTGGGGACGGTCCCAACCAAGAATAGGTGCAGCCGCCCTCTTAATTCTTTTACATCTGGTTTGGTAGACTCTGCGTGTAATGCCGGGCTTTGGTTGCTCAGGTCACAGGACCCCTTAAATGTCCACCTCGGAAGAATCCGGAAAAACCCTGCGAAATAGATCATGTCTTTACCAAAAGGGGAACCATTCCTGGCACGGTCCTCTGGATAGATCCGAAGCTGACATGTCTATGGTCCGCCAAGGTGTGAATTTTCATTGGACCCTTTGATGGACGAACCATTCACATGGGCTTCCTGTTTGAGACAACCATCCAAATTCAAAGCCATGCGTCTGGACGGAAGGGGTGGTGGACCCTGTATTTTGCACAATCACTAGGATTCGAATTAAGCGAGCCACCATGGCCCAAGTTTTGACCATCGGGCACATAGTGCAGAACAGGCCGCCTTTAATTGCTGAAGAACCTATTTTTCCTATTATCTATGAACATAATTTTGACCCAGGATCAATCAACCGGAGTGGCCACAACAAGCTACCGGCACCCAACAATACCCTCTTGCCACCAGAAATTTGCCGGCTCATCACATGCAGACAAGTGGCAGGCCCTGGCCCCTCCCAGCGGGCGGAAAATTAGATGAACATCAGAAGTGGGCGGGGCCCATTGAGCATAGGTGTCCTTTTTGGTTGGTTTGCTTAAAAAATAGAGGGGCCTGGTTTAGATGGGGTCCATCTATTTTTCCAAAAGGCCACCTATGCCAGTCAGGCCTTCGCTTGTGACGCTCTTTTGCTCGTCGCTCGTGAAGCTCGTTCTCTTGTCGCTTGTGACGCTCGCTCCTTTGATAGCTCTCCCGCACCTACACAGGCCAGTCTCTTGCTCGCATAGCCGACTTCACCCCACCTCGCCCATGATGGTGGTGATGAGGATCGTGCTGCGGTTGTGTCGCAAGTGATCGGCATTGGCGTCATTTGTGTCGCAAGTGATCGGAGAATATCTATCCAAACAAGCCCCCTGGCAGCTTTCATGTTGGAGGGTAGCGCTACCCCTGCACATTAGCCTCCCAAAGCACAGCATTTTGGGGATCCATGTTCATCCCTAGGGGTGCAGCTTTGGCCGCAGCCTTTGGGTGATCCCAAGTCTTTCGCATGTAACGCCCGTGCAAATAGCGACCGGGGTTGGTTCTTTTGAACATGTGTTAAAAACGCCTGGATGCTTGTCCCCCCAAAAAAGAAATACCAAAACTCGATGTTGATGAACAATACTGGCTTACTTTGTTCCAACAATCATGGAAATGGCAATGTGGAGTCTTCGAGTGAGGCCCCTACGGACTGAGGTGGTGCGCCTATCGATTGAATCCCTCGGAGCAGCGGGAAACCGACAACGACCGAAAGAGCTTCGAGCTGGATCCTTCGCTGAAGGAAGCAGGCCAGGGGCATAAAAGCTTTGGGGTCTCTGCCCAGAAAGGCTCTGGGGTGTGGGGCAGCTTTCAGAGGGCTAGGGGTTCCGGGGCTGTTGGGGAGACCACCTGGGCTTATTTCAATTGATCGACCAATTGAAGTTTCGCAGCCGTGGTGGTGAATGGGCCGTCTTGGGCACACCGGTAGCCGGTAGTCACCCCTGCCCAAACGACCATGTCTAAAAAACACTTTTGAAGTTTTGGAGTGAAGTTTGTTTTTCTCGGGTTTGTCAGACAGTCAGCCTCATCCACGACGTTCTATGACCAGAACTCCTAGATCAGCAAACTCCCTCTTGGAAACCAATGTACGGAAGCCCTGCAACTTGCCAAAGGCGGGCTTGTACTCAGGAATTTGGATTTCCAGACAGGGAATCGTATTGGCTCCCTGGATGTTTCAGGGATAAGCAGAAAGCGTATCGTAGCGTTTGTTGCTTGGCTTTGTCACTTGGCAGTGACTTTTGTTGGAGGGTTTGTAACAGAGCCGCAGAGGACATTTGTTGCAGACCTTGTTACAGACCTCTGTAGTAAGACCCGCTGGCTCGTTACACACCCCTCGTTACACACACTCGTTACACACCTCAGATGAACAAACCGGGCCAGTGACTGCCTTAGCTTTTGAGTTGTGTAGTGTTTAGTGGTTGGATGTCCATTTCATACGCTGAAAGGTAGACTCTTAGCAGTGGATTTGTAAACGGACAGCTTTTGAGGTCCCAGTGGCCAATCAGCTTCCCGCAGGCATCGAGCAGACGTCCCCGAACGACTACAGGCGGGGCGCTTTGCCCTTGGGGTCAAGGCCCAGGCGTTTGTTTAAAGGAGGCCTGAGGGAGGTTATGTTTAAACAGACGTGGTTTGAACAAGCGGTTGGCCCAAGCTGGCCCCGCGGCAGTTTCTACGCGCGGAGCTTGTGGGCGACTTGTAAGCCTACACCATGTAGAACCAAAACCCAATGGGCGTTCCATTGGGATTCGATTCCCATGGTAAATGCCTACAAACCTTGTGGCTTCAACCAAGGATTCATTTCGTGGCGCAGTTCCAGATTTCCTCCATCAACGGTCCCTTCTCCCTTTTGCTTGTTTTACGCAGGGCACTTTTCGGGCCAGATCAAAGGTGGTTGCCTAGTAGGCCTAGGTAAGAGCTTGTATGCCTGTTCTGGAGAAGAGGCATGCCAAGCTTGTCTTGGGTGGTTCCCAGCAAATCTCCACACGTAGCTTTTTAGGGCTTAGGGGTTTCCATTTGACCCACTCAAAGTTATGCACTTTTGGCGCAGGGGCTCCGAAAACGGCCCGCCCGTTCCCCGGTGTTTTTCAAGGTGAAAGCTTTCCTGCCAGGAACAGCGGCTTTGACAAGGGCCACTTGGCCCCTTCGCTGGCCCTCAGCTTTCGGCGGGAGAAGCTGATCAAAGCGGAGCGCAGCCCCTGGAGAGCGAGTTACTACGCCAGCAACATTGCGCCCCAGCCCCCTGGCTGCGGAAAGAGGGGGGGAAGGGAACAAGAAGGCGGGGAGAGACCGAGGTCGTGGATGTCGTGGTCAGTGTTTTTTTCCTTTTGTTTTTTCTTTCCGATTGGTGGGCTCTTGGGCGGCCTTTGAATGGGCTTCAGTGGTGTTTTATTTTTTTTTTGGGGGGGGGGCTGTCCTTGGAAACCAAGAACAAAAGAGGTACCCTCAAGAACAGACAAAGTCGGAGCCCACCGACACGGCCAAGTTCGTTGAGCTTCGCAGAGGTCATCAGCGGACAGGGTGTCCTTCTGTCCTGTGGTTTGAGCGTTGCTTTGGCGCGCAGATTGACCCTTGGTGGGGTGTGGTATGTTCGAGCTACAGCTCGTCTTCCCCCGTCTTCGCGCAATTTGTTGAGAATTCTTCCTGGCACCGTAGTGGTGTTGTCCATGTTGGGCATGTTTCAAGGGTCCGACTCAAGCGCCATTTCGGAAAAATCAAACATGGCAGTGACTCCTGGTCAAAAGGTGTTCTAAAATGATGCCATGTCTGTGTGTGTGTGTGCGTGTGGGGATTGCCAGGCGTTTCAGTGTCGCCTCAAGCCCCCATGAATTTGCCAGGCCTTCGTCAGTCCAGAGAATCCACAAAACAATCCAGGAGAAGTGCGTTTGCAGTGGGTAGGTTCATCCCAGATTTCATACTGTGGGTGGACGAAATCCTGCACCGGCTGAGAAATCCTGGAATGATGATTTCCCTGTAAATAGCGACGATCAATGCGTGGCTGTAAAGTGGTGCAGATTTTGTCCGTCCACAGTAGGGTTTCATGCATCCCGGTGCAGGATTTCGTCCATCAGTAGGGTACCAAAAGCCAACGACACGGCACGGTCCGGCGATTTTCTGCAGAGCTCGTGCCCACACCAAGGGGAGGCGGCCTGTTTCTAGAAAACGGTTTTGGATCTGGATTGCGTGGTAAAAGGAAGGCGCGCACACATTCGCGTTCCCCACCAAGAACTTGGATTTGCAAGTGTTGTGTGGCTTCCTCCTGGTGTTCGCCCCAAAAAAAGGTGCCTGCCAGTGTTCGCTTCATACCGTATAGGGGTGAATCGTGCACCCTTTTGCAGAGGGGCTTTGGGGGATCCAGTGCAAGCCATTCATCCACCCCTCGCCGCAGGCTGGCCAACATGAACCAAAGAAGTTCCTCGGCTTACGTGGAATGCGCCGGATGGTGGGGGTGTTGGGTTGTGCGTTTCTTTGGAGGCCCTTTTTCAGATATACCCTTAGGCCCTTATGACTTGGGTTGGTTGGGTTTGAACCCCGGGCAACTCGGGAGGACCTCCAAGCCGCCAAGCTCCAAACCACCAAAAAATGAGGGAAGCTGACCCTCTTTGGCATATCCCGTACGGGATCGCAACGAAATTTGAGCCGACAGGAAGCCAATCTGCAAAGTCCTTCGTTTTGAGACGCGCCAATGTAAGAAACCACCACCCGGGAAGAGTGTTAGGGGTTCTGGTGCCAACCAGAAATCGGAGCAGATGTGCACCACTTGAGTTGTGTGTGCATTGTTTTTAGGGCGCAATGGTCTAAACACTTTAAGGCTGTTGTGGGGTACGGTGGGAGCAAGTTGAGTCATGATCGGAAGCGAGTAGTGTATACAATGATTTAGCCTCCTATAAACCCGACCCCTACACCAAGTTCTGAATTTGACTCATTTGCCTTCAATGCGAACTACCCTAAGCCGCCAAATCAATTCTTTGACTCCCACTCAGAAGGCAGGCGCCCCTGAGGGTGCTTCAGTGGGTGTGTCTTGTTTTGAGTGTGTTTTGGGGCTGTTTGAAAAGGACAGCGGGCAGACTGGCAGATTCCGAGGTGGTTCAGTCGCTGGCTTTCAGGTGAAAGGCTCAGATCTTGCACTGCAGGTTGGCAAACATTGGAGGACGCCCTGCACGACTATGCGGAAGCTTTACCAGTGGCTGCTTGCATACATATTTCAGGTCGTCTGGGCTGAGCTACAATCCCTCCGGAAGGGAGAGGGGTCTGTTTTGTAGTGGCTTCCCTCACTTTGGGATTGTTTGTTTGCGTTGGCCACGCCTCATTTTTACCAGCCCAGTTGGAAGTTGTTTAGAGGGCTTGACGCCTGACAGCGTATAGAGAGTACCATGGATTCCGGAAGCGCCGGAAGTGTAAGCTGGCGTAGCCACAGCATGGAAACGCTTAAGCTGCAAATTGGAGCCGAGGCGCATGCCGACGTGTTTGTGGTTGCTGGACTGGGGTATTGGAATCGCGAGTTGCCGCGGATGTGGGAGGATGGAACTGACGCACAGCTGCAGCTTCAGTGGGCATTCAGCGAGCCATCGTCAACTGTCTTCCTGCGCGCAGGGTTTGGCCGAGTCGCGAAATGGATCTTGGAGCGTCAAGCGGGCTTCCGTCAAATGCAGCGGTCTACGGTCATTTGAGTCTAAACCCGTGGGAGACGAGTTTAGTTTCATTTGCGCAGTTTTATATGAGAGCTGCACATTTACCGTGGCTGTCAGGCTTGGTGCGCCCAATGAGCCCACTCAAAGATGTCCAGAAGCCATGCATCCCAAGGAGTGTAGCACTGAATGCGTAGCTGACGACTTGGATTGTCAGCCGTGCACCGACGACTACATCACTGTTCCGACCTTCTTTTGGACGCTCAGCTTGCTGCGCCTTTGCTTTTTGTCTTTTCAGAAAGCAAATCTGCGGGAGTCTTCCCGTATTTTCTTCCGACCCCGCAGAGTTCCCTCCAAGTTTCCCTTGAAACAGGCAGATCGAACCAACATAGACTACCTCGGTTTGGTTTGGTTGGAAAACCTTTGAACGCGCATCGAGACCTTTGGCAAAAGCCGGCGAGTTGTGCTCGCAGGAAGGCCGCCTGCGACCCCTCGCTGGGCTCCTTCGCCATGATCGCGGAGAACGACCCCAGCTCCGACGAGTTGGAGGGCAGCAGCGGCGGATGGCCGCCCTCCGTCTTCCAGGCGGGGCGCGGGTTTCGGGTGGAACCGTTCGACGTCCTTTTAAAGGGACTGCCGGTGGGAGGGTACCCCTTCATTGGCGGTTTGGAAGGCACCCCCTAAGATCCAAACCAAACCAAATCACCAATTAGGGGTAAGGTGACTTGGTGGAGGGGGGCAATCCAACTGCTTGAACGTGTCCAAGTTGTTATCCTTGCAATTGTCCGGGCCATGCTAATCCTGCGGACCCCTTTGAATAAGGAAGTTGTCTATTTTGCGGGGCTGCTCTGAGAAGTATGTCCTCCGGATTCGTGCCAAGATAATTAGCTGCTTGCTGCAACAACCTCCTCTGGGCCAGGATCATCCATGGTCTATTTGTTGAACCATGTTTTTTGGCTCGGCGCTGTTCTTGAGTGAGAGCATTTGCGATCTGCGCAGGACTCCCCTTGGAGTGGAAGTGGCTCGTCACCCTTTTTGGGGCGGCGCTTTTTATAGGAATTTCAATCCTTGAAACCGAAGTCCATTTTGAGCGGTTCCCTCAAGAGAAAACACCCACCAACCAATCACCCAACCAACCAACCAACCAACCAACGAACCAACCTGCCAACCAACGAACCAACAAACCACCCAACCAACCACCCAACCACCCAACCAACTAACCACCCAACCACCCAACCACCCACCCACCCACCCACCCACCCACCCACCCACCCACCCACCCACCCGGCCACCCACCCACCCACCCACCCACCCACCCACCCACCCACCCACCCACCCACCCACCCAACCACCCAACCACCCAACCACCCAACCACCCAACCACCCAACCCAACCAACCAACCAACCAACCAACCAACCAACCAACCAACCAACCAACCAACCAATTTAGCAACCAACCAACCAACCAACCAACCAACCAACCAACCAACCGACGAACCAACCAACCAACCAACCAACGAACCAACCAACCAACCCAACCAACCCAACCAACGAACCAACTAAGCAACGAACCAACCAACCAACCAACCAACCAACCAACCAACCAACCAACCAACCGACGAACCAACCAACCAACCAACCAACGAACCAACCAACCAACCCAACCAACCCAACCAACGAACCAACTAAGCAACGAACCAACCAACCAACCAACCAACCAACCAACCAACCAACCACCCACCCAACCAAGCAAGCAAGCAACCAACCAACCAACCAACCAACCAACCAACAAACCAACTAAGCAACCAAGCAACCAACCAAGCAACCAACGAACCAACGAACCAACCAATCAACGAACCAACAAACCAACAAATCAACCAACCAACCAACCAACCAACCAACCAACCAACCAACCAACCAACCAACCAACCAACCAACCAACCAACCAACCAACCAACCAACCAACCAACCCAACCAACGAACCAACTAAGCAACCAAGCAACCAAGCAACCAACCAACAAACCAACGAACCAACTAACCAACCAACCAACCATAGCCAACCAACCAACCAACCAACCGACCGACCAACCAACCAACCAACCAACCAACCAACCAACCAACAAACCAACTAAGCAACCAAGCAACGAACGAACCAACGAACCAACGAACCAATGAACCAACCAACCAACCAACCAACCCAACCAACCCAACCAACGAACCAACTAAGCAACGAACCAACCAACCAACCACCCAACCAACCAACCAACCAACCAACCAACCAACCAACCAACCAACCAACCAACCAACCAACCAACCAACCAACCAACCAACCAACCAACCAACCAACCAACAAGCCAACTAAGCAACCAAGCAACCAACCAAGCAACCAACAAACCAACCAACCAACCAATCAACGAACCAACAAACCAACCAACCAACCAACCCACGAACCAATGAACCAACTAAGCAACCAACGAACCAACGAACCAACCAATCAACGAACCAACGAACCAACCAACCAACCAACCAACCAACCAACCAACCAACCAACCAACCAACCAACCAACCAACCAACCAACCAACCAACCAACCAACCAACAAACCAACTAAGCAACCAAGCAACCAACCAACCAACCAACGAACGAACGAACCAACCAACAAACCAACCAACCAACCAACGAACCAACGAACCAACGAACCAACGAACCAATGAACTAACGAACCAAACCAACGAACCAACCAACAAACCAACCAACCAACGAACCAATGAACCAACGAACCAACAAACCAATCAACCAAACATGTTTTTGCTCGGTTTGCGCGGGCGGTTCGGTCTTGTGGCGGAGGCCTACCCGGTCACTGCGGTGGAGCAGTTTTTCGGTCTGAAGCTGCACTTCCCTCTGGAGCGGCTCGGGGTGAGGGGGGGGGAAGAGAAGGAGAAAACGAAGAGAGGGAGAAGGACAAAGAGAAGAGAGAAAGGTAAAGGGGAAGAGAACGCGAAGGAAATAGAAAGAAAAGAGAGACAAAGAAAAAGAGCGAGAATAAATGAGAAAGGGGAAGAGAGAGACAAAAATAGAGAGAGCGAGAGAAATAATGAAGAAGCAAGACAAGCAAGGGAAAGAGAACTATAGTTCTTAACTGTTTGCTACTGGTATGAAGCAAAGCAAACCACATATAGCTTCATAGCCTTGACACACGTAAACTCGCACATATATATATATACACACATGAGCATTAAGATTATGAGTTTTAATGCTTAGAACACTCTCCAAAAGCATTGGTGGACAAACATCAACTTGCGTACCAAAGGGGTTTGCAACGCTTGCGAGGCAAGCTTGCAAGTTGAACGGGATGCAACTATCTTGCACGCAGAAAGAGCTGCATTCTGCAGCTCTTGAGTTAGCATCTTGCTAGCTTGGCATGCTAGCTTCACTCGCATGAATGATAAGAGGCTCATCAGCTCGAAAAGCCCTAACCCCCACACCCCCCTGCGCAAAGGGCTGCAAGTGATTCTTGGGAAGGGTGATTTGGGGGTTGGAGTAGTGGAAGTAAGCTCTCCCTTGATTCTACCAAACGGTTTGGATGGTTTTTTTCGTGGATTGATCCCTGTAGGATATTAAAAGAGTGCTAAACAAGCAGCAAAAAAGAACCTACAGGGGGGACATGAGAAACCCACAAGCGCATCCAAACCGTTTTTTAGATTTATGGGGGCACCCTGCTCCCCAAGGAGTGCCATCCTGAGCAGATCAACCACCTGGTCCCTCACTGGAACGAGGGTAAGACGAGCGGCACGGTGCCCACGGCAAGCACGCAGGGCCAGCTGAGCATTGGCCTGCTGAAAATCGGGGGGAAGCGGGTGAAGTACCGGGAGCACGTGTCTTGCTTGGTCTTTGGTACGGCCTTTAAGTCGTTTGACCCGTTTGGAAAATCGCCCTTGGCTTTTCGCCCAACTGAAGCCTTGACCTATCCCTTCTGGGAAAATGACGATTTTCCCACCAAGTAGCCAAAAGCTACCTTTTGTTAAGCAAGCACGGAACCTGAAAGGAGCTCCTCCACGACCATTTCACTACTCCCCTCTCTTTCAGGTTCTGCCTGCTGAGAGGGTCAACTTTTGCAGGCGAAGCGAGTCGGCCCTTTTTCACCGCGTGTTTTTCATCTTTGGCTCTATTCGCCGAGGTCTTAAAACGGCGATCTCCTTAAGTCCAGGTCCCGGGGAGGGCCAGTGGCCGTGGTCAAAACTGGAGGTGCCATTTTGGTAGCTGAATTCACCACCCATTTTAGGCTTCCTATTTTAGTGGTTGGATTGAAGCGGAGGTTCACTGGCGGTACGATTTGGATTTCGACCCATGGCTTGTTCCCATGGTTTAACCTATGGGTCATGGGTGGTTCTCTTCTTCGGGGATGGGCCAGTGAGACCCAGGTCTGGCTGCACTTCCGGGCCAGCTTCGGCCCGGCGGCGGACTTCCACACCTCGCTGAGCATCCGCCCCCCGCCCGCGGCGTCCTTCTTCACCAGGGGGTGGCAGGCCGACTGCGAGACGCTGGCGCCGCAGCAGCTACCCTCAGCCCGGGAGCTTGGAACACCTCTTCCGGAAGGTATGGTTCTAGGGGTTGATCCCATCCATTATTTTCAACCGTCATTATTTTCAAAAACCGGCTGTTTCCCATGGGTTTTTGATGGTTTCCTGAAAAGAAGGATCCCTGAAAAAAAGGGGAAGGTACCCCTGAATGGTCTTCCAGTTGGTTAAGAATATGTTTTGATTTTCCCCTGTGGATTTTAAAGGGAATCGATTTCACTACTGGAAATATTTGTTTCATTTTTTCCAGGTGACTTAAGCAATTGGAGGGGAACCATAGGTGTCCTCTTTGGTTGTCTTGGTCGAAAAATAGAGGGCGATTCCTGGTTTACCTGGTGGTTTAAGCATCTACCAGGGCCATCTATTTACCCTAACAGGACACCTATGCTTGGAACATCTCTTCCGGAGGGTATGGTTGGAGGGGCCCGTGCCCAAGCCCCGCGCCGGAAAAAAAAAAAAACAAAAAACAAAAAACTGCGCTCTGAAATGGACCAGGCCGCTTTGAAGGAGAAGTTTTGGTCATGGAAGTTTGAGGGGCTATGGGCGCAGGGCTTATGCGCTGGACAGGATCTCCCTGGATAAGGCTTGAATGGGGGTAAACCAGGGACTGCCCACCTCCATACCCAATTAGGACTTTGGGGGGTGGAACTTGTCGCTTGGGAGCAGACCCATCAGCTCTCCAAAGCTATTTTACACTGGTGCAATTCCCTTTCCGTCGGGGGGGAGGAGCCCATGAGGGGAATCGTGCCATCTACTTTCACCCAACCGTATATTTTAGGGTAGGCTAATCAATTCAGCATCTGTACATTTTTTTTGTCGAACTCTTGTTTGTGGGCCAAGGTTCAGAGTTGCAGCCAGTCTTCCAGCGACATCACACTGACCTTTGATCATCCGGCGAAAGGCGGCACTGCCCTGTTCAAGCTGCGGATGGTAGCTCCCAATGGGCCGCTGGCGCACAACCAGTGGCTGCTCAAGGCGACTTTTTGTCCAGCAGCTTAGACCAAAAGAGGATAAGTAGCTCAGGGCTTCCTCCATCTCCTCGTTCGGATGTTCCAAACAGGTTCAACAGACACCACCCGTAAATTGCAACTTGTTTTTGGGACATCCAGGAACCTCTGTAAGTTGTGTGATTTTGCCAACCCTCCTATGTAGCGCCCAGGCCCGGGCTAGCTGCTTTAGAGCTTACATGCATGCATGTTATTTACAACAACCAGGTGGTGTGTGGGACATGTGCGTTTGGTTGCTTTGTGTTTTTGAGTTTGCCCTTGTGTTCGTATTTGTGCATTTGCTTGTGTTTGTGCTTGTGCTTCCGTGCGTGCATGTGTCTCTGTCACTGTGTGTGTGCGTGTGTGCTTGTGCTTGTGCTTGTGCTTGTGTTTGTGTTCGTGTTCGTGTTTGTGCGTGTGTTTGTGTGTCTTTTGTCACTTGTCTTTGTGTGTGTGTGTGTTTTGCGTGTGTGTATATGTGTGTGTGTGTGCATGTGGTTGCGCGGTTCTGTGTTTGCGTGTATATGTGTGTTCTTCTGCTTGTGTGTTTATGTCTCTGTCTCTCCTCGTGTTGTTGCTTTTTGTGTAAGTTGTTGTCGCCGTCGCCTTTTTTTCTATTTTGGACTTGTGTTTGTGACGATGTGTGTCTGCGTGTCGCTGTGTTTGTGTCCGCGTTTGTCCGTGTGTCTGTGTTATCAGTGTTTTATTTGTGTTTGCGAGTTTGCTGTGTTTTGGGGGGATTGTTTTGTGCGTGTTTGCGTGTCCTCAGTTTGCGTGCATTTGGGGTTGTCTTTTTCCAGGGTACTTGTTTTGCGTTTGGTTTCTCTTTGGAGCGTTCCGTGAGAACAATTTCAACCCTTCAGCTACCTACCTACCCTCCCTACCTACCTACCTACATACCATCCTACCAGCCTACCAACCTACCAACCTACCTACCTACCAACCTACCTACCAACCAACCAACCTACCAACCAAGCAACCTACCAACCTACCAACCAACCGACCAACCGACCAACCGACTACCAACCTACCAACCTACCAACCATCCAACCATCCAACCATCCAACCAACCAACCAACCAACCAACCAACCAACTAACCAACCAACGCAGCTGCAACATTGTACAATTTGCAGGTGGCCGCGTTGCGTGCTGCGCACTGCCTGCAATTTGCTGCAATGCAAATTGCGCTTGCAGTTGCAGCGCGCGCCGCGTCCAGCTACACTTTGCTGGTTGCACGCAATTCGCGCCGAGCAGACGCTAAATTGCATTGGACGGACGCAGCTACAACAATAAAACTGTGCAAATTGTGTTTGCAGGGCGTTGCGCGCAGCGCCGCGTTGCGTGCTGTGTTGCGCTGCTGCAATTTGCTGCAACGCAAATTGCACTGCATTTGCCTTGCGCGCCAGCCGCTAAATTGCACTGCAAGTTGCGTTTGTAGGTGGTGCGGACCAGCTGCAACAAGGTACTGCGCTACCAATTGCGTTTGCAGGTGGCGAACAGTTGCTGCAGTGCAAATTGCGCTTGCAGCCTGCGCGCAGCCGCTAAATTGACTGCGAGTTGCGTTGCAGGGGCGCGGATCGGAGTTGGACGGACGCAGCTGCAACAATGTACTGTGCTGCAAATTGCGTTTGCAGGGCGTTGCGCGCAGCGCAGCGCTGCGCAACCTTGCAGAGCGACCGCGGCCGCTAAATTGCAAGTTGCATTTCAGGTGGTGTGCTTGTGGCAGCAAAATTGGACGGACGAGCTGGTACTGCGCTGCAAAATGCGCTTGCAGGTGGCAGTTGCGCAATTGTTGCTTGCTGTACCTGCAAGTTGCTGCAAGAGTGCAGCTTGCACAGCGCTGCATGCTGCAGGCGGAGTGTTTGCCGTTTGCGCGGCGTGCAGCGCGGTGTTGCTGGCGCTTTTCTTTGCGCAAGTCAGTCGCGCTGCTTTCAACTAACCAACCAACCTACCTACCTTTCTACCACCCTGCCTACCTATCTACCACCCTGCCAACCAATCAACCAACGACAAACCCATTGTCTTGCTTGACAGGCCACGGGGGGCAAGATGGAGGCCGTGGTCGCCGGTGAGGGCTTCGAGCTGGTGCCCAGCGGGCAGTTCCATGAGCACGTCCAGCGGCAGCTTGTATTCGTCTTTCTCGGTCTCCTTTCTTGTAGGGAAACCATCCCGGAACACCGGGCTCCAAACCGCCAAAAAACGAGGGACGCGGAAAGCAGATGTGTAAATCTGCTTTGGCCATGGTTCAAAATCCCACTAAAAAAACTAAACTGGGTGGTGCACCTACCCCAAAAAATGGTTCCATTGGCGTTGACCCACAGCCATTCGTTTTTTAGTGCGCCCTACGGCCCTGGGGTGCCAAGGCAGCTGCCCTTCTTCTGCTCTGCGGCCGTTTTGCTGCTCATCTGCTGCCCGCCTGCAAGTCAGAGGCAAGCGCCCCTCCAGGCAGCGCCCACGCCCCCCCCCCCCGCCGAAACCCCAGCCCAACACGCCCAATTCACCCTGCCTGCCTGGTTGCGCGCTCCTTAAGCGACTTGGGGCAAGGTGGCTTCAACAAATAGAACACCAAGCGCGAAGCAGGCTTCCCCAAAAAACGCACATAGGTTGTTTATGGAGGCCCTATTCGAAAGAAACAGCAGCAGCAGAAAAGACATTTCCATGGCCTTTGGGCAAGCAAGACGAGGGACCAGTGGCTAAAGGGAGTGGATATCTTGGTGCTGGATGGCTGCAGGGCTTGAACACAGGTCTTGGGCCCAGTTCCTTGCGTCAAACATGACTGCTGAGTTGGCAACGAACGGCACTTTGCGTTGTGCATGTCGTTTTCATGGCCCGAAAATGCCATCCTCCGGCCAGTCAACTCAGCGTGACTCGGGCAGAGCGCACCCGGGAGGCCAAGTTGTACTGGCAGTGGGCAGGGTTGGGCGAATTTTGCAACATGCAGACCCTTGCCACTTCAAAACGAAACCGAAGGAGATGATCCATTATCTACCCACCATGGTCCGTCAATGCCATGGTGCATCTAACCACTACCATGGTCCGTCCACAATACCATGGGTCCGTCTGCGCAATACCATGGGTTCGTCTACCCAATGCAACCAATACCTCCGGGTGTAACCATGTCACTGGTAGGGGAGCTATGCATGCACTGTCCGCGCTGGACTAACCCTTGGCTGCAAAGCTGGAGAGAGCGTAAGCAAAAAAAAACATGTCACCGGGTGGCACCTCGGGCGACAGGCTGCGTGGGGTGTGGACGGCGCTTCTGCGGCCGCAGCGTGCGGGAGCGAGCCTCGCCTCACCGCGCGTCGCCGGGGGGGGGGGGGGAAGGGATGGGGCGGGGAGAAGGCGCCGATGGGGTGTGTCTTGGTTTGGGGGCAGAAACCCGCCTTGTGGTTGGTTTAAATGGGGGGACCAAAGGGAAAACAGCAAATTGTTGGGGCCCCCCTTTGAGACAAACCCGTTTCACTGGCGCCCTTCAAGCACCATTATAAGGGTTTCGTCAATGGCTTTGAAGGAGTCTGAGAGAGTAGTTCGAATATGTTCAAACTCAGAAGCAGAGCTTGGTTTTGCCGAAAGCTGGGGGGGCTTCAAGAGTGGTAAGGCAATGGGGCCAGCAAGTTCCACGCACCCAAAGCTGATTGCAGCCATGAAGCCCTAACCCTTCCGAGCATTAAACCGGACCTAAACTCAGGGCTTGAGTGCAAGGTCAACCCTTAAACAAAGCCCTGAGACCTTCAAGCCAAAATAACCCGAAATCTACACTCCAAACTGGCTTGGCTAAACCTAAACTGAGGTCAGGTTAAACCCTAAGTCTAGACCCTAAACTGAGGGCCTGAGATCAAGTTAAACCCTAAACTTGAACCCTCAAGCGCGGGGATTCTGTCCAGGAAGTGGCAGTTGCCCTCGATGCCCGTCGTGTTGGTTCATCCAAGCATTGAGAGACCAGGAGCCGACACTGATTTCAGGGCCCTGTTGCCCTGAGCCGAAACGTGTGCTAGCTTCCACGGACCTGCAGGGCTCGGGCCCCAAGGCCACAAGCAAGTTTTGACCGTGGCGCATAGCGCAACATTCATTCCCCCCTCGTGGTTTAGCTGCTAGATCGCGTCTCAGATCCAGTCATTGCAACCTGATCTCTCCCATGACTCATAAGATCCCATGTTTTTTTCGTGTTTCTTCCCCATGACCCACAAGATCCCGCGTCTTTTTTGGTTGATGAGGGGCAGTTTTCTCTGGGCCTTTTGGTCGAACACCACCCTTGAAACTTGAGGCGAGCTGGAGCAGGCGCTGGAGCGGGAGCGCGCCACGCTGCGGGAGCTGCGAGGCGCTGGCGGCGCTGGCGGCGCGTGGGCCAGCGGCGCTGCTGGCGGGGTGGGTGGGGGAGGTGGGTGGGGGAGCTGGGTGGGGGAGGTGAGGGCTGGGGCCTTTAAGCCCTTAGAAGTTGGATCATGTTTGGCCCCCAAGGCCATTCAAGTCGCAAACTGTTTCCCTTTAACTTAGTACTTTGGGGGGGGGGGGGAGAGTCATGGGGCCCTTTGAAGGAAAGCTTCATGCAAAAAAACACCAACGTGTCTCAAACTGTGGTGGAGGGTTGGGCAAATGTTGTTTTGCACGTTTACTCCTGCAGCATGGAATGCAAGAAGCCGGCATTTCTAGAATTTCTACAGAAAGCTCCTCTTGGGGGACTTATTTCTTGGGTTCCATGACAATTTTTAATCCAAGATGGTGTGTTTTGCGGTTGATGTTGAACAGACACCTGAGCTGCCCCCGGCTACCACCCCGCCCGCCGGAGCTTTTTGACAAATGGCATCTTCGAGTCCCATTCGTTGCGGAGTAACTTCCTATGGCCTTTAGAAGGGTGGGATTTGTTGTCAGAGCTGGCGGCTGTGTGGCCGGCAAGAAGTGTCGGTGGGGGCTTTGCTTGACCTGTTGCGAAGTCTGCAAACGGCAGAGGGCGGCTTCAGCCGGTTGGGTTGGGCCTGACAACTGACCACCAACTACTTTGAGCTTCCCTCTAGACCAACCTGAGGGTCCTTAGAAAGCAAACGGCCACATCCCGTTTGGAGGGCTCCTCAACTGGAATTGCTCGCGAGGCATTGAGCTCTGGAACTTGCGCCAGACGCGGCAATGAGGGAAAACCGAGCGCTTGCTGCTTTAAAGCTCTGCAAAGCCGGTCAGCAAATCGCAGCCCTTGCGAGGCTTGAAGGTTGACGCATCTCAAGCGAAAGTTTGGAAAAAGATCAACACGCAGGTAAAATCAGTTGGCTTGGTTTCCCGTAGTTTCATTTTCCCCAGACCAGATCTTTGATCGGGGTGGAGCTTGGCCGCACTAGAAGAGGCATCGGCAATGAAATGCAAGCCTTGCCATGCGAACGGCGGCTCGGCCTTCCTGAAAGGGGGAAGTATTGTTACATTTGTCTGGCGAGTTGGTTACTGGCCTGGTTTTCTGGTTGATGATCCGAGTGTGATACGCATCGTAGCGAGACCCACAATCTTACAAGGTCCGGGAAAGGTCCCTTTCTCCATGGCCCATTTTGCTTTGAACCGATCAACTCGCTTGCGCATTGAATTGGCAAGTGTTGTACTTTTTGATTGGAGGTTCCTCCATTTTCCGGCCCAAGTGGTTTGAGCTATTGCCGGAAGAACTCGGGCCAGATCAGGGTTGTGGGATCAAAGGGTTTATCCCCACTTCTGTGATATATTCGGGAATCTCCCCCGTTTTTATACATACAAATTCGTATTTGGGAAGCCCTTTCTCGAAGTGGTCATTCCGCACAGCCCTGCTCAACCCCCCCCGGCCCCAAATGAAACCATACGCAAAGTCGTCGAACGAACTCTCGGCTCCAGCGACTCCGAAAGATGAGAATCGCAAGCGGCGCGCCGTGAATGGACCGGCCATTTCGCCGATATAGGCGCCACTCGTCCGCTGCCGGGGACTGAGCCTTTGGGGGTGGATTCCCTTTAAACCATTTAGAGGGAAATTTTGAGGAGGTCGCTTTCATGGGCCCTGTCCATTCAAACACACAGGTAAGGGTGGCACATGAGGAATGGTCCCCAAATTTAGCAAACCGGGCCGGACTACACATTTGCTTTTTGTTGTTGCATTTTTGAGCTTTGCTCGAGGTTTGTATTTGGGGGGTGTTTTTTCCCATGGCGCCCATCCGCCCGTCCTTTCGAGAAACAAACATGAGGCTGTGTGTGACATCCCCTTAAGTTGCGTTTCGCCGGGGTTTGTGGGTAACCAAGGCATTAGGATTGGGGATGGGCCTGAGCTTGGGAAGGGAGGTATCGGGAAAGACGCTGGATCCGATTTCTCTGAGCCTTGGGGTTTCATTACCCGCGATCCTTCAGGCCAGCTGTGTGACCAGTTTGTCCAGAGCTTTGAGCTGGCCCACAGCTCAAGGTGTTTCCAGCAGCCAGACTGGCATCCCCACCCGCTCAAAAGTGGAATTGGGGGAGTGGGTGACCCCCGGGATTCAATTTCTGGTGAGCCATCTCCCTTTAATGGGGAAGACGAGTTCCAGGAATTGGGGACCCCTCCCCTCCCCAGCGGGTGTTGTTCGCCCCGAGGATGAACGTCAGCGGGCCTAACCTGGCAGTCCCAGTCGCTTCCCGGCGGGGCCCCGCCGGTTTGGATTTTGGATGGCGTCCCAGGAAGTTTGGGCCAGCAGTCGATAGCCTCCATTTGGTCAAGAAGATGTTTGTGGTTGTCCCCCGGTTTAAATGGACTTTAGGGCCTTTAGGGAGGGGGATAAGGGAATTATGTGGTTATGATCAATTTGTGTTTATGTGGTTTGTTGTTTAAAGGGAATCGATGTCACGGCTGGGCCATTTTTTGGTTCCAGGGGACTCAAGCAAATGGAGGGTCCGGTCGCAGACAGCCATTGCCAGTTCCAGGCTGCTATGTGTTCGGAGCCCCCACCCTCAGGATTGCCTCCCGCAAACATTCCACAAATAGCAGCCGGGTTCAATGCCTGCGCTGGCATTTGCCGATGGTGCCACTTGTGCCAGAAGAAAACTGGGCTTGGTCAGAGCGGTCATCCCTCAGTGCGGGCTTCAGGGAACCTTAAGGGACCTTGAGGTTTGTATGCATAAATTGGTGATCACGACAGGAGAGGCAAGTTTAGACTAGCACTTGAAAGTTACAAGGTTTGCCTATGTACCTCATGAAAACCCATGGAAGATCTGAAATTCGAGTTGAGACCTCTCGCACCTGGCTTGACTTTGCTGGTCAACTCGAAAGGGGAGGACAAACGCCATGCGTATCGGGGCAAAACCGCCGTGTAGGAAGTTCCAAACTTGCTTCTTGTGCGATAGGTAGGGAATGGCCAACTCCGGGTCTTGGGAATGAACCGGTTTTGGGGATTCCCTTCAAGGAAACCACCGGTGGTCATTCCAATTCCTTCGCTGCCTCCAAGCTCCGATTGGACTCCGAAATCCGGGTTCCTATGCTGAACCAGTGCAGGGGTTGCTCTTGCTTTTGGCGGGGATAGGTTGAGATTTGTCTGTTGGTTTTTTGTTTTGTGGGGCGGGGGTTCGGGGTTTTGGGGTATCACTTTGGACTCGCCAGGCCCGACGAGTTCCTGTCGACCGCGGATGAACCTCCCATCGAAACTCCTGGCAATTGGGGTGAGGGGGAGGGATGTGGACTTCGGGCTTCGGTGGTCCCAAGGCTTGGTGGATTTGTTTGGCTGGAAGCGCATGGAGAGATCGTTCCTTCTGCGCATGGGGATGTGTTACGTGGATGCAAGCGAGATGGCGAGGTTGTTGTGCCTATCCACTTGTGGCGAACCCAAACCTCTGCCATGGGTGTAGCGCGGAAAAAGGGTAGAGCTCAGGAGATGGCAATCCAGCTCAGCATTAGCGTTGACGAGGCGAAAGAGCCCGCAGTGGAGCAGAACGCGTTTCAGGAGCATGGGTGTCCTTTTTGGTTGCTTTGGGCTAAAAATCGAGGGCGATCCCTGGTGTACCTGGTGTTTTTGTTTTTGTTTTTTATCTACCAGGGAAACCCATCTATTTTCAACCAAAAGGACAGCCCTCAGATCGCCCGCTAGGAGCCTAACTTTTGGTGGGTCCAATGGCGGAAACCCATCTGTGTACCCTAAAAGGACACCTATGCCCAGGAGCCGAAGATCGAGATCCAGCCCAACCCCAATCGCCAGTCCAAGATCAAGAGGAAGGCCACTGGATTCGTGAAGAATGGCGAGGAGACGCGGAAGTGCTGCGTACTCATGTAGAGCCCAGGAGAGGTTTCAATCCGCACCTCGGAAGGAATTATACATAGATATATATATATATACGTATACATATGTATATGTATATATATATATAATATTTATTATATAACATATATATATATATACATTTGTCGTGGCGCGCACCTGCTGCTTGGCCGGTCTTTTTGCATCCTATACGCCTTGGAGCATGAGGTTCAGGCCGAGTGCCTAGTGGTTCCTCTTCCCTGCCAAAGGGGTGGAACGACGGGACGGCTGCATGCGGAATTTTCGAGAAGCGAAGAGGTGACCCAGGGAAACCACGACCCGGGGATGAATGGGGATATGCAGCCCATGGTGCCTCGAAATAGGGTTTGGACCCCTGGTTTGGGTGGCGTTTTGAAGGGAAAACTGGCCGAAACCTGGAGACACCCATATGGCAACTATATAGGACTATACCCCATGTTCTCCCAGAGTAGTTTGGGGGTAGCCACCGAGGTCCGCGACTGTCAAAGCACGCCTGAGCCGCGGAAAGGATCGAAAGGGTCCTTTTCGCTCGAGCGCAACCCGGACGATCCGATCGGCCACGAAAAGTGACATCCTCCCAAAATCACCGAGCGAAATGGTTGCAAGCCGTTCAGGGGTTTTCCACGTCCCAAGGGTAATATTGATCAGCCCCTCAAAACGTGTCCCAAAACAGGGCCTCACTAGGACTCCAAGCTCTATAGTTTCAGGACTGAGGCCTGCATACCTGAGTACCTGAGAACTTGCGGAGAGCTCACTTCATGAGTTCCGTTTCAGACTGAACAATCACTTGCCAACACATTAATAGATACACGGGTGCTCTCAAAGAATTCTTTAGTTGCTCCTGGACCATTTCAGTGGCAGGTCTGAGCTTTTTCTGGTTCCACTCAGGAGGTGAGAGAGTTGTCTCACCCGCGCGGTTGGCGGATCAGGTTGGAAGCGCCACGCCGAAAGTCTTTCGCCCGGGGGTGGGTCAGAAGGGATCGTTCCAAGTCAGTGCACGTTGCCTTGAGAACTCGAAACCCGACATGGCTTGCCAGGACTCCCTGAATTTACAAGAAACCATCAATGCCAATTACCCTCAACAGAAGAGATACACATCGGAACGCTGAGGGTGCACGGTCCAAACCCGGAACCCTCGTCAGGGCCGCTGGGAGTGGTCAAAATCCGAACCTGCAATCATGCCCTGATTCATTTGCACACCGCCCCCTTTTGAAAAGTGCATTTGTGTCAATATAGCTTTCTCTCTTGTAGGGGGCAGGTTGTGCCGGCAGGGTTACTTCTTTGCAGGCTGAGCTGATTCTTAGTGCCAGAGAGGCCATACCAGGGGCGCAGCGAGCTTTGGCTCAGCATCGTATAAGTTCCCATATTCAAGAGCATTCATGTCAAAGTCTTCCCCACCAGACTTGCAATTGCCGGATGAGATGCCTCAAGTACCGATTTGCCAAAGCTGCCCGCCTGGTTGCAACAAACTTGGTTTCACAAGGCCTTTCCGCGCGCAATGTTCACCGTGCGTTTGCGACTCGAGATAGTGGCGGCCATTGTGGAAGGCGTTTGCCAGATGGCCTGTTCAGTTCCCCTTCACTAAGACAAGTTGCCAAGATTCTCCATCGCCAGAGGGCCAAAAGGAAACTTCCAGCCGTCAAATTGCAGCAGGGGCGCCTCGCAAGTGCTGCAGAGATTGCAGATGTTTTGCTCTCGCCTCAACAGGCTTCAGAGCTTGCGCCGATCAGACACAACCCAGACAAAAAGATGGGTATTGTGGTGAGGGAGGGAGGGACAACAGGGAGGGAGGAGAGGGGGAGGGGAGGGAGGAGGGAGGGGGGGAGGGAGGGGAGGGGAGGGGAGGGGAGGGAGGGAGGGGAGGAGGGAGGGGAGGGAGGGGAGGGAGGGGAGGGAGGGGAGGGGAGGGGAGGGGGAGGGGGGAGGGGAGGGAGGGGGGGAGGGGAGGGGAGGGGAGGGGAGGGGGGCCGAATGCATGCTCAAAGGGTACCATGGATGAGGGCATGGCAAGCCAGGCAATGAACTTTCACATGCTCTGGAACCGCCACTCAGCAAAATTAGCTGGAGGCTGTTAAGGCCCCGTGTTTTGCCAGACCCTTTCGAGCAAGTGGGTGTCTGCCTTTGAGAGGAAACCTTTTCTCTAGGTTTGCTTTAAGAAGCCAAATGGAAATCTGGCACATGGAGGAGTCCCTAATTTCAAGACAAGACATGCCCAGTCCACGCACATGATGCAAGCTTGAACCGAGCGTGGATAAGCCAAGCTGGAAGAAAACAAGGCAAACACCGGCCGTACGCGTGCGTGCGGCACGCAGTCGCACGCACACCTCACTTGGGACGCCTCCCGTCCTTCGAACACGCGCGCACGCCATGCTGCCGCCCATCCAGACTGCGAGGTAAGCTGGCGCCTGTCTCAGGCGCATGCGCGACCGGACCGAGAGACAGAGACAGAGACAGAGACAGAGACAGAGAGAGAGAGAGAGAGAGAGAGAGTCAGTGAGTGAGTGAGTGAGTGAGTGAGTGAGTGAGTGAGTGAGTGAGTGAGTGAGTGAGTGAGTGAGTGAGTGAGTGAGTGAGTGAGTGAGTGAGTGAGTGAGTGAGTGAGTGAGTGAGTGAGTGAGTGAGTGAGTGAGTGAGTGAGTGAGTGAGTGAGTGAGTGAGTGAGTGAGTGAGTGAGTGAGTGAGTGAGTGAGTGAGTGAGTGAGTGAGTGAGTGAGTGAGTGAGTGAGTGAGTGAGTGAGTGAGTGAGTGAGTGAGTGAGTGAGTGAGTGAGTGAGTGAGTGAGTGAGTGAGTGAGTGAGTGAGTGAGTGAGTGAGTGAGTGAGTGAGTAAAACGAGCTCACGCATCCTGAAGGGCTTTAAGTTCAATTTGAAATTTGGCAACTCGGGTGTGAATGTGTTTTTTTGTGGATTTCTCCTGTTCTGGGTGAAACTAGCTGGCGCATGTTTTGCAGGCATAGTGAACCAAACCATGAACAAATGGTTTGTTTGCCCCAAGCATCGGTGTCCTTTTTAGGTAAGTTTTGCGTAAACATACGCGGTTTGGATTGGCTTAGTTCAGTTACCAGGGAAAGCCATGCATCTAGGAACGGCTTGGATGCGGTTTGTGTGGATCCACCCCTGCAGGATGCCAAAAGGGTACTAAAAGAGTACTAAAAAAAGAGCCTACGGGAAGGACGGGTGAAATCATTTCACAAGCGCCTCCAAACCGTTTTCTAGAAAATGCAGCAGTTCCAACAAGTCCCCAAGAAGCCCCAAGAAGCCGAACGCAGGTCATCGATGGCCTGGGAGCCGTGCTCCGACGCTGAGGACGCCGACACCCCGAAGCTGGTGTCGGCGGGGCCGGCGACCAGCGGCTCGGGGGCAATTCGGAGCTTGGAAGGGTGGGGGGATGGTGGGGTATCGTGGGGGATGATCTAACGTCCCCAGATTAAACCCTAGAAAACGGTTTGGATGTGGCTTTTGTGGAACCAGCCCTGTAGGATACAGGGGACACAACGAATAATAAGACCGGTGTATTCATCCGGGGTCAACGTTAGGGTGCAACCACCTGGACTTTTAGTTTGATTGTTTAAGTTTGAGTCTGCAAAATTGTCTCGAAGCGTCCAAGAGGGAGGGAGTGGAGTTTCCACTTCTTGTGGCCCCGATTTCATTTTTGAGGTAGGTTTGTTGGTCACAGCGTGGAGCGCCACGCATTTTCACAAGCCACAGTTGTATAGCAAAGCCATTCGAGTGTCCCTTCGAAGGGTGAGGAGGCTTTCGGTTTCAAGTCCGGTTTGGCTGTGGGTCAAAACCAATGGGATCCCATGTTGGGGTGGGTGGATTCACCACCCATTTTAGTACCTATTTTAGTGGGGGTTGAATCGGATGTTCACTGGGGGCTAACCGTTAAACCGATTTGGCTTGGGGATTTTGACCAAATGGCCGTCTGGGATTTGGCTTGGGGAGACTCCCCCCACCCCTTGGGCCATTCGCGCTGCGAAAAGCGCTCAGGAGATGGAGTCCAGCTCGATCCGGTGGCTTGGAGCAATGGGCGGGGCAGGCCACTAATGTGGGCATCCAAGTGGTGGGAGCGCGTGATTGCTTGGGAAAGCAAATGTGTGGCTTGCCAGAACAGATCCCTGCTAATGTTAACCGGATTCATAAAGCCCTGGTTGATTTTGATCGGGGGGTGTCTCCTTTTAGTGGGGATTCAGACCACTTTTGGAGCGAACACCCCCCTAATAATGGGACGGGTTTATCAATCCTGGGTCGACATTACTGGGGTGGGGGCCGCAAAAGAAAGTGGTCTGATTCCCAACACACCAGCACCCCTATGAATAACAGGGGTGTATTCAACGGCGTCAACAGTAACGGGGTTGTCTGGTTGGTTCAGCAAGCAGTCAAAACATCACCTCGACCAGCTGATGAGAAGCATCCCATCGTTTCGCTTTGTTGTTTTTTGTTTTCCGTGAGGAATCCGCTCAATGTTCAGCTTCCCCTTAATTGGTGGTTTGGATTGGGTTCAGGGGTGGCTTCCCATGAACCCAAGGACCAGGGTTCAATATGGTGGGGCGAATCTCCGTTGGGATGGACGGAACACAATGAATCCTGGGATGACCACACCTACCAACTGGGGTAGGATTTCATCCGGGGAATCACTCGCACCCGCCTTAGACGTTCAGCTGGTTGGTTGAGGGGTCGTCATTGCTGGAGCGTGCAGAAGGCCACTGTGAATGGAACCAAGTCTTCCAAAGGGGTCCTGGGAGCTTCCGGAGGGTAAAGGCCAACTGACGGCACAACACAAAGCCGGCTGAGCCACAATTCGGTGGTACTATTGGGGCCAGCCCCGACTGTAAAAGTGCTGCCGCCCATATTCTTTGGCCTTGCGTGGACCCCACTAAAGCCAGATGGTGATTTGTGTTGTTTGGTCAGGAGTGCGTCGCTCCTTTTGCGGCGGGGGAAGGGGGGGAATACTTCCCCAATGGGTCCCCACCTTGCCACCGTGTAATAGTTGAGGTCGGGGATTTTGGGTCGGGCTGGGATCTTACAAGATGCTCGGCCAAAAAAAAACTTCCACCTAGACCACAGGTACTGTGGGTTCAAAGTCTCCTGCACCAGCAGGTAGGTGGTTTACCCCAGTGTTTTGTGGGCTTTGTCCATATTCAGCTCGTGCCAAGCAGGTTCGTTCGAAATTCCAACCATTAAAATTATCTGGGTCAATCCGATTCATAATCCCACAAGGGAAGCCACGACAAAGAGGACCTCTTAGGATGAATGATTACATTTGAACAGCACAGTTTACATGATGAAGCCCCTGAGAAAAAGGTCAATGGTGGCATTGCTTGAAACCATTGCTCGTTGGTATTTACAGGGGAATCAAATCATTCCAGAGTTCTTCAGTGATCCGCAGTGATCCCCAGGGTTTCGTCCATCCACAGTATCACAGAAAGCGGCAACCCAGCCAATTTTGTCCCAACGCATTGTGGGTGGCCCTAGGGTCTGCAAGCGCGAAAGCCAGATGCGAAACTTCGAGTGCTCCGGACACCCAGGGAAACGGCCGGTTCTTGAAAAGAACGATGGTTGAAAAGAAGAATGGGGAGTCAACCGTTAGAAGACTGGGTCAACCAATCTTTGGCGCATTTTGCCGATGTTAGGACTTTACCTGGTTGCCAATGTGTTTTTTCCGTATTAAACCCCTTAGGCCGTCAGGCACTTTTAGCGGGAGCAGCAAGCAGTCGCGAGCCATGTGCTGGGGGTGACCCGGGGCTCGCGGCCTCGCGGGAGGAGGTCGTCATCTGGGACGAGAGTCGGCGCTGCTTCGCCTTCCACTGGGCTGGGCTCTTGGAGCCGCAGTCTGCCAAGAGGCCTCTCAGCTGACTCAAAGCATGGGAGGGGGCAGGTGGCTCAGAAGGGAAAGTGTGGGATTGACAACTTCCAATCTCTTGGATAGTTGACAAGGGCAGGTGGCTCAGAAGTCTCCGTTGGTGGGGGTTCTGATCCCAGAAATTGGGGGATTCGGAGAAGTGTGTGGATCTCAAGACTCCCATGTGACCGGTGGGAAAAATGGCTCGAAGCGTGGGGCGTATGACAGAAAATGGGGGAGTCCGACAAATGTGGTCGAACAAATCGACTGGTGAGCAGAAAATGGGGATTGATCCTCTGCCCGCCACTGAAAGGGGGGTGGCCCGAGGAAGTGGACGGCCGATGGCTCAAATGGCCCCCAAAAAACGGGGGCCCTTGGCAACAGGAAAGGAAGTGGTTACCCCCCCTACCCAAATGGGGGTTCTTGCTGGTGCGATAGGGAAGGACAGTTCCAGGTGTTGGGAGGTGACCCCCGTGGTCATTCGACGGTCTCTGTGAAGGAAGCCAAGGGGATCCCCTTTTGAAAGTGTGAAGCAGTGGGCTGGGCTGAGACCATGCGGATGGCTTGGCGGACAAAATGCGGACATGCAGATCAGGAAGGTGGAAGCGCCAGGGTGCTTCTTAGAGGGTATCGTTCCCCCATCCCTTCATGAACTCACTTCCTGAGTTCATGAACTTTAAACTTTTTGGGAAGACCATTTTAGTTGTAAATATAAAGTTTGAACTTTTTTGGGCCATCCACTCAGCAAGTGAGTGAAGAGAAGTAATCCGGATGAGAATGTAGCACCATTTCGAGAAGCATGCCTGAGAATGGGAAGGCGCTGGGAAACCTTTTATATATCTCGGCAACTTGAAAGTGTAGGTTTCCTCTCATGTCACGGCCAACCAAAAGGTCCAAGGGGCGCATTGCCATTCAGCCGCATGAAGGAGGAACTTAATAAATTAATGTTTGTCCAGGGCATTGCCCAACTCAGCTTACCGGTGGTTTTGTCTGGCAAGCCGCAGGTGTCCATCAATTCTCCCCTTCAAGCAGCAAACAGTTCCGGCATACAGTTTGGGTCTCCAGGGCTGGATCAGTTTTCCAGGCACCGTAGACGCCCAAAACGAAAGAACGACCTTTCGACCTTTGGGTTTCTTTTGTTTGGTCGCTTCCCGAGTTCCTGGACTTTAAAGCGTTTTGGAAAGGGCTCCCTTTTTTTTTCACCCTCCGAACTTGTTTTTTTAACCCTTCCTTTTTTTTCAACCCTCAAACCCTGCTTGGGAACCGTCGGCGGGAACCTTGTTTCTCCAACCCTGAGAAATCCATTCTTTTCAACCCCTCACCTTGTTTTTTTCACCCTTTGCCTTGTTTTTTTCACCCTCTGCCTTGTTTTTTTTCACCCGCGAGCTTGCTTGTTTCACCCCGCAACCTTGTTTTTCTCACCCTAAACCTAAAACAACCTAAGCCCGCCCCGCACCCAACCCAACCCAAACCAACCCTAGGCCCGCCCTAAGCCAAACCTTGCGAACCAGTATCTCTAAATCAATCTCAAACCAGCCAAACACGCCCAAACCCACCCCAAACCCACCCCAAACCCACCCTACACAACACCCCCTAAACGAGCCCTAAGCAAACCAGAAACGTCTTTTTTCCAACCCTAAACCCACCGCAAGCGCCACAGACCTACTCGAAACCACCCTAAAGCATACATAACCCACCCCTAACCAATCCCAAACCGACCCTAAACCAACCCTAAATCAACAAACTAAACCAACCCTAAACCAACAAGCCAGTCCTGCACCCACCCTAAACCCACCCTACACGAACTCTAAACCCACCCGAACCTTGATCCAACCGTAAGTTCACCCCACAGCTTAGCCTAAGCCAACAATAAACCCACCCTAAACCCGCCTAAACCCCAATCCCACCCTAATCTAGCCTTAATGCAACCCTAAGCCCAACCTAAACCAACCCTGAACAGACCCACCGACCCAAAACCAACCCTCAACCCGAAAACGACCCTAAGCCAACCTTGCACCCACCCTAAACTCACCCAAAAACAACCCTAAATCCCCACCCTAACAACGCTAAACCCACACAAAACTCAAAGCCAACCTAGCCCGACACCAACCCTAACCAACCCTGAGCCACTCCAAAGCAACCTTAAACCAACCATAAGCCCACCCTGTACCAACCATGAACCCACCCTGATCCAACTCTAAGCGCACCCGAAGACTCTAAGCTGAGCTTGACCCAACCCTAAATCCAGTGAAGCCAACCCTAGGCCAGCCGCAAAACCAATCCACATCCAAGCCTAAACCAACCCCAAACCCCGCCCTAAACCATCCCAGACCAACCCTGAACCAACCTATATACAACCCAAAACAAACGAACAACATACCCTTAAACACCCTAAGCCCACCTGAAATCAAGCCACCCCAAATCAACCCTAAGCCACCCTTGAGCGACCCCAAGCCTCCCCTAGCGCAACCCCAACTCCACCCTAGACATAGACAAACCGTAAACCCGCCCTGAACCAACCCTACACCAACCCTAAGCCAACCCTACAGCCACCACAGACCTACTCCAGACCACCTAAACCAAACACAAACCCACCGAAATCCTGCTCTAAATCTACCTAATCCAACTCTACACCCGAAGCGGACCCCAAGCCCACCTCAAACAGATTCTAAGCCAACACTAAATCCACCCTAAATCCACCCTGAAGCCTTTCGACACACGCCCTAATCCCACCCTAAACTAACACCATGTAAATCCAATATTAATCCCAAGCCTGAGCTCACCCTAAACCCATTCTAAACCCCCCTGAACCAACCCTAAATCCATCCTAAACCAACCGTATCCAATCATAAACCCACTGTAGACCCATTCTCCAAGCCCAAAACCCACCCTCATCCAACTTTAAACCCACCATATACCCAGCACAGACCTGCTCGAAACCAACCTTAAACTTAAACCGACCACAAACTTGCTCAACAAACCGCCTCTAAACCCTTAAATCCACCCTTCCCATCCGAAACCAACCCTAAACCCACCTACCCTCCCCACCCGAACCCACCCTAAACAAACCCTAAACCCAAAACCGCTCCTAAACCAACCCAACCCTGGACCGTTGCTTAGTGCAGTTGCCGCAAACTTCGGCCACAGGGTTGGCAAAAAAGAAATGGAGGGTTAAAAGGAAGAGGTGGAGGGTCAGAAAGAAAGGGGGAGGGTTAAAAAAGAAGGCGGGAGGGTTTAAAAAAGCGGGGGGAAGGTTAAATAGAAAGGATGAAGGGTTGAAAAAACAGGGAAGGGTTGAAAAAAAAGGTTTGGAGGGTGAGAAAAAAGGGTTCCCCTTTTGGAAAGACAGTTTTAGTGGTAAATAAACCGTTTGGGTACTTTCTTTTTGCCAATCCGCCCGATCGGCAGTGAGTGAGTAACTAGGTCCACCAGTAGTGCCCTTTTACCCTTTTTCGGGGGGAGGGTTCCCCTACATAAATAGACTACAGAAAAAGGTTGGTACCCTTATTCGAAGCTCTACTGGACCTTGGTAAGCTTTTCGTCCAAAAGGTGAAGCTTTGATTTCCGGGTCCGAGGGCAACTGAGCACCTGAGGTTCTTCCAGGATCTTCAGACTGGCGCTCCGTGGGACCAGTTGAAAGGCCGGGCGGAAGTTTTTGTTGGGAATGCTGGATGGAGATTCTGTATGGCTGCTGTGTTTGCGGGTCTTTGTTGGAGGGTATCTCTTTGCCGGTGGTTTTTAAGGGGAACCCTCAGGGAAGATACATTTTTTCTTTGGAGTAATTTTGAAGTGATACTTGTTGGGTGATGTGTTCTCCCTTTCTTTCATTGCGGAAACATAGGTATATACCCTCAAAAACAGACACATCCTTCCCTTTTGGGTACCCTCAACAAAAGATACATCCTTCCCTTTTGGGTTAGTTTTGAACATCACCTCCTGGTGCCAATTTAAAGTGATACTTGTGTGTGTTTTTTGTTTGTTTTTTGCGGAAACATAGGGGCCCCTGTTTTGCAGTTGTCCTCGGCTCCGAGGCAAAAAGGGGCAGGTGATGCGCTCGACCTGTTGGTACGTGCGGGGGGGCTGCAGCTGCGACTACACCTACGGGGACGCGCGGGTGAGCGTCACTCAGAAGCCGTCATGCTCCTTCAGGCATCTGGCTTTCGGGCTTGCAGACCCAAAGGCCACCAACCTACAATGCGTTGGGACAAAATTGGGTGGGTTGCCGCTTTCTGTGATACTGTGGATGGACAAAATCCTGCACCTCGGAAAAACAGAATGACGATTCCCCTCTAAATACCAAAATTTCAACGTTTCTAAAGTGGCGCGAATCGATTTCGCCCATCCACAGTACCAAGGAAGTTTCCCCTTGATATGGAGTGGTTTACTGTAGAGGGTGCGTGAGTGACTGTATCACAAGCTGGCGCTTTTTTTGTTCACCAGGCGCACCATGGAGGAGCTTACGGCTTTGGTGTTCTCCACTCTGACGCCAAAGTTGGGTGGGAGCCTCAGAAAGGCTGGAAGCGACTGCTGGTCAGGGCATAGGTGTCCTTGGGGTTTTGGTTTGGAAAGATGTTGGATTAATGCATGGCTCTGGTTTAGATGGGTTGATTCCTTGAACCAGGGAGACCCTGCAATGGACGTATGGGTAGGGGAGTCGTGAGAGTGCGAGAAGAAGCCTTGCCTCCCACATATTCTGCCAACAAAAACGAGGCAGTTCAAGCACCGGGCATCCAAATTCTGTGAGCTCCGGGGGGAGGGGGGGGAATTCTGTGAGCTCATGTGTGTCCTCCTTGTGCAAAACCTCCACGTCACTAGCTCATGCTTTTAATGCTTTTCGCTAATGTGAGTAGCTTGCATAGGAATTTCGTAGTCCAACCAAAAAGCGGAAGGATGGATTTTGAACTCCCCCACGGTTTGCGGTTTGCGGACACTTGAGTCACCATCAAAACCTGGGTAAGTGAAGGTTAAGGGACAATCCCAGCCAGAAATAGCAGCAGAATTCCGCCCTCTTAATTCTTGAGGCATGGTTCTGGGTCGACCATTTTAATACTGGGGTTTGAGCGAGTGACTCACTTGGAGTATTTCGCAAAGCCACCTTCAGGGTCTTGAATTGTTTGGCTTGAGTTCGCAAAGCCTTCAGGTGTCCATGGCATCCCTCCCCTCCCAGCCCTTTTCCCCGCCCCGCAGTTTTTTTTTCTTTTCGGGGCTTCCCTATACTTCCATGTGTGATATGTTTCAGGCCATTTAGGGGTTGAGTTTCCCTTGGGGCGATGTGTTCAGGTTGGACATGGGCGGCTCATCTTTTCTTTTTTTTGAGGGTACCCCTTTTTTATGGACTTCCAGGTGTCACCAAAAGACCAACCCTCACCCTTTTTTTTTGCTTACTCCGCTTCCCCTGCGCTCCCCGCTTCCCTATTTTTTTTTTTGGTGGGGGAACTTCCCCCTCCTGTGAGGCCCGGAACACTGGCCCAACTCGGCCAACCTCAACTACTACGCGGACGGCACCCAGTCGGTGGGCTGGCACTCGGACGATGAGAGCCTCTTCGGAGGGAAGGGCCAGGAGCGGCAGCGCGCGGAGCGCGGAGCCGAAGTCAGAAGCCGGCCGCTGGCGTCCGGCTTTTCGTCCTCTTTTTTGTTGAACGCGAGCGTTTTTCGGCGCAATCTCGCGGGGGGGGGGGGGGTGAGCCTGCCCCCCATGAAGGTCCACTGTTCCCTGATGTCCGGGCTGAAGCAAGGCCCAGAGAGTGATTGCCGGATCGTCTGGGCTGAACTGGGGTATGTCCACGCCCATGTGACAGCCTAGACTCAGTCGTCGAGTTCCTGAACTTTATTCCCCACATCTTTGTGTGGGGTTCTTACTTTTTCCGCTCGTCGTCCGCGCGCCGCGTCTCCTCCTCCTTCTCCCGCTCGTCTCCGTCACTCACTCACTCACTCACTCACTCACTCACTCACTCACTCACTCACTCACTCACTCACTCACTCACTCACTCACTCACTCACGCTCACACTCACTCACTCACTCACTCACTCACTCACTCACTCACTCACTCACTCACTCACACTCACTCACTCACTCACTCACTCACTCACTCACTCACTCACGCTCACTCACACTCACTCACTCACACTCACTCTCATTCACTCACTCTCATTCACTCACTCACTCACTCACTCGCTCACTCACTCACTCACACTCGCTGACTCACGGCAGCTGTCTAGAGGGACAGGATGTTGTCGCGCGCGCGGCGGGGGGCGTGCGAAATCGTGGCAGGCGCAGCACTTTGGCGATGCCGTTGCGAAATCGTGGCAGGCGCAGCACTTTGGCGATGCCGTTGCCGAAGTCGTGGCAGGCGCAGCATTCTGTGCATCTGGGTGTGTGTTTGTGTGGCAGGGGTCGCATTCGGCAGCTGTCTAGAGGGACAGGATGTTGTCGCGCGCGCGGCGGGGGGCGTGCGAAATCGTGGCAGGCGCAGCACTTTGGCGATGCCGTTGCGAAATCGTGGCAGGCGCAGCACTTTGGCGATGCCGTTGCCGAAGTCGTGGCAGGCGCAGCATTCTGTGCATCTGGGTGTGTGTTTGTGTGGCAGGGGTCGCATTCGGCAGCTGTCTAGAGGGACAGGATGTTGTGTGCGAAATCGTCGCAGCACTTTGGCGATGCCGTTGCGAAATCGTGGCAGGCGCAGCACTTTGGCGATGCCGTTGCCGAAGTCGTGGCAGGCGCAGCATTCTGTGCATCTGGGTGTGTGTTTGTGTGGCAGGGGTCGCATTCGGCAGCTGTCTAGAGGGACAGGATGTTGTCGCGCGCGCGGCGGGGGGCGTGCGAAATCGTGGCAGGCGCAGCACTTTGGCGATGCCGTTGCGAAATCGTGGCAGGCGCAGCACTTTGGCGATGCCGTTGCCGAAGTCGTGGCAGGCGCAGCATTCTGTGCATCTGGGTGTGTGTTTGTGTGGCAGGGGTCGCATTCGGCAGCTGTCTAGAGGGACAGGATGTTGTCGGATGCGCGTGGCAGGCGCGCGCGGCGTGGCAGGGCGCACTTTGGCGAAATCGTGGCAGGCGCAGCACTTTGGCGATGCCGTTGCGAAATCGTGGCAGGCGCAGCACTTTGGCGATGCCGTTGCCGAAGTCGTGGCAGGCGCAGCATTCTGTGCATCTGGGTGTGTGTTTGTGTGGCAGGGGTCGCATTCGGCAGCTGTCTAGAGGGACAGGATGTTGTCGCGCGCGCGGCGGGGGGCGTGCGAAATCGTGGCAGGCGCAGCACTTTGGCGATGCCGTTGCGAAATCGTGGCAGGCGCAGCACTTTGGCGATGCCGTTGCCGAAGTCGTGGCAGGCGCAGCATTCTGTGCATCTGGGTGTGTGTTTGTGTGGCAGGGGTCGCATTCGGCAGCTGTCTAGAGGGACAGGATGTTGTCGCGCGCGCGGCGGGGGGCGTGCGAAATCGTGGCAGGCGCAGCACTTTGGCGATGCCGTTGCGAAATCGTGGCAGGCGCAGCACTTTGGCGATGCGTTGCCGAAGTCGTGGCAGGCGCAGCATTCTGTGCATCTGGGTGTGTGTTTGTGTGGCAGGGGTCGCATTCGGCAGCTGTCTAGAGGGACAGGATGTTGTCGCGCGCGCGGCGGGGGCGTGCGAAATCGTGGCAGGCGCAGCACTTTGGCGATGCCGTTGCGAAATCGTGGCAGGCGCAGCACTTTGGCGATGCCGTTGCCGAAGTCGTGGCAGGCGCAGCATTCTGTGCATCTGGGTGTGTGTTTGTGTGGCAGGGGTCGCATTCGGCAGCTGTCTAGAGGGACAGGATGTTGTCGCGCGCGCGGCGGGGGGTGTGCGAAATCGTGGCAGGCGCAGCACTTTGGCGATGCCGTTGCGAAATCGTGGCAGGCGCAGCACTTTGGCGATGCCGTTGCCGAAGTCGTGGCAGGCGCAGCATTCTGTGCATCTGGGTGTGTGTTTGTGTGGCAGGGGTCGCATTCGGCAGCTGTCTAGAGGGACAGGATGTTGTCGCGCGCGCGGCGGGGGGCGTGCGAAATCGTGGCAGGCGCAGCACTTTGGCGATGCCGTTGCGAAATCGTGGCAGGCGCAGCACTTTGGCGATGCCGTTGCCGAAGTCGTGGCAGGCGCAGCATTCTGTGCATCTGGGTGTGTGTTTGTGTGGCAGGGGTCGCATTCGGCAGCTGTCTAGAGGGACAGGATGTTGTCGCGCGCGCGGCGGGGGGCGTGCGAAATCGTGGCAGGCGCAGCACTTTGGCGATGCCGTTGCGAAATCGTGGCAGGCGCAGCACTTTGGCGATGCCGTTGCCGAAGTCGTGGCAGGCGCAGCATTCTGTGCATCTGGGTGTGTGTTTGTGTGGCAGGGGTCGCATTCGGCAGCTGTCTAGAGGGACAGGATGTTGTCGCGCGCGCGGCGGGGGGCGTGCGAAATCGTGGCAGGCGCAGCACTTTGGCGATGCCGTTGCGAAATCGTGGCAGGCGCAGCACTTTGGCGATGCCGTTGCCGAAGTCGTGGCAGGCGCTGCATTCTGTGCATCTGGGTGCTCTGTAATCGCATCCATACAAGGGGCGCACGGTACATGTGTGTGGACATTTGGGAAAAACATAGCATGTGGGGTTATCCGGTCCTTTAATTCTTTTTGCGGGACCTACAAAGGAACTGCCAATTTACGCAGGAAGTCGGCAAACCAGATTTTGGGATTCCGACGCTCAAGCGCATGTTGTGCTAGCGATGAATTTGGAGGACATGAATCCCCAAAGGACGTCCACCAAAGGGGCCCCCAGAAGGATCATACCCACATCGTCATGGCTGTCATGGCCCATATTGGAAATTCAATTGCATCTACCAGCCTTGAGGATGCTCGTGTAAATCAGGTGAGGTTTGGATGTACCTCCTGGGGCCCTTGTTGCAGTTGCCAGTTGCTCAAGGCCGCCTGGTTGTTCGTGGCCAGCATCGAATGCATGTCGGGCCTGCATTCCCTGAAGTAGAGCACATTTGTTTGGCCTTAGGTGCCAGAAACTGTGTAAGACACTTACAACAACCACTCCCTCCTATGCCCTCATCAATCAGTTTGTAAGGGGGGGGTCGCATCAAGAAAGGGGCCCTCCATATGATTTTTAGTGTGTCTTTTTAGACAATGTTTCGCGCAGCTTCCTTTGGTGAGTAGAACGGAAATGGCATATTAGAACCCCGCAGGAAGAAGAACCACCCAAAACAAAGCAACTCAGTCCTGAGTCTAATTTTGACCCAAAGGACGATAATGTGTGAAGGAAACAAGTGGAGCGGGTGAGGGGTTGGACTTTCGTGATTGTTGCATGCGGGTGTCAACATCACTGCTCCTTGCTGTATCTACAGGGTTTCTTGAGATGAACCAGATCATTTTGGGTCTTTCCCAAAATGGGGGGCCACCGTTGGACAAGACTTCATGGGGCAACAAAAGGAAAACCGGGAGGGGTCCAAGTTATATTGAGCCAAGGGTTGGGAACAAGTCGCGAAGCTGAATATGGTTATAAATTTCAACAGGACCACCTCACAAGTGCTTGGTGGACATGAATCTAAATGATGTCCACCAAGTTGTCCCTATAGCTAGAATTCACACCCATATCCCCCCTCTGAAATTGGAATTTCCCTGAAACAAATGGCTCCCTTAGCTGGTTGGAAAGGAGTGGTTGCGGATCAAAAAGGGAGCTCCATTCCCTTTTTGGATGGCAACCACCCGTGGATCAACTTTTGAAGGAGAATCCAGTGACCCCTGAAAGAGCTACCAGGAGTTCTGAAGGGACATGCCAGCTTTGCGGTTGGAGTAGGTGAATGGACCCCCGGGTTGCTCACCGAATTGCGCAGGACTGCTCCATCGTGTCCCTCTCTTTGGGTGGCCGACGTGAGTTCTGGACTGCCCAAGCCGAACAAACCCCAGAAACTCCTTTAATGGGTTAGTCTCAAAACAGGGGAATCTTATGGGCGGTTTCCTCTTGGCTTCCCTTTTCAGCAATCCCAAACTGGAACCCTCAAGAAAAGGCACACCGGCACACCCAAATGGGTTCCAGCTTCTGCGCAGCGCGCACGATCTCATTTGTTGGGACCTGATTGAGGCGCACACACGCACGCGCACACACACACACACCTCTAAAACCCACACGCACACAAACGCAAACGAAAACACACACACAGACACACACAGACACACACAGACACACGCAGACACACACACACACACACACAGGGAGAGAGCAAGCAAGCAAACAGTTAATCAGTCAATCAACCAGCCAAATGAACAAACAATAAAACAAAAGCAATCAATCAATCAAAACAAAAGCAACCAATCAAATTAACAAGCAATCTAACTAACTAACGAACAAGCAAGCAAACAAACAAACAAACGCAACCAACACAAACAAACAGGTGAACAAACAAGCAAGCAAGCAAAGAAAGCAAGAAACAACCCCCCAACCTTAAACACCATGACACACACACACACGCACACACGCGCACGCACACACACACACACCCACACACACACACACACACACACACACACACACACGCACACACACACACACACACACACACACACACACACACACACACGCACCCACACACACACACGCGCACACACACAAACACACACACACACACACACACAAGCAAACAAGCACATGCACATGCACACGCACACGCACACGCACACGCACACACACACACACACACACACACACACACACACACGCACACGCACACGCACACGCACACGCACACGCACACGCACACGCACACGCACACGCACACGCACACGCACACGCACACGCACGCCCACACACACACACACACGCGCACACGGACGCGGACGCGGACGCGGACGCGGACGCGGACGGGCACACACACACACACACATACACACACCCACGCGCACACACACACACACACACACACTCCGACGCACACACACACACACACTCCCACGCACACAGACACGCACACAAACAAAAAACCAAGCAAACACATGCACGCACACGCACACGCACACGCATGCACGCGCACGGACACACAGACACACACACACACACACACACACACACACACACACACGCACGCACCCACACACACACACGCGCACACACAAGCAAACAAACAATCAAGCAAACAAACAAGCACATGCACACGCACTCCCACACGCGCACACACACACACGCACACGCACACGCACGCCCACACACACGCACACACACACACACACGCACACGCACACGGACGCGGACGCGGACGCGGACGGACACACACACACACACAAAACACACACACACAGACTCACACGCACACACGCACACACGCACGCACACACACCCATACACACACCCGCGCGCACACACACGCATACACACACTCCCACGCACACACACAAACAAACAAACAATCAAGCAAACACACGCACGCACACGCACACGCACACGCACACGCACACCCACACGCACACGCACACGCACACGCACACGCACAGGCACGCACACAGACACACAGACACACAGACACACACACACACAGACACACACACACACACCCACGCACGCACGCACACGCACCCACAGACACACACACAAACACACACAAACACACAAACACAAACAAACAAACACACACACACACATACACACACACGCACACGCACACACACACACACACACACACACACGTACACGCGCACGCACAGAGACACACAGACACCCAAACAATACAAGCAGACACACAGACACACACACACACACACACACACACACACACACACACCCACGCGCGCACGCGCGCACGCGCGCACGCTCGCGCACCACACTCACACGCACACGCACACACGCACGCGCACGCACACGCACACGCGCAAGCATACGCACACGCACACGCGCACGCACACGCACACGCACACCCACACACACACACACACAAGGCGCATACAAGCCGCATGCGCTTGCACGCCTACATGCCCGAACACTTACACACGATTTCACTCGCTTACCGGGGCTTGCGCGCTCACATGTCTTTTGTTGTGTGCACAATGTCCAGGCGTGCATACTGATTTTTTACCATTAGGTAACAAAGTTGTCACAAGCCGATTGTTTGTGGATGATGCGTTCATCCAGGATGGCGCTCAAAGACAGCTCCATGGAACCCATTCAGGACTGTGACCGGACGCTGCCGTTTTTGCATCGCTTTGGGATATCTGTTTTGCCGTTGCCAAGCCGGGTGCAAGTAGTTGCTCAAGTCGCGTTTCCTTTTTCCACTGTAAGACCACTGGTTGTGGAACTCGACTCTTTGTCGTGCCTCCGTGGGGGTCTCAGCCGGCTCCTGCTTGGAAAGCAAGCCGCTGCTGGGAGCTGGGAGATGGACGTGGGTGGGGCAAGCAGTTTTTTCCGCACCCAGACACTGGCTAGGTCCCCCAGCAACTCAGCAGTGCCCTTTTACCCTTTTTTTGGGGAGGGTTCCCTTACTCAAATAGGCTACAGAAAAAGGGGGTACCCTCATTCTAACCTCTCTACTGGAGGACCTAGCTGGTACTGTCGCTGAACGGAAAAGAGTGTCTAAAGACCTTTTCAGGTGTGGGTTCTTCAAGAGCGTTTGGTTGCCTGCGGACTTCCTTTTCAAGCCAAAGGCTTGGCTCGTAGGAGAGCGTGGTAGAGGTGGACCTGCGCGATGGAGACATCATAAGCATGGAGCCCTGGCTGCGCTGGCAAATGTGCGCAAGCTCTCTGTCAGAGGTGTTTTTGTTGAGTTGGCAACCTCTAATAAGGGGAAACCAGAAGGAAGCCACCCATTATGTGGTCCCCTACGGAACACCCTTCAATATAGTCGGTGGATAGTAGCCTCCCATGTAAATAATGATGTCCATGAAGGAACCCAACTAAAACTCATGCCTCATTCGTTCAAGGATGTCCACCAAAGACATCATGTCCCTTTAAACTCAACCAACAAAAACAGGGTGCCTTTTTCCCCCCATGGCATTGAGAATTCATGTCCACCAAAGAGCCCAGCTAAAAACATACTTCCATTTGCTTCAGAATATTATTTATTTTTAAATTTAAATCATTTTCCCTTCTTGGTTTTAAAGGGAATCTATCACTACTAGACATGTTTTTACTGTTTCCAAGGGACTTAAGCAAGTGGAGGAATATGCCCCGGTCGTTTTCCATGAGGAAGGCCTCATGCAGAAGCACACCGTCCACTTCCTGACCCGCGAGCCCCCTCAGCGCGCGGAGTTCTGGCCCCCCCGCGACTCGTTGGACTGAGCTCGCGGTCTTTGAGCGTGCGAAATGGGCCCGTGGGGTTCTTCCAGTTGCTTCAGCTCATTTTTAACTTTCCCCTGGTGTTTCAGGGAATCGATGGCTGCTGGACATATTTGCTCGTTTTTCCCAGGGGACTTCAGCACATGAAAGTTGTTTATTTCTCCCTGTTGGTGTTTAGGGGAATTTATCACTACTGGAAAGATGTTCTCCTTTTTCCCAGGGGAGTTAAGCAAATAGATATGATATGTCCGCGTGTGCCTGTTTGGGTTGGTGCAAAACGAAAACTAAAGAACTAAAACACAATTTTTGCTCCAATGCTCAGACACGCCCAAATGGCCATTTTTGACCTTCAATCAATTGCCCCTTACTTGGCGGTTCACTTTTGCCTTTCGGGGTTTGCTTTATTTTCCTTTTCAACCAAACCGTTCCATCACTTCTGGAGGGATCGGATCGATTCGCCTAGGCATCAACATCACCTGGCGCTGGGTGTTGAACCACCGCCGCGGCTGTGCTCTGCGTGCCTTTGGCTGAGTACTCCCCGCCTGAGAATGCGGGTCCTTTGTTTAAAAAGCAATTCCCCTGGTCTTCCAATTGCTTAAGATTGTTCTTTGTTATTTTCCCTTGTTGGTTTTAAAGAGAATCTACCACTGCTGGAAATATGTGTTTTTGTTTCCCCGGGGGCTTAAGCAAATGGAAGTTGTGGGTTTTAAGCAGCGCCGTTTTGGCCCCGCTTAAATGCAGGGTTCCTTTTTGTTGGGGCAACGTGTCGAGGGACAATTCGGAGAAGCCCGGGGACATTTGAGGTCTCCATTTCCCCTAACGGTCCCTTGCGCAAGCCCATCCCCATCCCTCTTATGCATAGAGGGACAGAGGGCAGCATTTGATGTTCGAATTCGCCTGGTTTCCCGCAGGCAAAAGGGAAATCATGTAGCTGGGGGAGGGGGCATGGCTTCCAGCATGCCAGCGCCGCAAGCTGGTGTATGAAAATCAAGGGCGTCCCGGCCTTACAACTGGCATAGGTCAGAGCGCCTAAGCTTAGGCTGTGAGGCTGCGCCGCTTCTGTCAGAAGTTCTGCCGGCCACAGGACGGACCTTCTTCACCCCGGGTTGGAAGTGCGTGGTCAGATTCTTGGCACCTTTGCAGCTTCTCAAGTTCCTGAACTTTAGTCATTTTTTTGGGCTTGGACCATTTTAGTGGCAAATCAAAACAGTTCCTGGACTTTTTGTTGGCCCATCCACTCGATCGGAAGTGAGTCTTAGTCTTCGTCGGTTCAGACGGCAGGACGCGAGCCCTCGAAACATCAGATCAAGCTCTGGTCAGGGGCCCAGCTGGCGAAAGCAGCAACCTCTCTCTGGTTTTGCATGAATCCATTTCTTGGTGGCTCCCAGCCATCCGGTTCCTCAGCTTTTTAGCTTTTTAGCGTTTAGTGAGGGTTTCCATTTGAGCCACTAAAAGTTTCAAAAGTTAAACTTTTAGCGGAGGATCTGAGGACAGCCCAGATTTGGCGCATGGTTTCAGAGCATTTCAGAGCCATAGTTTGGCTTACTTTCACACTTACCAGGGGACTGCGAACTTCTTTTCCGAGCTACCCTTCCGTCCTGGCGGGGTGCTGCACCTTTGGTGGGTTCCTTGCTAGTTGGCGCAGTCGCTGGAAGATGTTTGCTCAGACCCTCGCAGTGAGGCGTGAGGGGCGCGCGGTGGCAACTCGACTGCCATTCGGAGTTGCCGGCGTTTAAACGCCAACCGTTACCAGTCCTTGGGGAATTGGCGGTGAAATGGAGGGAAGAGGACAGGGGCTTTCCACCAAACACGGCACACACCTAATATATATATATATATATGAAACTATCTATCCCCAAACAGACTTCCCTTGTTCTGTGAGGGTCACTGGGCAACAGGGTCAAGACAATGCTTCTTTGCCCCCGTAGGCTCCTGCATGTCCTGGCGAAGCCGAGGAATGGAGAAGCTGCATGGAATGCAGAACCTTGACTGCAGGTGCAGCCTCCCACCAGGTCCTTCGAGAAGATTGAAGTGTTCTTTTGCTCACTCCCAGAGTTCCTGAACGTTAGTCACTTTTGGGGTTGGACCCCATTTTAGAGGTAAAAAAGTTTGGACACTTTTTCGAGCCAACCCACTCAGGAAGTGGTGAATATTGAAGTTCTCTTTTGGTTTCCCTTCTCTCCCAAGAAAGGGGTTCACCAATACACCAATTGTAGGTGCTTCCTTTCGTTCCTTCAAACCCAGATTTACGTCCCATCGAACCCTAATGGCGGTGCATTTGGTTTTCCCAAGGAGAAAAAGAAGAACCAAAAGACAGGTCAGCCTTAGTCTTGCTGGTGCGATAGGCAGGGAATGAGAATTGGAATGACCCATCTAATTGGTCCTCAAAAAGGACTCCTGGGACCGCACATTCCCTACTGATCACGAGCAAGTTGGTGGTTGCCATGGTATGAGAGGGTAGGCGGTACTACCCTGGTTTCTCTGGACGTCTCTCCTGGCTATGCAAACTTTAACCGAAGCTTCAGTTTCTTCGGAGCGCTCGATTAGGACACGCTGCCTGCTTGGCTGCCAAGCGCATGTGAAGCAACTGGGGATCCGGACTTGGTGGTGTTCACTCACACACACAGAGCGCGCCCCAACACACATGCACCCTTGGAGAGGAGAAACAAAATGGACCCACAACAGGAGGTGCGTTTGGTGAGCGGTAGCAGTCTTATGAATCACAGGTCTTGTTTTTGTGTTTTGCCGGGCTTTGGAGGTCTCCATGAGACGATCCGAGCCTCGCAGAGAGTTGTCCGAGCTTAGGACACAATGGATGGCAGGGAGGCCGCAACTGCATCGAAGAAGGCACGGGAGGGCGTGATTGCTGCGACTGTCATAACCAGGATTCACAGACCCCTGATTGGTTTGTCCTCACCCCCTACCAAGAAAGGCTCCCCTAATAATACATATATATAATATATATATATATATATTTGTTTTATTGCTTTCAAAATCACAGCATGAGAGTAGGCAAATTACATCTCCTGTAGTCGTGTTAGGGGACCCTCTGCCCATCACCTGCACACCAGAGGTGAGAATCACGGGAGTTAGCCCGAATCTGGAACAGAGTCTCCCCTTAAGTTGTGTTTTGGTACTAAGGGGGAGTGGGGCGAGCATTTTTTTGTAACACGGGGGAGCGGATTCGGGGGCGCACTTGGGGGAATATCCCACTTCTGGGGGAAACACCCCCTATAAATCAGGGTTTACATTAGGAGAACGACTTAGCAGCAGCTTGCAATATGAATCACTGTGTTGAACTCGTTCGCGCTTGGTTTCAGAGCATCCTGCTTCACAGAAAGCTTGTGCGTGGGGGGCGTTGAGTTTGCAAAGCAGCGCCGGGCGTGCCAAGGAGCCTGTTAGCCCCTTTGTGCTCTTTGGGTCTTCGCAAATCTCACTCTCTGAGTTTCTGGACTGTATACTTTTGGGAAGATAATGTCAGTGGTACATAGAAAGTTCAGACTTGTGTGGCCAATTTATTGGCCCTCCTTTGGTTTGGAAGTACTTATTAAAATACATCCAAACACAGAGACCCGCCAAAAGCATCTTTTGAGCCAGGGGGTCGCTGGCTGTGCCGTCGTTGCGCCGACTCGGCCCAAAGCGGCGAGGAGGACAGGTGTGGGTTGGGTTTTTTAAGGCCCCTCTATTTTTGGCGGCGGGTGACGGGGTGGGTGGGTGGGTGGGGGTAACGGATAATTTTCAGCCACAGCTTCTTATTCTTTGGGCCCCATTTGAGACAAAACCAAGATAGTGACCTCGCAGAGAGGTTTGCGCCTGATTTCACCCAGGCTTCTTTTTTTGCAGGGTCAGGCCTACCTCTTTCAGCATGCAAATCACATTGTTCAAACTGCCTACTTCAGGAGGTTGTTGAAACAAAGATTGCCCAGGGTTTCCATTTTTTGTGTAATTATGTCTCTTCTTCAGGATTCAGGATGCCCGCAAAAAGGGGTGCTTAAAAAGAGAGTTCATGGTTTTTGGGGGAGGACGTTTTAGTGGCAAAGAACAAGCTTTGGACGTTTTTCTGTCCTCAAGAACCAGTTGGGAGATCACTCGAGGTTTCTCCAGCCACTTTTGTAATATCTTCGAGAATCGCCCCCCCTGTTTTTTCTGGGGGGTTAGTCTTGGGGAAACCCTTTCTGCGGTAACCGATCCGTGGATCCCCTCGGCGGAGGAGAGGTCCACGGAGCGCGCGGCGCGGCTGCTGCAGCGGCGCCTGGCCGCGCGGCAAAGAAGAAATCTCTCGCGACAGGATCGGCCGTGGGGTTTGCATGGAAGGCGACCAAAAAGGGAAGGGGCGCCGGACTCTGGCCGAATCTCTCTTTTTTTTTTGGATTTGTTGGTTTTCATTGTTGGTTTGTTTTCTGATGTTTCTGAGTTTCTTGTTGGTTTCCTCTGCGCTTTAATAGCTGGGTGCATAGGGCACAGTTGGGCTGTCAGATTTTGGTTTCAATCTTTAGTCAAGCTTCAGGTTCAGTTTTATTACGTTTTTTGGTTTGTTTAAAGGCGCAGAGGAAGGCGTTCTGGTGCAATGTGTGCATTTATATATATATAGATATAGATATGAGGAAAGCCGTATCTCCCTTGGTTGCCTTGCGTTGGGATTGTTTTAGCCAGTAGCGCGGAGAGAGACCTAGTCCGCCGTGTGGAGGGGGCAATAGATTTTCCATGTTGGATTTGGTCACCTGGTTGCCTTTTCCGTTCTGCTTCAGTGCCTAATTGGTTTGAAAGGGAAGTGGCCACAACCTTGCCGCCTGAAATTCCCTGACCGAGTGGCCAAGTCAATTTTTAACGTGTCAACCCCGGAGATTTGCTGGTCTAGGGAATGACCTTTCGGGTGTTGGGAATGAACCTAGGGGTGCCCTTAAAGCCTTAAAGGAAACCACAAAGACCAAAGGAAAAGGGGTCTTGGAGATGAGAGCGAGCGAGTCCGCGCAGTGGCACCGTCTTCCCCTGTTGTCGAAGAAAATGCCACCACATTTTTTCAGGCTCATTCCAAGTGATTCTCTTCCCTGAGGGGTGTGGCAGATGGGCCCTGGAGTCCAGAAAAATCGAGTTGAGGTGGAGAAGGTGAAGCTGCTGCAGAGGAGGCGGAGCCTCAAGAAGGCCTGGGAGAGCCGCCTGGCGCGGATGGCAGACGCGGGCACCGGCAAAACCCCTGTTGACGTTTTGTTTCTTTCTTTCTTTTTTTCCCGATTTTAGAACGGGGGGGGGATATGGACTTTTTGGGAAGCACTAAGTTTTTGTTTTCCTTCGGACCCACTACGTTAAAGTTTTGCAGAGGGGTCAACAGCAACCAAGATGAGAGGCCAGTCTTTTTAGTTCGAATTTAGCTCGTATTGTCCAGCCAGTCATGACCTATAGGCTCTTGAAGCATGCCCATCTTGAGGAGCTGGTTGTGCAGGCTGACTTATTCAGGGCCCAGGGGGTTCCGGAACATGGCAGTGTCATACATGCCTGCGCGACCCTTTTCATAGAGCTTCACTACTTCATGCCAGAGTCGTGATTGTGAACTTTTCCACCCCCTCCCCCAAAATGTTGCACAGCCGCATCGGAGAAGCGACAGCTTTCGTTGGAGTCATGTTTGCGAATGCCGTGCTTTTTCAAGCAGAGACTCGCCGTTGCACGTCTGAGGCTTTTGCGAGGCGGGGCTCAGAGATCCGGCCCGCCATACGCCTGCATCCCTGCTATCTTGGCTGGAGACGGTGGGCGAGGTGCCAGACGACTTGTGCCGCGGCAGAAACCTTGAGGTAGACCCCCACAAACATGAACATGGTTTAGTGCATAGGATTCCTTTTCATACAGGGAGTCCCCCGCTTCAATGGACTCGGTCACGCAATCCGGCAAACGGTTGGTGCTTTACCCAGGGCCCTATATGTCCCCTACCCAGTAACATCAGGTTTCGTATCAACGGTAGCTGAGTTTCGTCTTGGTGATGTGTAGTAGGGAAACATAGGCAGCCCTTGAGGGTGCCATTTGCCCAGAACGCAGGCAAGTGCTGCTTCAAAAGGCGAAAGCGCAGCTGGCAGATGCAACGAGAGAGGACAATGTGAAGGAGCACCTCGTCACCCAAGGTGCGCTTTGTCGCACAGGCCGCGTCTATTTGCGTGTGCGTGTGTGTGTGTGTGTGTGGGTGGGTGGGTGGGTGGGTGGGTGGCGTGCGGCGTGCGATGTGGCGTGCGCGCGTGTGCGCGCGTGTGGGCGCGTGTGCGCGCGTGCGCGCGTGTGCGCGTGTGCGCGCGTGCGCGCGTGTGCGCGCGTGTGCGCGCGTGTGTGGGTGTGTGGGTGTGTGGGTGTGTGGGTGTGTGGGTGTGTGGGTGTGTGGGTGTGTGGGTGTGTGGGTGTGTGTGTGTGTGTGGGTGTGTGGTGTGTGTGGTGTGTGGGTGTGTGGGTGTGTGTGTGTGTGTGTGTGGTGTGTGTGTGTGTGTGTGTGTGTGTGTGTGTGTGTGTGTGTGTGTGTGTGTGTGTGTGTGTGTGTGTGTGTGTGTGTGTGTGTGTGTGTGTGTGTGTGTGTGTGTGTGTGTGTGTGTGTGTGTGTGTGTTTGCTCCGTCTTTGTTTGCTTTGTTTGTCATACTTGTCTGTTTTGTTTGTTTGTTTGTTTGTCTATCCTGTCCTGTCCTGTCTATTTGTCTGTTTCTGTGCTCATGTTTTCAGTGTTTGTTTGTTGTAATTTAATTGGGATCCTCCAGGCAGAGTTCCAGAGGGGCTCTGCAAATATGAAACCTAAAAGCGAGTCCCCCTCTGACTTTCTGGGTTCCATGTGAGCGTGTCTTCAGGGGGACTCCCCCAAGCGGCGTCCTCTTCGTTTGCCGTTAAAACCACTAAAAACAAGCACCATCAGAAACAAGACACCAAAAACAAGTACGTATACCATCAAAAAAAGGACACACCCCTGTTGTTGCTGATGAATTTCTATCACTGCCCTCCGAGCTTCGTCGCCAGGTCTGCGCGACCGCGGCCCACCGGCCCGGCGATTTCGGCGGCGAGAAGAAGCGAGGCCAAAGTCTCGCGGGGCGCTGAGCCAGTGGAGATGCAGGTCACGTTTTTCGGGGCGCGTTCGGTTGTTTTGAGGCTTAGCTTTCGGTTTTTTGAGCGTTCGGTTTTTGAGGTTGGTTTAAAGGGAAAGGACAATGGGTCCATGTTGGGGAATGTTTCGCTTTGAGACACAGAATTGCGAGAAAACCACTCATTTGGACGTGTCTTAGGGGGAGCCGTAGGGACAGAGTGCGCGATACCTCGGATGGGATGCTTGAGTTGGGTAGTTTGATTCAAGCCCTTTGGATCAAAGGGGTCGAGCTATTTTGAAACTGTTTTCTTTTGAGATCAGAGTTGAACGGGGATGTTATTTTGGGGCAGTCAGTTGGGGTTGATTTCAGTTAAAATGTGACTTCAATAAAATCATGGGCCCAGAGTTGGTGGACATCATTCAGTCAAGAGTTTTACCACTGTTTGAGGATGTTTTGGCATGAGTCATGCCCATCCGGTGATTGACAGTTTCAACCAGCAAACGTGGAAAAGGAAAGCACGCCGCCGAAGCCGAGGAATCCAAATGAAGCCATTGGGCCAGGCGCTTCTGCAGTTTCTCACAAGGAGAGGGATACCTGGAGAGATGCGGATCCCAGTGCGCCCAGTTTTGCCACTGCAAGTGGACGTTTTTTGAGGGTACCCCCTGTTTTTTGTGTTTTTTTTGGGGGGGGTCTTAGGGAAACAACAGCATTTCTGCGGTCCCCCTATTTTGAGACTGCACTAAGCACAAGTTTTAGTGGAGTTGGCGAGCTGGAAATCGGTCAGAGTTTGGAGCTGTCGCGGCTTCCATGGCTTCGTGTCCGAGGTGACATCCTCAAAAGCCTCCAATAAGAAACCGCCCTACGTTCCATTGAGCACTTTTAGTTGGGCTTGCTTCTAATTTATCCCACTAAATGTTAAAAAAATAGCAGGGGATCTGAGGACAGCCCAGTTTGAAGGGACTGGTTTTCCTTGTCCTGTATTTGGTTGATGTTCTGAGCTCGCGGCCTATCCATTTGCGAGTCTGCAGAGATCTGCCATTCTTCCTATCATTTGGGACATTGAAGCTTGTGCTCATGCATCTACATTATATTGCATATTCCAACCACCCTTGGGCGCCAGATGGCATGGGCTAGGGCACATTGTCTTGAGGCCCCACCGTCCATCCCGGGATCGTTTTGAAGATTCCTGGGACTCGTTCGGCTTGGGCATACTCGGGCGAATCCAAACCATCCCTCCCGGTTGGCTCCACCACTGAAAGCCCTAGGGACGTACTTTTGCGAGCTGGGGCTGAAGCAAGCCTCTTTCCTCAGGTTCTGGAATTATTGTCACATTTTCAGATGCGACCGGCGGGGCAAGGAACTTGGTGTTGCTCCTGGCCATTGTCACCACCTTGCACCTGGCACATTCTGTGCCCGACTCCCAGCGAGAGCTCCGTTTCGCCTCACATAAATTGCATCTTCGCGTGCCAGGCTGCAATCAACGGACCTATGGACTATCTACGCCAAGAAAATTGCTGGAATTAATTAATTATTGAAATCATTGATCAATTCTCTCCAATGAAGCTAGGAGGGGGATAAGTAAGAAAGGGGAGAAAAACAATATGAGTTTGATTTTATATAGATTTGGTTGATATTACAATTATTAAGATGGATATATATATATATATATCAGATATCATAATGTGTTTGTTAGTTGTAATTGGATTGAATATAACATATTTCTTGATTTTGAATTTATTAATTGGGAACACATATATATAATAAGATATAATAATGGAAATAATATAATAAATTTATCGGATATATATATATATAGAATTAATTTGATATTTGGTTTAATTAATATTGATATAATGTAAATGAAAAGAAGTAGAGTTAAATTTTAGAAATTTAGTTATATAGTTAAAGAATAATGATTATTATGTTTTATGTTTAATTGAAATGATATATATATATATTGTTTAATATATATATATACGATTTTATAATATTTATATATATTATTTATAATTAAATATAATGTTATATTGAATAATTATGATTTTATTTTCTAATTAATATATTAATACATTAAATGAATTTAAATTATAAATTAATAATATATAAAAATTTGATATTAAATTATTTATTTTTTTAATAGCCCGATATGTTTTTGGGATTATATTCGTCATATATTGTGGAGTCGTTATAGCGGTATGCCGGCCGAATTGTTGTATTTGTGGCGAATGGTTATATTTATTTATTAAGAAATTTTAATTACGAATATGTTGAATTTATAAATTATAATTGAATTATGATTGATTTTGGTTTTATTACGATTAGTATTTTTGTATTAAATATTTTAAAATATTTTTAGATTTCGAATCGAGATAGAAATACTTAAGTATTTAGCTTCGATTAAAAATTTAGAATTGGGAATATATTTTTATGGATTTTATATAGAATCGAATTATTGAATCGTTTGTAGGCTTGATTGGTCCTTAGATCGGGAGTCCGATTTTTGATGTTGTTTTTTTAAATAATCGGATTCCGAATAAAAGGGTTGAGAAAAGGTTGTTTACCAATAGGATTTGTTTTTTGAGAAAACCTAATATTTTTTTATAGTTTTCTTAAGAAGTAATATATGGACATTTGATTCTTATTGGTTGTAGTGTTTTGATTCTTGTTGATTGCAGTGTTTTTTATAAAAAAATGGGTCCTTGTATTTTTGGGTTGAGAAAAATTTATTTTGAGGAGAATTGATATGATTTTTGTAGGCAAACATTTTATATTTTTGTTTAAATAATTGATAGCTTTGGGGTTTTAGTCTAGATAGGTTTCGGGATGGTTCGGGGTAGCCTTGAGGTAAGATTCTATAACGGTTCTATTAGGGTTTTACTAGGGTTTTATTAGGGTTCTATTCGGATTTGATGAGGGTTCTATAAGGTTTTGCGAGGGCTATAGGGAAAAGATCATCGTATGTTGTTGGGGATATTACTTGAATTTATTGTTTAATGTGGTTTAATTTGAAATTTAAATGTTTGGTCTTCTTTTAATATTAACCAAGCTGATGTATTTATAGCCACCCGCTAAAAGCGGGCGACTGGAAAAAAGGGTTGAATAAGGGGTGGCTCGGGCCCGGATCTTGCTCAGGGTTTTTGGATTATTAGTATATGGCAAAGGAGGAAATATGGGGTATATCATGGATTTCGAAATATATAATTAAATATTTCGAGATATAGATTTTGGGACATTATATTAGGTCATCACCGATTATTTTTTCTTACAGAATGGCTTGGACCAAACCATGACACTCATTATGATGGATATGGCTTCGTACACGAAGACGAGGTATCCTTTTTTCTATTAGATTTGATGTTGGCAATGAAATTGTGGCAGGGGCATGGTGATGGCTTGAAGATGAATTGGAAGGAGATACATGATGAGGTATTGAATTAGCATAGAGTGCCTTTGATATAGAGAAAACCAAAAATAGAAGATGAATATTAAAAATGCAATTTTGTCTTGCATTTTGTTAGTTAGTATGTTAGTAGGTGACCTTTTTTGTTTTGTTTTTTGTGAAAAATTTTATTAGTTTTGAAAAAAAAAAAAAAAAACCAAGAGATGTTGGCTCGAACACCATAAACTCACACAAGGCTATGTGAATGTTAATCATTTAGACATTGTTATTTTTCGACGTTCTAATCGTTTATGCTCTTAGTTAGACACAGACCTTCCATGCGTAGGGGTCCACTTTTGGGAACCCCTACAAAAATACAGAAAAATAGGAGTCCGTTTTTTGTATTTTCTAGGCTCCGAATATACAAAAATTGGAATCCCATAGGTAAGCGGCCTCAAGCCGCTTAACACATAGAAATAGGGCCCTTGTTACACGAGAATTTATAAACTCATTTGTTTGTTGTAGCTCATTTCAAAAAAACACCCCCCATAAATGCATACCTCCTAATATTTTACGTCCGCATTGCCATCAACACAATTAGCACCCATCTGCCAAAGCACCCCAACCACACATTCCCTAGCATTAACCTATCAATCTCACAAATCATCTTGTCTTCTTTATTAAAAATTAAAGCTTCTTATTGATTTTAGCTAACTAAAAAAATAATTATTTATAATTAAAAAATACACTAAGATAGACTCTAGATAGCATACTACGACTATGAATCATAACGTAATAACATAATGGTTCCTACGATATGAAAAATAATAATAATAATATCACCAACACCCGAAAATAACAGCCCCAACGCAGCCCCCGCGCCAACACCGGATAGGTCCCCGAGCACCCTGCCGTCACATACTATCATTAGCACCTGCATCGAACAGCACCTAAAACCCCAAAGTGCATGCCCCCGAACAATTTCCTTTCTTTATTAGAAATCTATGGTTTCCAGTTATTTGGGAAAACAAGTCCATACAATCAGCAGCATTTCCAACAATAATACAAAATAACACCTGCACCACCAACCCCAAACTGCATGCCCCTTAACACCCGCCGACAATCTCCGAAAATTGCGCCTACGACGCAAAATATCTCAAATAGCACCCCAAATAATATCCTAAAACAACTATATCAGCTCCCTTAATAACACACGGCCATCAATCTTGCAAGAACCAACGACTCAAACAGCGTCCCAAATTGAATGCCCCTCCCGCTGTCCATTAGCGCCGTAAACAGCACAAGCACTAGCCCTTAATCAGCATAACAAACTGCATATCCCCAAACACCCGACCGTCAATTTCACAAAACGACACTTCCACCAGCGCCCGAAATTGCATGCCTCCTAGCACCCGGCCATCAATCTCGCAAAACAATACCTCCACCAAGACTCCAAACTACATGCCTCCTATCCCGCAAAACGACACCTCTAACAGCGCCCCCCCCTAGCACACGGCCGTTAATCTCGCAAAACAGCATCTCCACCAACGCTCCAAATTACAATCAATCTTGCAAAGCGGCGCCTCCGTCAGTACCCGAAATTGTATGACCCATAATACCCGGCCGTTAATCTCGCAAAACAACACCTCTGCTAACACTCCAAACTTCATGCCCCCTATCTCGCAAAGCGGCATCAACTCGAAATTACATACCCCCTAGCAGTCTAAACCTACATACCCCTTGGCACCCGACCATTAATCTCAGAAAGCGGCACTTCCACTAGCACCCGAAATTATATGTCCTTTACTACCCAGCCGTTAATCTCGGCAAATAGCACCTCCACCAGCACCCCAAACTATATAACCCCAGCACTTCTCCACTAGCGCACCAAACTATATGCCAATCTTACAAAACAACACCTCCAGCAGCATCCCAAACTACATGACTCCTAGCACTGAACCGTCAATCTCGCAAAACAACACTTCCACCAACATCCCAATTTATACGCCCCTAGCAACCGACCATCAAGCTCGCAAAACAACACTCCACTAGCGCCCCAAATTACATGCCCCCCAGCAATGTCATAAATCATTTTCCCTTAAAATTAGAAGACGACCAACCTAAAAACATTTTCCCCAAACATATTTCTAGCCGCGAAAGCACTTTTTACATCGATGCGGCGAGTGTGTCTATGCACGGCGACGTTCAATATGTATAGTCATATAAGAATTTCATTTTATTTATATGTGTGCGCAAAATGTTTAGCCTGAGCTAAGCTGTAGACGTGCTCCGCGCACTATACGTCTGCGTTTTAGGCCGGTCGGAGCCGCTAAGAGTATATTCCACATATTACGGTTTCTTTGCTTGAACCTGAGTTGCTACGGATTAGGAGGGAATCGAATTGTGGAAACAGACAAGCAAACCACGAAATAACATCCAAAAGCCAAATCGCGAACAAATCAACCATACGGCACCATATACGCACGATCTCTTCGCCGAGATTAAAACGAATTCGCACCGACGCCACAACGAGAACGCATCGATACGCACGATCCCCACAAAAGATTTACCCGCAAAAACACAAAAAAACAAACGACATTTTGCACTTAAACCAAACTAATCCCCATAAAAAATCGTACAATTAAATCAGAAATCGCAAAACAATTCAAATTATTTATCTCGATTATGCCAATCCCCGTAAAAAATCGTTATACACTTAGCTGTATGCACTTAACTCTATACATTCGGCTCAATATATTCGATTTGTTGTATTCATTCGATTCTTTGTATTCGGTTCTAGATATTTGATTCTAGATACTATATATTTAATTCTATATATTTAACTCTATACATATAATATTTTGGCTTTATAAATTTTGCTTTATATATTTGGTTATATTTATTTAATTGTTATCTTTTTTAAATTTAGTTATATTTATATATATCTCTATAAATACAAATTCGATATATAATTCTACACATTTAATTTATATATCTAACTCTGAAAAAATAAATAATAATATATAAATTTAAATTAACTAAGCGGATTTTTAACACAAAATATGATATGTAATAATGGAAAAATATCTTATGTTTATATAGAGAAATCAAGATTAAAATTATTTTTTTCAAAAATACAAAAATACATTGCTTTTTAAATTATAATATTTAAATACATTTCAGGATTAAATATTAATTAACAAATTAGTATAACGATCGCTAAAGACTAAATTGTTTAGAAATTCTAACCTAATTAATAAGAGATTCTAAAAAATAGATGAAGAAAAATACAAACAAAATACATTTAGGTACTATTCCCAACAAGATGCGGTTTTTTGTGTTCGGGCCCGGCCACAATACGGGAAACCCCCCTGATCTAAATCATGAATTATAAAATAATGCTAATTTTGCTTAGGATACCGTTTTGCCTATGCAAAATTATACACGACGATGTTACCCAAGGCCCGATAAAACATTATTTAATGTTAAAAATAAGATACCCCCTATGGAAGATTTAGCACCTATCTAGACTAACATCCCAAAATGTTTAATTAATATAATTTAAAGGAAATAATATAGACCTAGCATAAACAAATTCCAAAGCGTGAATACAATTTAGCACAATATTGTTACTCTTTTTGATATAATTAATAAATAAAAAAAAATATAATCTCAAATAATATCCCCCCAATATTATATGGTATTTTGTTTTAGATATAAATCCTAAATTAACCAGCGTAAAACCTAGGCAGGGGCAAGGAAATAAAGAGGCAAAAAAACAGAGAAAGACAGAATTAAGCAAAAATACAAAAATAAATTAAAAAACACGATAAAAACCAAAAGATAAATAAATAGAGAAATATATATAAAAAGACAATAAACAAAATAACAAAATAGAAAGAAATAGAGACACTAAAAAAAGAGAAACAAACCACAGAGAAATATAACAATATAAATATTTAAAAACAAAAAAATATAAAGAGAGAACTAAATAGAACAAAAAAGAAACAAATCAACAAAACAACACAAAAAAAGAAAAACGAAAACAAAGAAAGAACACAAGAAATAATAAAAACAAAAAACAACAAAAATCCCCCGACATTTTAACAACATATTTAAGAATATAATATATTAGAAATTTCAATCTCAAATCTATATAAAATCCTCGTGGACATATAAAGGAATTCCCCTAATAGAATCCTAATAGAATCTTTATAAAACCTAAACAAACAAATAAAAAACAGAGAGGCAAAAAAGCAAAGAGAAAAAACAAAAAAAGGAAATAAAGAAACAACAAATCAACAATAAAAAATACAAAAAGAAAACAAAACAATAAAAGAATAAAAACATAAAGAATAAAAGAGAAAGACAAAAATTAAAAGAGAAAGAAGAAAAAAACAAAAATAGAGAAACCAATAACGAAGAAAAAACAACAAACGAGATAAATAAAAACGAAAATACAAAAAAAACACATAAAAAATAAATAAAAACAAATTACAACAAAAAAAACACCAAAAAATAGAAATACAAAAAGAAAGACAACAATACAAAAACATCAGGCATACAAAAACAAACATAGAAACATAACAAGACAAACATACAAAAAATACAAAAACAATAAATAATTAGACAAACAACAAAACAAGAATAACAAACATATAGAGGAATAACACAACAAAACGACAAAACGACAAGAAAACAAAAAAATACACAAAAAACAAAACAAAAAAACAAATCTACCCAAAAAAACAATAAAACACAAACAAAGAAACAAAGACAAAAATATAGAGGAATAGAAACACAAAAAGACAACAATACAGAGGGACAGAAGAATAGAGGGAAAGAGAAGGAAAGAGGAAAAATAAAAAAAGAGAAAGAAGGAAAAAAGAAAAGAAGGAAAAAAAAAAGAAAAAGAAGGAAACAAATGAAATTTTCGAGACATATCGAATATTGCCGGCCCGGCTCTCAGACCCCGCAAATTTCTGCAGAATTTAGTTTATAAAAAGAAAAAGAAAAATTAAATTTTAGCAAAATTTCGGGGATTTCCAGGCCGTGCGAAAAGTCAGAGCTTGCGTCACGAAAAAAAATCCGGGATAATCATAAGCAAACGCTAAAACCACGACTAGAAAACCGAACCACAATAAAGAAATTGACAAATCACGATAAGCAAACCTTTGCTTGGAGAACTCCTCGAATTCTTTTTCTGGAGGTGTTAATATACAAATATTATTATTTAAAATCTTTATAAATATAATATTAATTATATAAATATAATATATTTGTTTTTGCTATATTAAACAATATATCTATATTTAATATTAATATATTTTATATAAATTAATCTATATTTTAAACTCAAATATAATTATAAAGAATATAATATCTTTAACAATTGCATATAAATTAATTCAATCATTTCAAATCAATATATATAGAAAATATATTTATATTCAATTTAATCCCATAATTTCAGTAATTATTTAAATTTCAAATATTTAATTATATTTCAATTATCAAATTTAAATAATATTTATATTTCATAAAATCTATTAATGCATAAATCATAATTTCATATATAATTAAATCCGCAAATTAAATATATTAATTCACAACATAATTAATTTACACAATTCACCCACCTCTCAAACAATAATAAAAATTATTAATTTCAAAAATAACAATAATACCAATATATAATTTAAATTATATTTATAATATTATTTAAAACAAATTCTATATAAATACATAATTTTATTACAAACCATATTCATATCATATTCAATATATAATTTCATAAAATTAATCTCAATTACATTACAAATATATATATATTATGATTATTGGTAATGTATTATTGATTTATCTAGCAACCTATTCAATTTGTAAAATACTTGTAATTTGCATTTTCTCCAGATTAAGCATCTGCTGGCCCGCCAGTACTGCCCCTGCAGATTTGTCCACACAAGATTCATGTGTTTCAGCTGGCTCGTGTAGCACAACTCCCCTTAATATTGGTGGAAAGCAGGGCCGAATGGGATTTGTTGGGCTGACGGATAGCAACGAATCAAAGAGAGCTTTGACTCTCTCCTTTCTCCGACCCTGGATGAGATGTGTGAGTTGTTTCTCCAGGTGAAGATAAAGGCCGTCCTGCCTGTCAGCTCCGTCGGAGTCATCGCTCGAACCCTCGCCAGATGAAGGCCTGAGATCTGGCGAAGTGGCAGCGTCACAGTGACCCTTGGTTTACAAACAAAAACTAGAGAATACCGAGAGTGTCAGTCCATCATGGCGCCGCATCATGGTGTTGGTCACAAAAAAACAAAAATAAAAAAACGCCACCCCGCCTTGGGGGCTGAAGATTTGAAGGCGACGTGGCAGCATCCTGACACATACCGCCCACGGAATTGCGAAGGACACATGAGCCACGGGCCAACTCCTTTTACAGAGACTCTTTTTTTCATACACCGATACGCATACACAAATATATATATATATATACATATATATATATATCTATTTATATACACACATATCTATCTATCTATCTATCAATCTATCTATCTATCCATCTATCTATCTATATGTATTTACCAGCCGTAGTCGTGGTTCCCCTAGACAGCGTTCGGGTTAAACCTAAGCGGTCTCGTCGCCTCGCCTCCCAGGCCATGGACAAACCCCTCTCGGCGTCGATGGGCAAGCCCTGGCCTCGGCGCTCGTGACTCACACGGTCTGACACAAAGATTAAAACATCAAACCATCAAATCATCTAATGGTATACTAAACCAGTAAACCATTAAATTCCACAAACGATACATTGGTTAGTAAACTATATTAAATCCCACTAAAGATTCATGGAACATTAAATCCTTTTAAATCATGAAATGTCTGTCATAATTACCCAGTAAATCCCAGCAATACATGGTATAGTGGCCCTCCCATTAAATCGCTCCTGATTTTGGGGTTAGACACCATCTTAGACAGTGTGTCCTTGCCCTAGGGTTCCTGGCCTGGCCCCCATTACAAGAAAGGCCTTGGGACCCCCTTTGGAGGATGAGAATCCTGAACGTTAAACAATGGTAACAAGGGTGGTTAGATGAGCCAATTTAATGGTGGACGGATGACATTATTTCTCATGGTCATGACTAAATTAGCCTTTTGGCATCCTAAACCCTAATTTTAGATACTTAGGCCCTTGTACTCGGGGCTTTTGTTCTGTCAAGCCACTCATTTGCTTTCCCAAGCGTTCCCGCGCTCCCACATTTGCAGCCACTTGGATGCCCACGTTTGCGATCGCACCGCTGCTGGTAGAAGTCGCGCCTGCGCATTGCGATCAGCGAAGGCGCTTGCCTTCAGTCATGCTAGTCATGGACAGCCAAAGCACAAAAAGATTTGGGGTGGTCACCCATTGGGCTCATAGCTTCTCCTACTTTTTATCCACGGATGACCCCGCTGCCTTGCCCCCCTTGTCAGCTTCCCTCCGATTGGATTGGTGGTTTGGAACTCCTACTTCTTAGAGGGTGAACAAGAAACCACCCCCTAACTCCCGAGCCCAATCCAAACCACAAATGAGTCGGACCTTGGTTCCGAAGAAGTTGAAGCTTTTAGCTCTATAGCTCAGCCCGCGGCAACTCTTCCAAGTGCTGGTAGAATCGCGCGATGGGCCATACCTCACGCGATTCCAACGTTGGAGTGACTAAAGTCACTAGAGCTGGACCAGTTTTGCCGGTTTCTCTGGCCTCATTATTTTACCATGATCAAAGTCACCCCCTAAGTGATGGGTTAAAGGGAAACCACCGATTCCATTTTCTGACTTTGACGACCCCTGGAAACAATCAACATAATGACCCCTGTTTCTGGTATCGAAAACTGTAGTTCACCTACACCGGAGAAACTGGGGAACCCCCACGACGCTCTTGGGATCCGATAGTTAGGGCGGGGACCTACCACCTGTGAGTTGCAATGCAGGTGGTTTTCCAGTTCATCTAAACCAGTGGTTCCAGTAGAGCCCGCTACTGAACTTATTGGCGTGAACTTTTGCACGGGTTGATCAAAAACGACAAACAAACACTACGTAAAAATACATATGCATATAGATATATATATATATATAGACATGTACAGGTTCTGTCTCTAAAACGAGGGGCCCACAATAGCTGGCTTCACACCCATATATGGTGCCTTACATACTGCCAATGGGCATGTGTCAAAATACGGCGGCCATGCAACATGGTGGGTTCTCCTGTTAATTTCCGTTTAAAACAACCTGAAGCAAATACCAAGCCTCCAAAACACACACGGCAACATCGGCCCCCGGTTTTCAGCTCGTGCTCACTCTGAGGTGCACGCCGAAAGCAGCTCGCCTTGCAAGTGAGGCGTCACTTCCGCCATTCTTCCCAGGTTGGTTTGGTTGACCATAATTAGATCGGTGTTTCTCAAACATATGATAGACTGGCCTGATCCGTGGAAGGCAGACCAAAACCTGTGGTTCCCTGGCTTCTACATTCTGAGCCCAGATAGATTCCCCAGGTGTTAGCTTGGTTCCACAAATTTACCGGTGTGCTTGTCAACAAAGGCACCTCGGGGCAGGTGGCTAGAAATGAACGGTCGATCTTTTAGGACCTTGACCACATGTCAGCGCAGCACCAGTAGATGCGCTTCCTGGGTGCATTGGCCAACAAAAAGTCTGAACCTCTTTGGTGTACCATTAAAAAAAAAAAAAAAAACGGGCCTGCCCCAAACAATGACTCAAGTCCAGAATTTCGGGAAGCTAGTAAAACTGCAGCTCAGCAGACACTAACAGGTTGCACTGCACGACAATGGGAAATATAGCCACCAGGAATGTGCAGATCTGCTCTTTGGTGACTTGGGCAAATCCTTCCAATCCGCCTCCCAAATGAACAATGAATTGCCTCTGCTACTTAAACCATCATAGACTGATAAACCGCTGTGGCATTGCGTGCGATCATCTCAAAAGGAACCCTCACCGTCGGAAGCAGCATGGCACGCAAGGAATCTCATGTATATACACACATGTACATATTTTCTGTGGGTGTCTCGTTGAAGGCTTCGTATGTTGGTCAAAGGGGGACATGCAGGAAAACCAACCCAGTTTTAGGCTCAGATCCTATTTTGAAACACACCAACACCATGAATGCATTGCACCCTCCCCCCCAGCGCGCCGTCTGAAAGCCGGGAGCAGTGGACGACCTTGAGCCGGGTTGATGTCAACAACTGATGTGATTTACACCTGGCCAGAACACAGCTTCTCACTTGCTGCCTCCACTAGGTCCTCCACAGGTTAGAATAAGGCTACCCTTTTTTCATGTTTGTCTATTTTGGTAGGGGAACCCTCCCAACCAAAAAGGGGGTAAAAGGGCACTGGAAAACCTTCCCAGACCGTAGAAGTCCTTTTGGAAATAGTAGGTGGCCCTGGCAAATGGGGCAAAAAGAAACAAATCTAAACCAGTGCCATGTGTATCGGTCTTGGTCCAAACTTGTTGTTTTCCGCGGACATCACACAAGTTCAAAGCCCAGAAGGGAAACAGGAACCCCTTGTTTCGGGCTCTTCTGAACAGGATATAGAGATGATTGATTGGGAAAAGGAAAAAGAAAGGCATGAGAGATGGAAAAGATAAGGTACGAAGGGAAGGGAGGGAATAGATAGGTGATATGCCGGACAGATGCTTCCCTTAGTCTTTCTTTTATCTTCATCCGTCATCACCAATCTCCTCAGATTGGACGCTTTACCTCATAATGTCAAAAAGGACGCCGCCAAACCAAGACTCAACAAACAAATGCAGCGCTTGTTTTGGGAAGTAAAAAGTCAACAGCCCATTGCTTTGGTTGAAGGCAATGGCCCTTAAGCTGTGCTCCGTCTCAAGCGTAGTGCGTTTAGGTTCGGGGGAAGTTGCGCATGCATCTGTGCAAATACATACAAGGACGTATAAAGTGGGACTAGTTGTATTAAGCCCCGGTGTGGGGGGGGGGGGGGCGGGGGGGCAAAAACCAGGGTGGGTTGAAGGTGCTGCTAGCATGCGTTTAGGGTTGATGTAGGGCTAGGGCTGGTTTCAAGCTTGGTACAGCAAGGTTTAGGGTAGGATTGGGAGTGTTTACGACTGGTGTAGGACAAATTTAGGGCGGGGGGATCACTTTGGTCGCAGTTTTTGGATCACTTTGGTCGCAGCTGAAAATTCACTCACTTTGGTCGTAGTTTGAGCATTTGCGGATCACTTCTGTCGCAATTTTTGGATCACTTCAGGCGCAGTGGAAGATAGCTTTTTGAGCACTAACAACAGGACACACGCAAAGGGTGTTGCCTCTCAAACACCTAACAACAAGACATGCCGGGTGGGGTGGGGTCGACAAGGATGTTGCCTCTCAAACACCTAACAACAAGAACTGCCGGGTGGGGTGGGGTCGACAAGGATGTTGCCTCTCAAACACCTAACAGCAAGACATGCCGGGCGGGGTGGGGTCGACAAGGATGTTGCCTCTCAAACACCTAACAACAAGACATGCCGGGCGGGGTGGGGTCGACAAGGATGTTGCCTCTCAAACACCTAACAACAAGACATGCCGGGCGGGGTGGGGTCGACAAGGATGTTGCCTCTCAAACACCTAACAACAAGACATGCCGGGTGGGGTGGGGTCGACAAGGATGTTGCCTCTCAAACACCTAACAACAAGACATGCCGGGCGGGGTGGGGTCGACAAGGATGTTGCCTCTCAAACACCTAACAACAAGACATGCCGGGCGGGGTGGGGTCGACAAGGATGTTGCCTCTCAAACACCTAACAACAAGACATGCCGGGCGGGGTGGGGTCGACAAGGATGTTGCCTCTCAAACACCTAACAACAAGACATGCCGGGCGGGGTGGGGTCGACAAGGATGTTGCCTCTCAAACACCTAACAACAAGACATGCCGGGCGGGGTGGGGTCGACAAGGATGTTGCCTCTCAAACACCTAACAACAAGACATGCCGGGTGGGGTGGGGTCGACAAGGATGTTGCCTCTCAAACACCATAGTCAACGGCGAAGAAACTAGGACCGAAGCGAGTAAGGAAACTAGGACCGAAGCGAAATGAAAACTAGGACCGAAGCGAGCCGGCAACTAGGACCGAAGCGAACCCGCGACCCAAATTTAGGGTTGGTTGAGGGATGGTGCTTGCTGTAGGGTAGACTTGAGGTGAGGCGCCTTTGTTTAGACTGCTGATGCCAGGTCTTGTGTGTGTAGAGCGTTCGCGGCTTGAAGCTTGTCTTGGACAAACGTTCTAGCCATAGCAGTCCAGTCGTGCCTGGATTTCACCTGTGTGCGTGTCAAACGTATGGAGTCTGTTAACTCGCGGCACGTAGTGACATCAGGGTCCTGAAAACAGAGCTTCTTGCCACAATATCATCCGTTCAGCTCAGGCGTGAGTGCCTTGAGGTGAGTTCCGGACAGACTAAGATTTATCTAGTGTAGGTCAGGATGGGTGGTTAGGAAGGGTGGCTTCCCTTTAAGCCAACCAGAAAGAGGCACCCGCAAATAGAAACACACCGAAATGCCTGTACGGTGATTGTGTTGGGCTGAAGGGAACTTAAGGGGATGGGCGTCTAGGAGTTCAGGGCTTAGGGTTTAGGGTAAGTGGGCTTGGTTTCGGGTAGGGTGGGTCGGTGAAGTATTCAGGCAGCTTCGGAGAATCACAAGAGAATTACATGCAGAACAAACGTCTGGCAAAGGTATCTAAATCACTGCCATCTGCGCATGTTCACATCTTCAGCAACAGGTGCTGTAAGAGCCACATGGGGTTGTAAAACAGAGCACAAGTATTGGGAGGGGGAATCGAAGGTCTGAGAACAGGGAAGAAGACGCTGTGCGTAACGGCATCATTGAGCTCCATTCCAAACGTCCATGAAATGGCCAAAAGCTCCCAAGCAAGGCCACCCAAAAACCTATTCGATAGACCTTGCTGATCCAGCTTTCCGATTCCTTGCGCTTGATGTCACACAGCTTGCGGTGCTTACGCAGGGCTAAGCTCGCAGCTAGTTGTGGTCTGCGATGATTCGAGGGCGTGCTGTCGCTGATTGCCTCCGTGCGACGATCATGTGCTACCCCTGACAGAAGCTGAAAGCCTTGCCAACAAAACTGGGACAGGTAATAAACCTAACCTTGTCTGGTTGGGAGGGATATAAAGAAAACCGAAAAGGACAAAAGGGCCAGAAGCTGAGTTATGAGTCTGGCAATGAAGAGAGAGCAAAGAAACGCTACGGGCATTCAAACAAGTGGCAAAAGAATAGCAATATAAGGCATGAGATATAGCTTTTGCAATACTTAGACATTTGAAAAGTAAACTCATGATGCACCGCTGTGTTTTTATTCAAAAAGAGTGTTTATACTAAATATGCCAACGTTTGATTGCGGCTCATATACTTGCCAGTTGGTGAGTATTTTCCAGCTTAGGTACGCCCTTTGGGGAGCAAACCAGTCATTCAGGAAAATGGACATGCCATTTGAGATGCACGTGATACATGGTCAGAGCTTTGCACGGAGAATGGCACCGGGGAGAGGGCAACATTTCTACGCTGCCAGACCGGATTCATGCTCACTGCGTGTGGAAACTGTTCCAAGGCCCCACTATATAAAGGGTAAACTTCTAGCAAGGGATTAAAATCTAGAAGCCGTTTTGGATGCGCCTGTTGTGGATTTCACCTGTTCTTCCCCCTGTTGGTCCTTTTTTAGTACTCTTTTAGTACTCTTTTAACCTTCTACAGGGGTGAAACCACAAAAGCCACATCCAAACCGTTTTCTAGATAAAAGGTAAACCTTTCGCAAGGGATCAACGAGGCAGTGCACGAGTTTCGCGGCACGCTTGCTCTGCTCTAGTTTTCTCAATGGGAACAGCATTTCAGGGCTATGATTTACTGAATGGGCAAAAACCGGCCCCCTGGATGATTACACACTCCTCTGGTATGAACGTACTTGTTTGCATAAACCGTGACCCCACATCTTGGGGTACACCGAAATACAGACTTAAAGGAGCCAGTAGAACCAGCGGGTGTGTTGCTATGGGCTTTGGACAGAGTGCCAGGCTCAAGTACAAGGCCTCAGGTGCGAACCCCCCGACAACAGGCCGACGAGTTCCCCCCAGCCTCGGGGGCACGCAGCAGGAGGCCAACTTCCAGGACCTCGGAGTCGCCACTCCGAGATTCCGCCGAACTGGTCCAGCGGAGGTGAGGTGAAACACATTTCCAAACCAACGGGACCCCCAATGGCATTCCCTTGTGTCTGCCTTTGATGCTTTTTTGGCCTTGGTTCTGACCCATTTGGCGTGTCTTGCTTTGGGGGAACCTTTTTTTGGGTGGTGTGTTATAAGGGGCATCAAGAGGAAATCCACCAATTTGGGGGGCCCCTAAAATAAGACACAGCCAAATCCACCCTTTTCGTATAAAAAGAAAAACACTGTCCCTATAATATACCCAAGTGGACAATCCTTATAACTGATTTATCACTTAGGGAACTCCCAAAGGGACTTTGGGCGGTTTCCGATTCGGTACTTGGCTAAGAACCAGAGGCAAGTCCTGCTTTCTGCACATTCATCTTGCCACCAAAATAGAAACATAGAGAAACATGAGGGTCTCTTTGCTGGGGGGCACCCTTTTACGAAAAACAACAACATTTGTTTGGGGGCATCTCCAAAAAAGAGACAACCCCACATGAAACCGCAACAAAAACATCCATCTGCATCCACGCAAAACGCTCTCGCCCCGACTCGACTCGACTCGACTCGTCTTGTCGATCTGATTGCGGCGAGCCTGCAGCGGTGTCTGCTCGATCTCTTTGAGAAGCTCATTGGCCTAGTCCCCCAGGCGGTCCTTTTTGGTTGAAAATCGATGGGTCTCCCTGGTTTGACCAGGTAAAGGAATCGAAATCCCTCTACTTTTACACCAAAACCAAAAAGGACATGCCCAGGCGACGCGGCACATGGTTGAACCCAACGTCGGAAACGAGACGTGCCACTTGTGCATGCGGCCCCAAGCAGGGCACGCGTGGGTGCGTCTGCTTTTTGAGACCGTGGCCGCGCACCAACTGCAAGTTCAGATTTTCAAACGTCCCAGGACTATGTGGCCATCCTCTCTTTTTTGTTTTTGTTTGTTTGTTTTTTATTCTTCTTGTTTTTCTGCTTCTTTTCGCGGGGATGGCAGACTTGAAACAGTGTAAACAAAACGCTTTGTGTCTCTGACAAAAAGAAACCAGATTTCCTGAACAAGAACCCCCTTTTTGGCTATTCGCCATGTTCATTCTTTACCGCCGGTTGTTGTTAAGCCCGTTTCAGGCTGTTTGCTGCTTTGTTATCTGCATGCGCCGGAGAGGATCACCACGCCTCATCCACATCATTGTGCACCTCCCCGGCTCGTCTCATGATCTCCGCACACCTCAGCTTGTTTTTTGCCCTTTTGGCATCGCGCCTGAGCAAATTGATTCGGACACAAAGAGGTTCACCTCTGCAAGATGTGACTTATAATATCCAAACAGTTCGAATCTTCCAGGTCGAATGTTCTACCTCGCCAACAAATCGGTCGTAAATAGGTGCCCACAATAAATGGAAGCAAGGACGAAACCTGGCAGTCTGGATCTTACGTATGTCTGACCCATGCCCAACTTGCTGGTGCTCAGCAGGGAATGAGAAATGGAATGACCCATTCAAGGGAATCCCTGGGTTCATTCCAACTCATTACCTAGGTCCTCCAGTAGAGAGCTTAGAATAAGGGTACCCTTTTTCTGTAGTCTATCTGAGTAGGGGAACCCTCCCAACCAAAGAAGGGGTTAAAAAGGGCACCTAGCCGGTGACAACCTAGTTCCCGACCTATCGCACGGATCGCGAGCCAAACCCCAAAGGACCCCTTCCATTTGTTTAAGGCCCCAAAACAAAATGAAAATGTCCATTAGTAATGATTTCTTTTTAAAATCAACAAGGGGAACTCTTTTTTTTTTTTTAAACAAAACAAACTTAAGCAAATGGAGGACCCACAGCTGGACTCGCCGAAAGCAACGATCCGAGGCCGGTGCTCGACTTCGCCCAGCACGGGCGCCACCGAGGTCTCGATGAGCCTCAGGTGACTCCGATGAAAACCTGGAGGGTTCTTCTTGCCGCTGCGATAGGTAGGGAAGGAGAATTGGAATCCTTGGGAGCTGTTGACCCCTCTACAAAAAGTGAATAACTTTTTTCTGGGTTTAGTGAAAACCCCTTGATTTCCCAAAAAGTTAAAGTCTAAAGATCCAACCCAATAGCAGTCAAGGAATAAACCCGGGCTTTAGTCCCCTAGGCTTGGTTCGGGGTCATTCCAATTCTCATTTTCTGCTGGGCACCAAGTCCTGTTCGGTTCCCTCAAAAGAAGGTACCATGGATAGCGTGAAACCTTTTGCGTTTTGAAAAGCGGTTGACAAAGTAAGCCAAGTCTGTCAACGACAGGTAGTTCACAGGGGAATTCAAAGGGCCACCACCCATCTGGGTGCATTAAAATATTTCACCAGCCTGAAATAAGGTGGTTGGGGGGCATTCCCCACATAAACCACCATTCGGGGTGAGGTCGTGTGAGGTCGCTATACTTCGCCCAGACCCATATACCACCCATCCATTTGATATGCAACCCGCCCAGGAGGTAAACGTCGGCCAAAAGGTCGCATGCCATGAGGACATCCCAATCGAACGCCAAAGCCGCGCCATGAACCGGGGGTGGTGACTGGACCTCCATTGCTCAGGGAAGCTCAACTCACTTGCTGAACGGATTGGCCAAAAAAGGGTGTAAACCTTTTGCTCACCACTGAAATTGTTGAAAACTGAATTTGGGAAAGGATAACCCTCCAATCTGCTTTCTGGATCTAGAGGTAAATTGAAAGTCCAAAAACAGAACAGAAGGCTTGGAAGGACATGGTGCCCAAAATAGGCGACCCTCTGGCTGGTTTTTCACCAATGCATCTAAGATGGCTTACACTACACCCAATCCCTACCCCCAAGGTTCAAAGGGATATGTCACGATAGACCCACTATGCAAAGGTTTCTATTTCCCCATTGAACCCTTGGGGTTGGTGGTTTGGGGAGTGGAAAGAATAAGGTTTGCAAAGGCTACATACCCCCTTGTTGAACCTTTTTGAACCCTTTGGGGTAGTGGTTCGGTTTGGCACTAGACATGGGACCCTGACGGCCGGGGACCCTAGGCCCCGGACAAGCGCAAGCGCTGCAGGGTGTCCCCTTCGCAGGCGGGGAAGGGGCTGGGCAGCGCAGCCTCGGTCTACGCCCTCGGGTTCCCAAGAACCCCGTTCAAAGAATAAGGATCCAATTTAGATGTCGGCAATCCCTGGGTAAACAATGTTGGTTGTATTAACCCAACCATTCTTCTAATGGTGGTAACTGAACCTCAGGGAACACATCCAGCGAAAGCCGCGGCGGGAATACCTCGTTGGGGGGCGGCACAGGGGGACATAAAGCTCCCTGGACCCTTGATTGAGCAGCACCCAAACATTATGTTAGCCGTGCATGTCGCAGTCGCTCATTTGCACACAATGTCAATCCTAGTCCGGAGCAAAGTCTCTGCTGAGAGCTGTGTCCCTGTCTGACATCCGGTAGCCCAATGTCCACGCGAGCTAAAGACATGACGTACGAAGAGTTGAACGAGGTGTTTGGCGGCTTGTCACACAGATCCCACCAATCACTCTGCCGGAAGTTCCAGAAGGCCTTTTCAACCTCTCAATCTTCCCCTCTCGCTGAACTAATCGGCAACTTGTCCAATCGCGATCACTACTTTGATGCCATCTCCTTGCAGAATGCTGAGATTGACCTCTTCGCTTTGAACTCTGACTACAAGATGGCTTGCAGCAACCATGACTCCATGACCTTGAGCTTCTCCCGCCCGCACGGAAATCTACGCTTTGTCAAGAAAAATGTTTTCTCCAATGAAGTAGCTTCAAAGAAATCACATAGCTTATCCGTACCGAAACCCTTTTTGACCGTCTACAAAAAGCTTCATGGCGCTTCTATTTGATTTGAAGACATTGGGGCGCACCCTCAGGTGGAGTTGTTGTTGTGCGGCAATCCCCTACCCCAAACCTGTCATTTCCCTTTGGGCAGACAAAGGCGTTTTGCTGGTTCAGAGGGGAACACGAAGGAATGTACTGGTTTTGAAAAGTAACTTATTCAGCTCTAGGTCTGCTGCGGAGTGGACCTTTACTTGAGCCAAAACACAGAGTCGCACAACCTGTACATGCGTATTGGGCATATATGGAGCAACCATTTGTCACTCCTCCTTGCTGGTGGAGCAGCCCTCGTGGGCTGATTTCACGTAGCGGAGCCTGGGCCAGAGAAATCCAGGCTGACCCTTCTGCGTTCAACCAAGAAACGTAACCTGATCTACGCAAAGTCTCTTCCATCTGTACACTAGGCGCGCTCTTAGTGAGCATGTCGGCGCGGTTGCTCTTGCCTGGGACATGAGTGACCTTCAAGTGGTCCATCGCTACTCGTTCCTGGAGCCAGAGATATCTGGTCTGGATGTGTCTAGCCTTGCCTAGTCCGATCCTATTTACAGTACCCTTAGCAGCAGTAGCGTCTGACTCTACCACTACAGAAATGGGAACTTGAAAATCTTCAAACAAGGCTTGCAACCCTAGTCCTACCAATCCACCCTTCACCAAAGCGTAGTACTCAGACTCGCCGGTTGAAAGGCCAATCGTTGACTGCACGTTGCTCGCGTGCTTCAAAACACGCTCGCCGAAAAAAAAGCGATCATACCTGTCGTGGACCGACGGGTGACCGCATCGCCGCATCACCTGCGTGGTCGAAGTCGACCTGAACCCGCAGCTTTGGCCTGTCTAGAAAACACTTGGCTAATAGCAGGCTTCTTGACCAGCCGCTTCAACTCCTGCAGAGATGCCTCGGTCGGTGTAACCATCTTCCTCAAAAGGTTCTTCGCAGCGTGACTCAAGTCAGGCCTGTCCGACTCAAATACGCTGCTCGCATAACACACGACCGGTACATGGATGCCATGTCCTTCGGAAGAAGTGGACTGTTGGCTTCCATCATCTGCACATCCACAGATTTCTTATGCCAAGCTGTTGGACTAGTAGATCAACATGTCGTCGTCTGGTTCCAAGAAAATAGCACTGGATCCTTGGTGAACTCCACAACTGATCAAGCGATTCAAGAAGTGAACCTCCTTGTCGTCGCTGACTTCGCCTCCCAAAGTTCCGAGCCATTTCAACTCATAGGCAGTCTTGAGGATATCGCTCAAACGCTGAAGTGCTTCTTGATCTCCCAACGCCATGAAGTCATCCCCATGCACGAGTACCCTTGTACCGTCAGGGTGGCAGAAAACAAAACCATTGGAGCGTCCCCTCACAAAGCTGTTGTCGATGAGAAGCTTCGTGCCAAATAGCCGGTGCGTCCTGCGTGCCATACATCGACTTCTTCAGCAAACCTACTGTACCATGCCAGGGACATTCTCCTCTTCAGGCTTCCGCTTGGGCGTCCCAAAAAAATGAGCTCTGGAAATGTCCCAAAGTCCAATCTTCAGGGGTTTCCCCTTGGCCTTGCCTGTTCGGTTGAAACTCCGGCTCCTGCTGCCGGTGTAGTCTCCTCTCTCAACTCTTCCGTGGTAACCTCTGCTGTCCGCTTTTCTCCTTGAGCAGGTTGGACTTTCAACTTAGGTCCGGGGCAATCTTAAGTTCCCCTGGCCTCTTCTGTGACGCTGGACTCGTCCTTGCCTTGGCTGATGGTGATCCGGGATCTCCTGGTGCATCGTTCCAAGTCCTCTTCAACTCTCTTCTGTCCATCTTCCTCGTACTCCACGGGTGCTCATGGATAGGAGGGGTCTCCTCGTGGCCCACGGCTGCAGCTTCTTCCGCAGTGACATCTTTGTCCTCCGGTACAACCTCGCGCTTTCTCTTGTGCTCTTCAATTCGCTGACGTCCCTGTTCATCCATGAGTCCCACAATCCTTGCTCTGCGTGATTCCAGATGTGGCAGAACAGTGGACTCTTTTAGTAGCACACGTGCACAGCCGTCCGTTGATCCAGACTTCCCCACGTCGGCCTTCCTGATGTAGATTCTCCTTTGCTGAGGTTGTGCCATGACGTGGGCTACCGGTGGTGGAACTTCTAGCCTGTCCTCACCAGTACTTCGGCGTCACCGCGCGCCTTGCAGCGACCTCCCATGGAAGTCCCTTACATCCGTCGGCAATCCAACGGTCGCACTCGGCAAGTCGTCTGACGCCAGTGCCTCTCTTCACTCCTTCGACTGTCATCACTAAGAGTCATGATGGCCGATGTAATGACCTTCCTGGAGCGCTCTCGGCTATGGCGATGGCAGGCTTCTCCAGTTTCTTCCGCACCTCCTGCCTTCCGGAGTGCGGCCATCCGGCCCCTTCCAAGATCTTCTTCTCAAGTGATGACCTCAAGATACGTACCTGCCTCTTGAGTTCACGGAGAGCATTCTCCACTAGTCCGTTACTCCGATGATCCCCGGCAAATAACTCCTGCGGAGCCATTGCCAATCCCGCTTCACGAGCGGCTTGCTCCTTCAGTGCAACCACTGCATGCTCTCCGTCACTCATCATGACGGCACGTCGGTAGCCTAGATGACGTAGGAAGTTAGCAAAGAACTTCACCGCATAGGGCGTAGGCCCCTTAGCACTACAAACGTGGCTGCAGTCGACAGCGTCTTGCTGTCCTTCGAGGATAGGTCGCGCCTTCCCGTCTTCCTTTCCATCCTTGGTCATCCTGCTTCTATGCTGCAGGCCCAAGACAATAGGGGCCTCTGGCCGGAACGGACATCTCTTCTTCCTCTCCTGCATTCCGGCCTTGGAACACCATCTGGTCGGCGTGCGCCGCCCAAAACTTCGCCTTCAAGTGGAAGTTGTTGATGGACCGGGATCCATGCCTTGGCCTGCTCCTTCTCAATCAGCTCCATGATCTTCTTTCCCAACCTGGAGTCTCGCGGGATCAAATTCCTGCATCTGCGTCAAGCACTGCCAGTCTGTCGTGCTTCAAGCAACGGTGGGCCGAGACCAGCGGCTTATGTACCGGTGCCAAGGGTCCAGTCACACTGCACCATTGTCCTGCTTCTCCAAAGATTCCTGTTCCGGTCCCACGGACCAGCTCTCCTGAGGCAGTCTTGAACAACACATCCGTGCCTTCCTTGGTTCAGGCTGTCTCTCTGCAGCACCTGGTGGATAGCAGTTTCCTCACTGGCCTCCGACCCGTGTCCTCCTCGGCAAAAGCTGCACGGCGGAGGCAATAGTTCGACGCAAGTCCGCCTCGAACACTGATGAGCCCGGAGGAGAGCGTCAGCGGATGCACCAAGATGATCAAGCGCACGGGCCTCACGGGCTACCCAATACAGGAAACCCTGGCCTGACAGGGGCCGGCTCAGCAGGTATCTCTTCTTGCTCCTCAACCTGCTCTTCGTCAAACTCCACGCCGTGCTCACTCCTTGAACGCTGGGATGGAGCCTCGCCGAACTTCGCGGACTGCTTGAACAAACCTTTGAGGACCCGGAACTGCCTGCCTACCTGGCTCCTCCTCTGGTCGTGGTAAGTGCCCTTAAGTCGCAAATGCGAGGGCTTACCTTTGCCTCCTTTCCGGCTTTACCAGCCGGTGGGTGGTCCGGGCTCCGGGGCCTGGCCCTGCTGCTGCTAGGCTAGCACCCTCCAATCTGAATCGTCCAAAACGACCGGCTTTGGCTCCTTGCTCTCAATCCCTTGAAGTCCTTCCTCCTTCTTCCGGAGCTTCGTCTGGCGACCAGTCCGGTGATGCGGGGAGCCCCTCCTGCTCCTCGGCCTTCTCTTCGGCCGGCGGCTCTGCGGCCTGCCAGGGCCCTTCCCGGCCTAAGCTCCTCGCCAGGGAGGAACCTCCCTGGTCCTGGACCTCCCGCGGTCCTTGGCGCCCTTCGCCCCCTTTGCGCCTTTCGCGCCTCTCGGTGTCGGACCAAAATACCAAATGCTGCGTCTGCCTGGATCCTCACCGGTTCCCGCTACCATGAAAAAATAACTTATTCAGCTCTAGACTCTAGGTCCGCTGCGGAGCGGACTTTTACTTGAGCCAAAACACAGAGTCGCACAACCTGTACATGCGTATTGGGCATATATATATATATATATAATTTTATATGGAGCAACAATTTGTCACGGTTTGCTAGTCCCCTGGGAAAATAATATACCGAAAACACTTTCCTTTGGTGATAGATTACTTTTAAGCCAGCAGGGAGAAGAACACATCGTCTTCGGCAAAGAAGCGCGCGCCAATGCTGTAGAGGGTGCCCCCCATCTTTGTGGTTTTAAAGAGAAACCTGGACGGAAAGCCAATTAACTCGAACAAAAACCGCCGACACTTTGCTTTTTGCACAAAGACACACCCGTCCTGGGCCTAGGCCGCCTTCAGCCAAGTCCCCGGCTGCACGTTGGTAGCACTCCTCCTGGACTTCTAGGTTTTGCCCTTGGCACCCAGAAAATGGGATGTTCAAACTTTGCACCACGCAAAAACAACTCCAGAAAAAACACCTCCCCCTTTCAGCACAAGTGATGCCGAACAGACCATTTGTTTTTCCGGTTTGCGTCTTTTCCGGCTGGTTCAAAGCCTTCTACGGGTTTATGTCTATACACTTGTTGTCATCCACCAAAACTGAGGGTTCTCTCTCGTGGCCCGGCTACATGCACAATGTGCCAACCATTGCGAACCTCTCCAAACACTTGGTGTCCTTTTTTTGATGTCCTCTCGAATTCTCTCTTGATCTCCTCGTGGTTTTGTCTCAACATGCGCGCACCCCACGTTTGCCCTTTGGTTTCTCTTCAATCAACCCGACGAGTGAACCCTAGATCAGGCCTACACGAAAAACACGTTTCTTGTTTGGGGGAGACAGATTTCCTGCTTGCTCACTTCCTGAGTGGATCCTAAAACAGTCCAAACTTTCCGTTTTGCCCCAAAGAACTTTCAACATCAATCAGCGTTTCCAAGGCTTTCAAAATCAACCAGCTTGTCCAAAGTTGGTTAGGAAAACCACTGGGTCCCTGAGTCATTTAGAGCACCGCTTCCGTATGATTTGTTACGGTTTTTTCCAAAGTTGGTCAGGGAAACCACAAAATCCCCAAGTACTTCAGAGCAACGGCGCCTCACGTCCCTTCTGGACCCAACACCTCTCCTCCTCGTCGCCGGTGTGGCCCTGGGAGGCCAATGGGATCACCTGCCAAATCGGATCCGCTGAGGCGGGTCACACGATCTCTCACTTCCTGAGTTGTAGCCGGATAAAGTCCAGGAACTTGTTTTTTACACCTAAAATGGTCCAAACGCAAAAAGTGACTAAAGTCCATGAACTCAGGGAGTGAGAAGTCCAGTGCAAACTCTGAAAAGCCTGTTCTACCTCTGAGATTCATGCTCATTCGGTCCTACACAACGGAATCACTTCGGAGATTGACCGAATGTTCGAACTTTTTGTCTGGCACTAAATGGTGCTCTGAAGCCAGTTTATCAATAATTGAGGAATGACCCACTGCAAATTCAACTACTCATATACTCGCGCGGAACAGATTCTTGTAGAGATGATGGGTTTCGTGGGTGTCCAACTCAACCTTCGAAAGATCAGGCATGACCCTCTTTGACTTATAATCTCACTTCCCGAGTGGATTGGCCAATAAAAGTCCAAACTGCTTGTCTACCACTAAACAGGTATTCCTGAAGAACATCAAATTCAGGAACTCGGAGAGCGAGAATAACTTACCTTGGCTTCTTTTCGGATTATCTTTGTGTCCCTTCCCAAACCACCACGGGAAAACACCAACCACCCCCTCAAAAAGGTGCCGACATCCCTCCGAAAGACACCCAGAAGGACCAACGCTGCGAAAACTTTGGTCACTTCAGGATCTCACTTTGGACATCTGCCATGTCCAATGGAAAATACAAACCTTTTAAACCCTTGGCACGGTATAGCGAAACACTGACCGTCTTTTTGCAGCCTGGCAAAAGCCAACAGAACCAAACACCCACAAAACAAACTTGATCCAACGAAGAAACAAAGAGCGCGTGGTTTGCGGGAAAATGGGTTGGCCCCTCGTCTGACTTTGCGAGGTCTTCTCCCTACGAGTCCAAATGCTTTGAGGCGTGGACAACAAGCGTTGCCGGAAAAAAACGCAGCACGGGCGATGCTCGTGCTCATCCCTTGTTGGGGTGTCTTCTCCTGGGGTTTTCCAAGACTAGGTCCTCCAGTAAAGAGGTTAGAATAAGGATACCAACTTTGTTTCTGTAGTCTATTTTAGTAGGGGAACCCTCCCCCAAACAAATGGCGGAAGGGCACTGCTGGGGGACCCAGAAGAACCAACATGCCTTTTGAGCATACCTTGTGAGCTTCCCATCGTTTCTTCAGATCCCTTTCATTTACGGTCTCCGGAATTGGTATCCTCAAAAGGTTGCCGGATTCTTGGAATGGATCTCTCGGTCCACGGGTCATCGATATTTTTGGGGCTTGGGACCCACGACAAAAAAAAACAACTGTGGGGCTGAAACAAGGCACCAAGGCGTGCCAACGAAGGCTCAATGCGGGGGAAACCTTGGGCGTTCCCCCGGGCAAAAGCTGCAAGTTAGAACCATGGCAAGGGAAGCCAAAGGAATCTGACCGAATAATGTCCATCCAAAGGTTCAAATTGCAACCACTTGGGAACTTTAGATTTCCAAAGCAAATTAATTTTGTAGGCTTCGCCGAAAACTGTGTCCCTATTCAAGCGACTGCACCTTCGCTCCATTCCCACCAGGACGTGCCATGCGGTTTGGAATTCTGCGTGCGTCACCCGACTTTGGGAAATCCTGGGGTTAAACGGGAAGTCCCCTCATTCGCAAGCCACAATGCCACCAACGTCCGCAGAACCCCGGAAATGAGGTTCAGTGAACCACCCTTCCCCGTTTTTGATGGCCTCCAGCCTTTGTGCTTTCTGGGTATCTTTCCCTGGCTTCCGCTTTAAAATGGATCTCTTGTTGTGTCTTGGTAATTGGTACCCTTCAGGCTCTTTGAGCAAAAGGAAACAAACAAGTCCAGAAATCGGGTGGGTGGATTCCCCATTTCGTGTCTTTTCAGCAATCGGACCCCCCGCAAAATGGGAAAAGGGGGTTTCCTTTTGGTGTCCCTTCAAAACCGCCCAAAAAGGAGTGCCTTTTGCGACGGACGACGACGAAAACGCGAAGACGCGTTCGACGGGCCGCGCCAGGCGGAAGGCAAAGGCCCGCCCAAAGATGATCCGCGCGCCGTGGTAGAGAGCCGTGGCCTGAGAGCGTCTTTTTTTGGGTCACTCCACGAACCAAACAAAGGGCTTGGAAGAGTCGAGGGGTTTACGTGGCTACGTTTTGGGTACGTTGGGTACTTTGTGTTTGGTACTTTGCGTCCTTTGGGCACTAGTTTACCACTGAACTAGCACTTTGGGCACTTGTTGGGTACTTTTTGGTACCATTTTAGTACCCATTTTAGTGGTTTAACAATCTAGTAGAGTGGCTTGGACCCATTTTAGATCAGAACAGGACACCTTGAGCGTGCGCTTTTCTATGTGTTGTTTCTCTTTTTTCTTCTTTTTTTCTAATTAAAAAGACACGATATGTTTGACACTTTTCCCAAGAACACAAAACACCTTGAGAAAACAAAAACAAAACAAAAACAACCTTAAAAAACAAAGACTATGGCACATGTCCTGGCTTGGGGGCAGGGGGTCTTGCTTTATTTTTGTAGTGTTTCACACTTTTCCCAAAAACACAAAAACGTCGAGAAAACCAAAACAAGACTAGGTCACATGTCCTGGCTTGGGGGGTGTAGTCTTGTTTTTTGGTGTTCTCGAGGTTTTTTGCATTTCTTTGGAACAGTGCGAAAAACCTCGAGAAAACCAACAACAACCAGGACTCTGTCAGCTGTCCTGACTTGAGGGGACATAATACGTTTTTGCTTGGTTGTCTCGAGTTGTTTTTTGTACTTTAGCGTTTCCGGCCTGTGTGCAAGAGCTTCTGTGATCAAGTGCGCTGGTGTAGTTCACATCCAAGCCCTAGTACAGTGAGCTAGAGATGGTTTCCTCTTGTTGGACTTGTTCCTTATTACATTATTCTTAATTTTGATTAGAATTATACAAGCAGAACTTGACAAATATATCAAGTAGAGAAGAAATTAGAGATCCTAAAATTGTTAAGCTGCTCAAATGCCTACTGATCTGCAAAGACAATTCTATTGGACAGGAAATCCTGCGTAGCATCAAATTTGAAATAGAAAAACCATTATTTAAGTTCTACTTTAAACCAAAACTTAGGTTGGGATTCTTTCATTATTAAATTCTATTTAATGTGAGATAGGAATTAAGTAACACTTATAGATATATTGAGTAGAATTCGGAAGGAAAGAACTTAGAGGTTCCGAACATGTTTGATACATGTTGTTTAGATGCTTACTTATTTCTAAGGACAATTCTATTGGACAAGAAATTCCCGTGTAACATTAATATTGAGGTATTTGTTTCATAATTGAAAATATAATTGAAATTATACAATTTGATTGGAGTCTGTCCTTAGTAGTTTCTAGTTAATTTCAGTTAGACATTGGGAAGAATTTGGTAAACATAATAAGTAGATTTCAGAAGGAGAGAGTTCAGGGGTCTTTTTTTGTGTGTTTACTAGCCCAGAACTACCATGGTCAGAAAACACCGTAAAACACAGTGCTTTGTAGCGGTTTTTCACATCTCCACCAACGACCGCTCTCTAATATTCAGATTGATTTTGAATAGGATTTCAATAGGACTCAAAAGGAAATACTTGATCAGAATCCTACTGCGGATTACATCTTACATGTAGAATTTAGATGTAAATCCTTTCCCAATAGAACACTGCAACTAAATTAGAGCTAAACATAAACCTGATAAGGAATGAGTCCAATCACAACTTCTGTTTCATCATAGAATCTGAATTAGAATAAGTCTATTTTCACTGATAGTTTACACAGTATGTTCTTTCCAACCAAATTTCTTTACAATTCAGCTGACATTCAATCACACATTATGCAAACATTCTTCAACTCGAGTTTCCACACAAAAAATGAAAAAGCGCACGCTCTCAGCGTCCCGCTCTCTTTTAGATTGAGTACTTTTTATGGGCCAATTTACTCAGGAAGTGGAAGTTCACTGGGGGCTTCACCTTCTTCTCTGGGGGTTGCAGTATACGGCGTTGACCCATGGGCATATGTAGATTTGGAGCCCCCAAACTCAGGCGGTGCTCCTTTTGGTTTCCACTTAAAACAAGGAGAAAACCGTACCCTCAAACACATTCACACAAAAGGAAGCTATTGAGACATACGGAGGTGCGGCGCTCGGCCAATGCCACGTCTTCCAACCAAAGGCCAAAATGAACGAGAGATGAGTGAAGATCTCCAGCGGTGGCAATCCAACCAACCAACCAACCAACCAACCAACCAACCAACCAACCAACCAACCAACCAACCAACCAACCAACCAACCAACCAACCAACCAACCAACCAACCAACCAACCAACCAACCAACCAACCAACCAACCAACCAACCAACCAACCAACCAACCAACCAACCAACCAACCAACCAACCAACCAACCAACCAACCAACCAACCAACCACCTCAATCAAGCATCTCAATCAAGCATCTTCTGGGTAGGCTACTCTTGAAAACAGGTACCGTTGGGATAGGTTTCGAAGGTCGAAGAGGCAAAAAAGGGCTCCTGAACTTGAGACACTCTCAAATTCCTAAGCCTTCGAAGGAACAAGCAAAATCAGGAACATCTCCAGGAATATCTCGCTCGGAACATCTTGCCACACCTCCACAACAGCATATCTCCCCAACATGTTTCTTGCAACTTCTATGTACCCATGGTCTGTGAATCTGTGAAGGTCCATCCCTCGATGCAAACAAGGGTTCTGGAGCCGATATGCTTGGGGGCTTCCTTTGCGCTACGTGCTAGGACTTGCGAGAATCTTTGCGGACGGCAGACCTTCACCTAGATATTTTTTGGCAACTACTCCCAATGGGTCACTGACATTCAGGAACCCGGAAGACACTCACTGTGATTTCCCCAACTCAAGAGTTGATCGAGTTGCTGCTGGTTTCCATATTGAACCAATCGCCACTTTTGGAGATTCTGACCTCACTCAGGGGTTTTTCTGACCATCGAGGCCGAGTCAGGCCACCCCCTTGGTTGCTGGAAGGACCCCTCTGCAAAAAGTTTATAACTTCTTGCGGGTTTAATGGAAAGATGTCTAAAGAACCTTACTAAAGATTAATTGGATCTGGCGGGGTTTAATGGATTCTTAGATTTCAACCAAAAAGGTTAAAGTCTAAAGGTCCAGCCCAATAGCACTCAAGACCCTTCCTGGCACACGCCATTTGGTCAGACTCCGATCGCCTGGTTGTGCGACACGGGGCTTCCATCCACCTGGCCAGGGCAGTGAGTGTGCCAGTGCACGCAGTGGATCCATTTACCTGTATAGGTAGCCACCAAAGCCCACCCTTTGAACAACAAAAGGAAAAAAGTAACCAACAAAACCCACCCTTTCAACACCCAAAGGAAACAGGTAACCAACCAAACAACCCTTTGAACACCAAAGGAAAAAGGTAACCAACAAAACCCACCCTTTCAACACCAAAAGGAAAAAAGTAACCAACAAAACCCACCCTTTCAACACCAAAAGGAAACAGGTAACCAACCAAACAACCCTTTGAACACCAAAGGGAAAAGGTAACCAACAAAACCCACCCTTTAAACACCAAAAGGAAAAAGTAAGCAACAAAACCCACCCTTTCAACACCAAAAGGAAACAGGTAACCAACCAAACAACCCTTTCAACACCAAAGGGAAAAGGTAACCAACAAAACCCACCCTTTAAACACCAAAAGGAAAAAAGTAACCAACAAAACCCACCCTTTCAACACCAAAAGGAAACAGGTAACCAACCAAACAACCCTTTGAACACCAAAGGGAAAAGGTAACCAACAAAACCCACCCTTTAAACACCAAAAGGAAAAAGTAAGCAACAAAACCCACCCTTTCAACACCAAAAGGAAACAGGTAACCAACCAAACCAACCCTTTCAACACCAAAGGGAAAAGGTAACCAACAAAACCCACCCTTTAAACACCAAAAGGACAAAAGTAACCAACAAAACCTACCCTTTCAACACCAAAAGGAAACAGGTAACCAACCAAACAACCCTTTGAACACCAAAGGGAAAAGGTAACCAACAAAACCCACTCTTTAAACACCAAAAGGAAACAGGTAACCAACCAAACCACCCTTTCAACACCAAAAGGAAACAGGTAACCACCAAAGCCCACCCTTTAAACACCAAAAGGAACAAGGTAACCAACAAAACCAACCCTGTAAACACCAAAAGGACAAAAGGTAACCAACAAAACCCACCCTTTAAACACCAAAAGGACAAAAGTAACCAACAAAACCTACCCTTTCAACACCAAAAGGAAACAGGTAACCAACCAAACAACCCTTTGAACACCAAAGGGAAAAGGTAACCAACAAAACCCACCCTTTAAACAAAGAAAGGAAACAGGTAACCAACAAAACCCACCCTTTAAACACCAAAAGGAAAAAGGAAACCACCAAAGCCCACCCTTTAAACACCAAAAGGACAAAAGGTAACCAACAAAACCCACCCTGTAAACACCAAAAGGAACAAGGTAACCAACAAAACCCACCCTTTAAACACCAAAAGGAAAAGGGAACCAACAAAACCCACCCTTTAAACACCAAAAGGAAAAGGGAACCAACAACACCCACCCTTTAAACACCAAAAGGAAACAGGTAACCAACCAAACAACCCTTTGAACACCAAAGGGAAGGTAACCAACAAAACCCACCCTTTAAACAAAGAAAGGAACCAGGTAACCAACAAAACCCACCCTTTAAACACCAAAAGGAAAAAGGAAACCACCAAAGCCCAGCCTGTAAACACCAAAAGGACAAAAGGTAACCAACAAAACCCACCCTTTCAACACCAAAAGGAAACAGGTAACCAACCAAACAACCCTTTGAACACCAAAGGGAAACCGGTAACCAACCAAACCACCCTTTAAACACCAAAAGGACATAGGTAATTAACCAACAAAACCACCCTTCAAACACCAAAAGGAAACAGGTAACCAACAAAACCCACCCTTTAAACACCAAAAGGAAACCGGTAACCAACCAAACCACCCTTTACACACCAAAAGGATATAGGTAATTAACCAACAAAACCACCCTTCAATCACCAAAAGGATATAGGTAACCAACAAAACCACCCTTTAAACACCAAAAGGAGAAAGGTAACCAACAAAACCATGCTTTAAACACCAAAAGGATATAGGTAACCAACAAAACCACCCTTTAAACACCAAAAGGATATAGGTAATTAACCAACAAACCACCCTTTAAACACCAAAAGGAAACAGGTAACCAACCGAACCACCCTTTGAACACAAAGAACATAGCTGCTTACCCGCAAGGGCTTGCCTGGGAATCACTGGAGCTGCTCTCTTGTGGGGCTGTCTCCAACAGAACCGCCAAAATGGGTGGAACCGATTGGCCCGACCACTGAAACCACTCAAACAGGGTCTCAATCTAGCAAAAGCCGCACCCAAAAGGGAGCTTGCTGAGTATACGGCAATTCGCTGAGAATCCGCTCACTGACATTGGAAACTGACAGAAGATCTGCTTTTAACAACATGATTCTTCCAAGGATCTCCAGGCAACTTCCACGTTGCTGGGTGAGACGCTTATTCCCCTCCTTTTTCCAATGGTTTGGTGAGACTCAACCCCATCCCCTCTTCTACAGTATGGCGAAGATTGGCCGTTGCGCGCATGGCTTCAGTAACGGCTGGGAGCTGGCTTGACAGCGAGGGTCTGGTTTCAGCATACCCCATGCAGGCTTGGTTTAAAGGGAACCTACAAGGAAGACGGCCTGTTTTTTTTTGGGGGGGGTTCGAAATGTCTATGCCTATTTCGACACGTGCCCTGCTGACATTTGTTAGACCACCCCTAAGCTAGTCGGTTGTCGGTGATGGCTCGAGCCCAAACCTCATTTGTTGGATACCTTCTCTAGGGAGGCTTTGGCATACCCCTTGTCGACATTGACCACTGAACATCAACGAACTGCATGCTCCTCTCAATTCGCATCTTCCGGACAAATGGGGAATGCCTGTCAATTCCGGCAGAATTTTTAACGGGTGAGATAGTTGGTGGTGTTTTCTACATGAACAACTCAGTTCGCATAGTTCTCCTCCCGAACACATCCGACATCCATTCCCAGGAGCGATTTTTACATGGAGCCGAATTCCGTGGGTCCGCCAAAGTTGGAGTCTCCTCCAAGCGCGAGGTGTGCGTTCCACAGGCGACCTTTCGCCGAAAAATAGGCCCGGGTGTCCCTCGATGCATACCACCCATCTAAACCAGCGGAACCCATCCATTTGAAACCAAACCAACCGAAAAAGGACAAAACAAAAAACATGCGCAGGCCGCCAGGAGGCGACCACTCCGGCCGGAATGCAACACCTGCGGAAGATGCTCCGGGCAGGGCATCTTTTTGGGGGGGTCGTCTCACTTCCTGAGTCGAGTAGCCGGAACAAAGTCCAGGAACTTGCTTTTTTGCACCGGAAATGGTCCAGACCCAAAAAGTGACTACAGTCCAGGAACTCAGGAAGTGAGGGTAGGTGTTTGTTGGTTCCCCTCTTTTGGGGTTCGACTGTCATATTTAACTTGAAGGAGGAAAGATTTCGTCACTGTTGTCTGGGGCAATGAAAATAGCAAAACTCACCCACCGTCAACGTGTGAGGGAGTGGCCATTGCAGCCTTAAATTGTGGCTCCATGATCATTCAGGAAAGACTACCCAATACTGATGGTGTCTCTGCGTCACTCATCACATGTGTGTGTGTGACTTGCAACCGATGTGACACCTCAACAGTCCTTAAACAAAGTAGCTTTGGTCGGACAAAGTTCCACGCATCCGGTCTGAAGACATCATCTCCGAAACAATCGCTACTCTACTCCCTACCCTTCCTCCCACCCACCTAGCATTTGTGGGGTACCTTGAAGACCATGTTCCTCTGGCAGGGCACCTCTGTCAGGTGCCACGGCAACCGTGGAACGGTGGGAGGGCAAGTCGATCTCAATTTACATGCGACAATCAAAGTCTTTGCTTCAAGGTCCCAGTTTCCGGAACTGGCAGCTGCACCCATCTATGGTTAGGACAGTTCCTTACTAACTTTCATCTACCTGGGTTTTGAGCAACTGGCTCACCTGAAATGAGGGACCCTAGAAAAGAAACCTTCATGGGTGAAAACATACGAACACCTCTGCGAGTTCACTTGCCCAACATGTTTAGAAGCTTCTTCTAGATCGAACAAGAAAACCACCTGGTCCCTTTTGATGTTCTTGCTCCTTACTTTTCAAAGCAGCGCATAGAAATAAACTGAGGAATGACCTTTTGCTGGCTAAAAGGAAACATGAAGGATACGCAAAAGGGCAACAGGGTGAGTTGGATCTGGCAATGAAAATGATCCGTTAAAGTAAGCCTCTAGTTTTGGCTTGGGTCACGTGTGTTTGTTTGAGGGCCCCCATTCTTGGGATTGGTTCAATCAGCAACCGGAAGCAACACAATTTAATCGGAGGCAACCACCTCAATGACAAACACGGACTGATCCCTTGCTTTGAAATGCCACTTTTTCATATGACTCTGCCCATTCCCAGCCAGGGTTTTCCATTTCTTGACTAGCCGGTAGACTTAAACCCAGGGCTGGTTGATCTCCCCAAAAGGGACACCCATGGGGTTGAAGTCAACAGCATAGCCAAAACATGGGCCGTTCCCGGCCTCCACACCTTTGCCACCTGGCGATGCGACAGCGCGCGTTGAATCAATCTCGGCTTGCCGCCTTGCCAACATGAAGCTGCAAAAGGAACTTTGGTTTGCAAGTTGACTGATGCCTACTGATGCGTGAATTCCAAGGAGCTTCGGTTTGCACCTGACTCTCTTGCAATTTAGCAGATACTCTCAAACAAAACAGAACAATCTTAGAGGAGCCTACAGCTTCAAATGACTGGAACGAAAATGGGTGTTTTGGTCATTGTATTACTTTTGTCTGTTTCGTACTACTTTTGCCGCAAAACGACTAGATCGCCTTGACATTGGAGTTGTTGGGTGTTTCCTAGTTGCGCCCTTCAACCCCAGCTGTGTGGGAGTGGTGCGCAATCGGGGCAACTTTGATCTAAACATGTCGCAAAAACCCGAAACACGATGCACAACGGCCGCAAACACCCGCGAACGAGCGCAAATCTCTAAAAGTGGGTGGATTGGGTCTTTTGGCATGCGCCGTCCCCGCACAAAACATGCCCTGATTTAGGAGCGATGTAGGGTCATATGTGTAAAGGGATATGCCAAGCACTGCAAAGGGACAATCTGGCTTTGATGTCTGAATTTGCCGGCTCACATGTGCTCCCAAACACCTTGAGCCTGCAGCCCCTCAAACGCCGGCATTCGTACCACCCCGCCCCCCCCCCCTCACCCCCCTGCGCACCCAGCCTGTCACAATCCTCTCACCACGCACCCACCTACCCACCCACGCGCCACGAATGTGGACCTAAACGAGCAAACCCCCAGAAACGTTGCATGACATCCGCGGACGCAATTGAATGGGATTCCCTAAGCCACCAGTCTTATACTTCTGCAAATGGACAAAGTCCTGCACCAGCGGGTAGGTGGTTTACCCCAGAATTAATTGGCTTGCATCCATCCCAACCGGTGTCTTCAGCGGACTTTGTCCAGTCGGGAATTGCAAAAAAAAGGTGTTTCCTGGAGTGTTCCCCCATGTCCTTGCGGCACTCCTGTAGCTGAGCGTTCCTTGGCGCCCCAAGCACCAGCTAGATGGTGCCCAACAACTCCCAAACCAACTGCCTGCCACGACGGAGATGTCGCAGAGGTGATCCGGGATACCGAGGCCCATGAGCCGGATGCGGTTGGTCTCCTGCGGGGAAAAAAAATCAGCGAGACCTCCCGGCTGGCTTTGGGTGCCTGGCTTCGGGGGGTTATGGGTGTAAATATATATATATATATATACATTTATACACATATTATCATATATGTAGATGGGGTATGTACGGGGAATGGGGTGTGTACGGAACATATACGCTTGTGTCGTTGTCTGTATATATATATATATATGCACGCACATACAAACAAGGGTATGTATATATATATATATATATATGTATATACATAAGTGGGGTGCACATATATACATATATGATATCGGGTTAATATATTATATTAGGGGTGTATAAAATGGGACAATCTGTGCGCACATAAGGGCACGTGCGCTATGGCAAAACTCCTGTGGGTCATGGTCATAGGTGTGTCTTGTTGGATCCAGAAAAGGAAAGCACACCCAAATTGTCCCTGCAATATGGCGTTCTAAAAAGCGGGTTCCTATTTGTTGGAACCCATTGAACAGGTAATCCAACACTTGACACCGGACAACCTGTTTGGTTCCATCCATTTTGAGGCGCACACACACACACACTTGTCCAAGTGCTTTTCTTCATCCGGAGATCATCTACCTCAGCTTTTGCATCGTTTTTGAGCCATAGACAATTAATTAGGGCTCATCGATGTTTTTTTTACGCGACAATACAGTTTTCCATGTGCTGGATCCCAACTGGACCATAGACTGATATTTGGGTACCAAGAACCGTCACCATCTTGGTGCTCGGTGCAGAATCAAGAGGGTTTTGTTGGAATGGGGATCTTCCAGGCACTACAAGGGATCCTTTCCCTGACAACACCCCTCCAAACTCACTTGGGAACCGAAAACGAGATCTTTACCACCAAAGTGGGGGTCTGGGCCTGCTGTCATACTGTGGACGAACTCCACCAAGAAGCCCTGAAATCATAAAACTGCCCTGCGTTTTCACCAAATGGTGTCAACTCCATGGCGTCATTTCGTGGCGGAAATGGCGTTCGATTCTTGTGCCTGTCCTCGGAGCCCACGGTGATGGGAGGGCCCTCCGGCAGGAAGTACAGCAACCTGCCGCTCGGTGGATGGAGATGCGTCCTGTTGGTTTACCTAAACACGCAAACAAAAACTGGTATCCCAGAAAACAAAGACAAACCCAGATTGAGAAACTGAGAACTGGGCTGAACTATGAAAAAACAGTATGACACCTATGTACCCGTATACCCAAGTATCGGTTGGGCTATTGTTTTCCCAGCATGGGTTTACAATGTGTTGGGGGCTTGTACAAGAGGCATCGTTGACGCGGCCACGAGTAAAACGCATAGGAACAAGAAGCTTGCGAGCCAAAGACAGGGCGTGCTACAGCGGAGCTGGCTGGATTCGGCAAGTATTAGTATCGGTTGGAGATCGACCGAGTATCCGAGTATCGGTTTGAGTATCTCTTCGGGGCCTGTAAGTTTCCCCTCCGGAACCTGGGTCTAGCAATAATTGTCTGATATAGCTTCTTCTCAAAACAGCGTGCAATGTGAACCAATTTTTGCTGGACAGAAAAACCGTATTAAAGCTCTTATCCCAAGTTGTGTTCATTGCAAATCCAAGCGGCGGTCTTCATAAGCATGAGGTCCCCCAATAGCATGCTCCTTTCAGTGTATGAGGTCTCATGTGTATGCACCGCTGCAAATGTTCTGCTAACAAATTCCCTCGGCAAAATTGCTGAGATCTGCAGCAAAAATAATATGCAAAATACAGAAATGGGCCATCCTGCTCCAAGCAGTTTGGGGGCATCTGCGAGCTGACCGAGACTTGCGCGGGACTTGCGCGAAAACTTGTTAATCTTTGGGCCATGGTGGTGATGATGATGCTGATGAATCATCACTGCGTCACTTGCGCTTCACTTGAGCTTTACTTGCGCAGCCCTATGTTTGACTTGCGCGGCCGCTCCTGCAAAACACTCCGGCCCTAGCTGATTTGATACGTTCAAAACAACTGGGACCATGCCTTACATTGACACATACAACGGGTTCTCTTTTTCGGCTCATTTGGCTTCTGGGCGTATCCTTTTTTTCTCAGCATTGGTTCACAATGGTTTGGGCCGGCAACAAACCATTGTCCCTTGTGCCAAATTGAAGCCAACATAGCCAACCGACTCACTAGCAAAAACAGATATCATCTTCAACTAAAGGGTAAAGCAAAGTCAGGCGCAAGGCGCTTGCACAAAAACGACACAAGCCCCATGCAGGGCCAGCTACGTTTTTCAGAGTGCAAAAGGCGGGTCTAGGTGACACCTCCCGTTTGTTTTGGGAAGCCTCTGCAATAGATGAGAGTACAGATTGATCGTGCGTCTAAAGCATGCGCACGGAAAATCAGCTTTAGAGGCTCCCCTTGAGATTGTGGTATGCTTAAAACTCCGAATCTGGGCCATGGTCATGGCTCACAGAGATTCCAGGGCCTTCTTTCTACCATCCCAAGGAGTCCATGGTGTTTTAACCATGGCAATATGGGAGTGTACTTTTTGTGGAGCCTTTAAACGGGATTCCTGCCATGGTTGCGGATGCCCTCATTTGTAACATCCATATCGGCGTCGAGGAGGTCACCAGGGGCTGGTTAAAAGACTATGTAGACTATGAACCATTCGCTCGCCCGGCTCAAATCAACTGCTTTGCTCTTCAAGCTGCTCTGCGTACTTTACCCACCAATTTACATGGAACCTGACAGGGCGTCCCCAAAAAAAGGAAGATAGTCATCCAGGACCCCCAAGACATCAGGTTTCTTCTGTGAATTGGATCTCCGGAAGGTAATGAACACTTTTGGTTGCCTATGGGGATTCGAACTGGCTTGCATTGCCATATCCACTCCACTGCGCCTTGCCCCCCACCCCCGACATACACCTGAAAGACCGAAGCCCTTTGACTTTACAGTCCCAAAATGCTTCAGGATTATGTGGGTGTGTGAAACATTTGGGGACGCAAAACCGACATCGCGAAACGGTTTCCTTTTTGTTCCCCTTTTTTCAAAAACAATCCGAAGGGGCACTCTCGAAACCCAAAAACAGAGACATGTAGGCAGTTTTATTACTTTGCGACTAGGTAGACAAGGAACGGCCTACGGCCATGTCTCTAAAAAACAACATCTAATTCTCTCTTTCTCTCTCTCTCTCTCTCTTCGCCTACCAGCCAAGGAGATGTCATCCGAGATGTTCAGCAGGTACGGCCTGTCAGCGGAGCTCCCGAAAGGATTGTGCGCCCCCGAGAGAAGTAGAGCCCGTCCTATGAAATTGGGGGGGTGTCACTCGCAAAAGTGACCTAAATCCCCGCTGCAAGGGGACACACCCCTATTAATCCAAAACGTGTTTTAAAATCTGGGGTAAGCAAAGCTGCGAATGGACAGATTCTTGCACCAGTTGGTAGGTGGTTTCTGGTGTATTCAACTCGGACTCCAGACTATTGCAGGTGAACCAAACCGCATCCAACCCCAACTTGCAGAAAACCACAGAAGTAATTTACAGGGTTTCTGGATGAATTACATCATTCGCCAAGTGAAAATATGCGTTTTGCCCTGGGAAACATGCGCACCTATTTATATTTGATAAAAGTAGACTCTCTCCAAGCAAACAAGTGGAAAGAAGGGCATCTCTGGAGGTCTGGGAAAAGAACTGCGAAGCTTTGAACGGCTGTCCAGAGATTTACAACATCCTCAAGATGGAAAACGCGCTCCTCGTGGTTTCCGTTTGACAACGTTGAAAAGCAAACGGGTCGGTTTTGGCTCCATACAGGTGTGTCTTTTTACGGTTGGACCCCCTCAAGTGGGTTTTTGTCCCGATGGTTTCCCTTTGAAAACCATCCAACAAGGGGTACCGAGCTACAACAAAAAAGGACGAGCCACCCATACGCTGAGGGCTCTGCGAATTGGCGTTGACCGTGTGCTCTGAGTGACCTTGGACCGACTCTACATCCTGCAATTGTGACCCCCTTGGAATTGACAGAGAACGCAAAACTCAACGGATCTGAGAGGAATCTCCGCTTGGTCCAATTTGGGCATGTGTCAAAATAGGGGGACCCACCAAACTGATGCAACCGTTTTCATGTTGGTGTCCCTTTCAACCAACCCAAAAAGGTACCCTTAAAAACAATGAAACAAGCAAGCAAGCAAGCAAGCAAGCAAGCAAGCAAGCAAGCAAGCAAGCAAGCAAGCAAGCAAGCAAGCAAGCAAGCAAGCAAGCAAGCAAGCAAGCAAGCAAGCAAGCAAGCAAGCAAGCAAGCAAGCAAGCAAGCAAGCAAGCAAGCAAGCAAGAAAGCACACAAACACCAACAAACAACCACACACAAACAAGCAAACAAACAAACAAACAAACAAACAAATAAACAAACAAACAGACAGACACACAAACAGACAGACAGACAAACAAACAAACAAGCAAGCAAGCAAGCAAGCACGCAGGCAGGCAGGCAGGCAGGCAAGCAAGCAAGCAAGCAGGCAGGCAGGCAGGCAGGCAGGCAAGCAAGCAAGCAAGCAAGCAGCAAATAAACACCCACGCAGACACCAATTTGAATGGACTCCAATGCGTTGTCCGTATTCATGGGCAGCAACCCCCATGGACTTGTCCGTACCACTAGTCACTAGCTTTCACAGTATCGCTTTCCTCTCCAAGCACAGGGTTTCTTACATCATCCACCATCCCCCCGCCGTGGTTTCCTTTTGGTCTGGCGGAAAAGCCCGACGCAAGCGGCCAAGTGGTGTCTAAATCGAGCGACCTCTTGGGGCGTTGAGCCGGATCTTGATTAAAAATCGAGACCCATCCCCCGTTTTTCCTGAGCAAAGGGATGTCGCGTGCATTTCGAACACATACCCGGGGGTTTTAAAAAGACACCCAGGATCTTCGAACACCCGCGGTGATCCAGCCCCCGGAACAGAGATTTGTCCGGCATCTGAAATTTCGTTTCCTCTGAGAAACTCGCCCATGTCTGAAAAAGGAGTTCCCATTTCACACCCCAAGTCTGCCAGCAGCGCCCGAAACTCATTGCCTTTTGGTTGCAACAAGCGTATCCTGGCCAGTATGCAAAAAAAACACGAAAACCAAGCAGAAGGATATGACTTGACTGCCGAGAAGGTATCCTGGTTTTTATATATATATATATATTCCTATAATTTACATGAAACCAAGTAGAAGGATAACTTTCTGCCCCAAAAAACGGGGAGTTTCCCGCGCTGCTCTACGGTTAGCCCGCACACCAACCCTCGCGAGCTCCGGGCTGTCAGCCCCCAGCATGCCACCGATGTTGAACGGAAGGCTCAGCCCGGCCAGCGCCTGAACGCCGCATGTCAACTAGGTCCTGCAGTAGAGAGGTTAGAAGGCCACATTAAAAGGACACCACCAGTGTTGGATGGCGTGTTTCGGGGTCATTCAATTGTCTCATTCCCTGCACCTCTCGCACCACTACATCCTCCAGTGGAGAGGTTAGAATAAGTCGGTACCAACTTTTTGTTCCCTTTGTTTTTTTCTGTTTTGTCTATTTTAGTAGGGGAACCCTCCCCCCCAAAAAAAGAGAAGGGCACTACTGGGGGGACATAGTTAAAACCTCCGTGACGGGTAGGCTGGGAACAACCCAAAATCTGTGATGGCAGGCGAAACACCTCCCGTGGTAGGCTGAAAGAACAACCCGAAAGCTGTGATAACGAAGAAAAGGGATGCCAGATCTGCAACCAGGTGATTTGGACAGTGAAAAGGTATATTGATAAAGAAGATCGTTATCTTCAATCAGGTGATTGGACAATGAAAACAAATTATTATAAAGAAGATTGTTATCTTCAATCAGGTGATTGGACAATGAAAATGACTTTTTTTGACCTGGTGGATGAAAGTGCCCAATATTCCAGGCAGTGTTCCTACGCGGGCCAAGTGTCGATCAAACCCTGCAGTTCAAACCACCTTTAAACAATTGGTTGGGTTCATATAAACACCATGCTTTACCGTTCAGGATTGTGATCGTCCAAATTGTCCCCTTGGGGCAACTGCTTTATTTGGGGGGGCTTTGGGAATCCTAGACTACCCATATGGGAGTAAACCTGGCCCTGGGCATTCTTTTTTTAAGGGGGCGTTCGAAACCCCTAGGGTGCCCATATTGGATCCCAAGTGGCCATGGGGCCACAACCTATGGCTCCATTTTGAGGTGGGTTCCATTTTGGGGTGGGAGAACATCCATTTGCAACCAATTTTGATGTTCACCAGACGTTTCCTGGGACCCACAGCCAAGGATTTTTTTACCGCTATCTTGAATCCTGAGCTTTCGGCCTCTCAGCTGCCAAAAGCATCGGATTCCGTGCCTCGCAGCGCAGGCGCGAGGCCTCCTGCTGCGCCAGCTGCGCCTGCCATCGACTGGCGACTGGCGACTGCGAAGCCCGATCCATGGATGGACGTGGGGGAAGCAACCAATTGAGTCAAAAATCAAAGCCTGGTACTGTTGACCCTATATTTTCATCAATCAACAAGCAAGTTGATGATTTGTTTGGGGGGTTGTTTTTGGCCCCTCCAAAAGTGGTCTGAATGCAAAAGAAACCTAAAGTTCACTCCCATTTCCATGAACCGAATCCGGGGTCAAAAATCCTCGGGGCGTACTAAAACCAATAGAATGAACCCAGGCTTTGGTCCACTTCAAGGAAACCACCAGGTCACCAGTTGGCTGGTTTGTGGGTCATGAGCCATTTCTCGCTTCCTGCCTATCGCACCAGCAAGCTTTGATTGTGGCTTGGTTGCAAACCGGTCTGATGACTTCAGCCCGACAATCCGCGGGTCAGACCCAGGTCAACACCCAAACCGGTCTCGGAGCGGACCCCCATTTTCCAAGTAAAACGCACCGGCAAACGGGAATCTGTTTGACGCCAGCACTTGAGGACAACACAAAGAAAAGGGGATTTGCTGGGTGGCGCTAAACTGGGAGCGGCTCATTCCGACTCCTTTCCTGCCCAAAGCGGTTGCGCAATTCGAAGATTGCAATGGTCAAGTTGGTCATTTCAGTATGTGACGTAGAAGTGATTGCACATAGTTGTGGATATCATTTACCCTTCAACAATGGAAGCTGACAGAAAGGGAATGCTTTCCTTTTTTGGGGACCTCCTTGTCGGAAAGAGGGTACCTGAGGGGGCGGCTATGCGCACCAATGTGATATGAGCCATATTTCCCAAGGATCGCATCCTGGAGTGTGTCTGCCGCTCAAATGTGGGTCCTGTCTGTGGGCTGCAGGGCGTGGGCTAAGAGATTGGCATAGTCCGACTGTGTGGTGGAAAAAGAAAGGACGGGATGCGGAAAAAGAAAGTATTTGGGCTGCCTCAAACCTACGCGCTCTTTTGGGCTTTTGGGCGGCTTCAAAGGCAAGCAAGCATGAGAATATTTGGAGGTCCACCGCGTTTTGAAACGTTCATATTGAGTTGGGCCCCACACCTACTGACTTTTAGACGTAAAAAAGCTACCTCTAGGCCTCCTTCCCAGTAAACGGATAGAAGAGATGCCATTCAAACATGCGCAATCCCGTAAAGAGTCTTGGGTTCTCATTTGGGTGCCTCTTTCAAGGGCGCCGTGCTGTGTTGAGGGTGCCCTTGTACAGGCTGGTTTGTCAGGCGAGAACTCGGTGAGGGTCACCTTGTTGGTTGGTTTCAATGAGAAGCCCCAAGCTTGGTTGCTGTTGACCCCCTGCAAAAAGTTGTAAACTTTTGGGGGGTTTAGGGAAAAACCCTCGATTTGCAAAAAAGTTAAAGTCTAAAGATCCAACCCAGTAGCAGTCAAGGAAGATATGGCCGGTATTCCTTCAACCCTTGCCTGGGACCACATTGTCTTGTCGACGCGAGTCTGGATGCTCAGCACCTTGGAGCAAGCGCACACTTGGCGGCCCCATGGTTGAGCCAAAGGAGCTGGAATTCAAAGGTTACCCTTTTTGGGGCCTCGACCAAATATGGACCAAGTCAGGGAAACCGCTTTGTGTTGATTAGGAACCCTTTTTGTCAGCTGTCCAAAGGATCCGGAAATAGAATGGACCTTTTGGGACCATCTTTTGCGATTTTGGGGTAGGCTTGATGCAGGTGGGGATTTCACTCACCAACCACTTTGGAGGAGTTCCCTTAAAGAGGGGGCCCTTCCTTTTGTTGAACAATAGCCCTTTTTGTCAGCTGCCCAAAGGACCCGAAAATCAAAGGTTGACCTCTTGGGACCATAACCCGGAAGGCGAAGTTCAAATGAGATGACCGGAAGGCAATAATTTGTGCACGGCATCCACTCTGCACTGCAGCGAGGCTACGCCAATTCCACGCACCTGAAAGATCACAAGAGTCCGATCTCAAACTCGTCGCCTGAAGTGCAGCCCTGGCAGCGAAGCGCAGCCACAAAGGTGCCCGGCTGGAGCACTGGCAGTGCGCGATACGCTTTGCACACACCCACACACAGAGACCTGACGGGTCGAAGGCACACGCTCGGCCCTGTGGCACTCAGTAGATGAAGGACCTCACGGAGAGTGACAACTCATCCTCGGGAGCGCTACCCCCTCAGCCGAAGGCTGCTGAGCCAGACACGGCTTTTGGGGACCATGACTAAAACTGGACTGAAACAAAAAATGGAACCCTTTGTTGATTAGGATCAGGATGGATCAGGGTTGTGGGAAATGGAATCCACTTCTGTGATACAGCAAAAAGGGCTTCCCAAAGACAACCACCCCCCCCCCCATATAAAGGGGGAGATTCGAAGATATCACAGAAGTAGGGACAAACCGCTTGATCCCACAAGCCTGATTAGGAACCCTTTTGTGATTCGGGAGTGGGCTTGATTCAGGGTGGGGATTTATGCCCACCCACCAACCACTTTGGAGGGGTTTCCCTGAAAACAACACATTGCTGTATCTAGCCAACCTTGCATTTTGCCGCATACAATTTGAAGAGGACACTTTTTGGCTCCTTACATTGCCAAACAAGCCCACCCCAAAGGCAAACACACATACAAGTAGATGCAGAACTATCTTCAGTCAAAAGGACTATGGATTCAAGCATCATATGCGCATCTACCACTAATCTGCTCTTCCCAGAAAGTAGTTAAACTCCAGGACAGGAACTTGAGGAGTAAGTAAAGAGTCTCAGATGCCCAGTACCCTTGAGAAAAAGTGCATCCAATTGTTTGACTTCAAAGTGGAACCCCTTCCCAACCAAAAAAGTCGAACAAGGGCACTGGGCAACTGCGGAATTCCCCAGTTGGCCCATGAGGCTTGAGACTTACATTCAAGAAGCCCTGCGCAGTTGTCTGGCAGCAGGCGCTCACGGAGGTGAGGGGCTTCTTCCTTATCTTCTTTCCATATTTCATATCTTTTTGACTTGGATACGGACCGGCGCATCCCACATATATATATATATGTATATATATATATAGTGTTTCCCCGTGCGTCCCTGTGTTTCTAAGTTTATCCCTACACTATGCGATTTTCTCTCCGGGTGTTTTGGGTGTTTACACAGACCGCGCCGTTGTTACCATGTCTTGTCATATTTCTCTTTGGTTTGCATGTTTTTCTCGCTGCTCCCCCCAATTCTTCTCGGTTTTCCCCGAGTGTTTGGGGGGTTTTGATGCAAAGCCAACGTCCAGTGCTCAAAGAAATGAGAGGATCAGCCCAGGGTCCAACTAATTAAAAGGAAACCACCAGTGTTGGATGGTGTGTTTCGGGTCATTCCAATGTCTCATTCCCTGCACCTCTCGCACCGCTACATCCTCCAGTGGAGAGGTTAGAATCAGTTGGTACCAACTTTTTTCTCTGTTTTGTCTATTTTCATAGGGGACACCTCCCAACCAAAAAAGGGGTCTGAAAGGGCACCCAGCAACCCAGCCGACGGATTTCGGCCCACACCCGGGGCCCCTTGCCGCGTGCTCCACGGCCTCGGCGCTCTGCATGTAACGCCGGGCCTGGAGCCGAGCGACGTGCACAGGAGCCGCCAACTGGCCGGGGACCCCAGGCACCCCAGGAACCCCCTCTGACCCCCCTATTGCGGACCTCTGTCCTACCATGGAAAAAAGGAGGCCCGAAAGAATCATTGGTGGGTGGTGATTGTTAAGGTTTGTTGAGGTTGTTTGGATTTTTGGAATGTCCTTCCTGGTCTGGATTGGTGGATTGGTGCATTGGTGGATTGGTGCATTGGTGGATTGGTGGATTGGTGGTTTGGTGGTTTGGTGGAGGGGTTCAGCTGCGTACTTGACCCTCCCAGCCGTTTCACAGAAGGAATCTGACGTGAAGGGGAATCGGTCCTGGTGGTTTGGTTTCCGTTTTCCCTCTTAAAGGGAACGTCAGGGTCCAAGGGTGGAAGGGTCCTGTTGACCCCAGACTGATAAAACCATTCTTTTTGATTCATAAACAGAAGCGTCCCCTTTTAGTTGGAATCCGGATCACTTTTGTGGGTGACACCGACACCCCATTGGGACTGAATCAGTGCCCTGAACACCAACAGGAAACTAAAAACAAGACGAGACCAACAAACAACTACAGCTAAAACTCAACAAACAACAGCAAAAGTCCGAAAAGCAGCCACGAAGAACCCAACAAGCATTCAACACGACACCAGCACGTAAACAGCAAGATTCCAGCAGCACTGAAAATTATAAAGGTGTGTTTGTGTGTGTGTGTGCGCGCGCAGCTTCACCTGAAAACTGGTCCCCGAAGAAGCAACGCTGAAAGGATATTCAAGGACAACCAGACTACGTCCAACAGGACGCTAAACACAAGGTTTGCATTTCGCGAGCCAATTGGGCGGTCGGCTGATGGTGCACCATGCGTGAGAGCGCATGCAAACCCCGCTCAGCCGGTGGCCAGGGCAAGTTACGCAACTCTTGCTCGAGCAATGGAAGTGAACAAGGCCTGTTTCCAGAGGATTTGGATAGAAGTCCTTGGACATACGCCTGTCCACTTATATGTAGTTGGACGTGTAGCGATACAAACCTGAGGCTTCCCTATGAAAGGAAGAATTGGTCGTGGAAGAATGAACCCTAAGGTTCAACCCCCAAAGAATGCCCTTGGAACCCAATTTGGATGATGACAATCCTGAAGGATAAAGAATGGTGGTGAACTATGAACCCCCATTGCTGGAATAGTGGTTTGAACAGGAGATGAGATGGGATGGCCATGGAGAAAAGCCACATTTTATGTTCGGTCTTTGTTTTCCAATTCAAGGGAAACCCTCCCAAAAAAAAGGAACAACTGGTTGTCTTTCCATTAAAAAGGCACCCTCCGCTATGTTCTTTTTGAACGAAAACAGGACACAACGTGAGACACATGCACCACAATAATTAGTTGTTGTTTTCCATCTTTGGGGGGAGTTGTTTAAGGTGGGATCCCGCAACATGAAGAAACATCAGTTTTCCTTTTGGTTTCCCTCTAAAACCCAAAGAGGGGTACCCTCAAAAGACATCCCCTCACTTACTTCGCCACTCAAATTTGGTACCCCTCCCCAAAAAAAACAGACATCACGCCTAAAATTTGGTCCAACCGCGACAAAAGTGACTCTTCAGCTCCCAGTCACGCTTCGGGCAGGTGACTCGAGTCCCATCCCGCCTGGTGAGGGCTCTCCTTCTTGGCTTTGAGGGCCGCAGCCTTCAGCTCCTCGGCCTGAAGAGCCATGCAACACTTGGGAGCCTATCTTAGAGATGGGAGCTCCCCCGAAACTCACTTGCTCAGTTTGGACCTAGCAAAAGGTTATCTTTTATTGGGAAACCGTTTAAGGCTAGATCTTGGTTGACGTCGGAAGGGGAGCAAACATTCTCAAATGCTTGGCAGTTAAGTGGTTGGATTCCAACCACTAAACCGCAATAAACACAATGTAAAATGTTTCCCAACAACAACCATGAAAACACACCCCCACACCTCCACCCCCCCTTTCCCCCCCCGTTCATTTGAGGCCTCAATTAAAAAGGGAAACCCAACCAAAAAACACTTTCATGTTTGGGGATCTTTGCTGGTTTTGCCGTTTGGGGAACCCGCAAGGTTGATCCAACCAAAAACTCCCAGGAAACGGTTGAGTCACTTGATTGATTGGGCACATGCCTTACGCCCACAAAGGAGTTGATTCACGTGCGTTAACAAGGGTCAGTGGAACTAGGACGCGTTCTTCAAATGTCACTCTGTTCACGCCATCCAAGTGCCGAGAAGGGGTGAAACCTGTGAGTGCCAAATGGACAGTTTCCCTTGGGTGCCGGGCAAAACGCCACCCTAAAACTCACTTACCCCTAAACCAGAAATACGAGGCTCACCTTTTTGGGGTTACTAAACATGGCTGCCATGGCTGAGAAATACCGCAAGGGTCAGATTCCTCACTGTGGACAACTGATAAGATGTGAGTCCACTACTCTATTGATTTTTTCCTCTCGGCGCATTGAGTTTTGGCGGACGCTGCCACATCATGCAATGAATTAAGACCTCCACAAGTCTGGCACATAGTCCGGCCCCATCTGTGCTTCCGGATTGTCGGCAAATGGGAGATCCTGAGCCAAAGACAAAACCGATGTCCGCCAAGTTAGCTCCACCATTCTTGTGGCGCCCTCGCATCCAAGCCCAACATTTTCCTGCAATGCCTTTGTTGAAGTCGGACGGGTACTCTTTGAGCTTCGCCGTGTTGTGGTCGTTATGCTCGTCGCGTCCCACACTGACAGCTGTTGGCAGCGCACTGGTACGCATACGAGGCGACAAACCACCGTAGTATCCCTGCAGCACTGACTGCAAAGCAATGGACTGCACGAATCTGTCGCAACATTCGGGTCAACCTCAGCTTCCAAATGCTAGGCGCATCGCCCCTGCGTGGTTCATCCGGATGTTCAACAGTAGCCCGGTGGTTGCGAATGGCCAGCACGGCAAACATAGTCAGCACAAACAACAGAATCGCATTGCTAGTAAAAACTTGGCGTAGTTCTGCAATTGTCAAGCTTCTGTGCCCAAATGGCTCTCCGACTGATCGTACCGTGCAGGGTCCTCCATCACCTTCATTGCCCCTGAAACGAGACACACTCCACGTTTCGCACGGCGGTCCTGCCAGCATTCCGTGGCTACCGTTCTCGCAATTTTCAGCCACTCACGTTGGATTTTCTTGTCCATCAAATTCCGTCTCGCCTTGCTCCTGAGCAAAGATGGGAAAAAATGATTTCGCCCGGCAAGCCAGCTCGCCAAGGCCCCAAGTCTCCCCGGGGCTGTAAGCCATCTTCGCACTCAACCGCCTCATATACATTCCACTTGATCTTCGGCTGATCCATGCATTGCCCCGGCACCAACGAATTGGCACTGAATTGCCGCATGATGACGGACAACGCTTGGCCTGCATTTGGTTCACTCCATTCATCTTTCACCAATTGTAGATTCAAGCTGCGCAACGCACCACATGATGTCGCTCTGCCTGTGAGGCTCTGCGTGATCTCAATGTACGTGGCATGCTGGTGGTTTGAACGTTCTATTCCCGAGACTCCGCAATCTCCGAATGTTGATTTGGGATAGCACGAAAGACAACATCCCAATGTTCACCTGTGATACTTGGCATCAGGAGCGAGGGACCATGTAAAGTATATCTAAGCTCATCAGTGCCTTGTTTCACCACCCTGTGTTCATGGTGCGTCCTTGATTTGGTGTTGCTGCCTATAGGACTTTCATCGTTTTGCACACCTGGAGATGCAAGATTTGTTGCTCTGTCTCGCAAATTTGGCAGCACCAGTCCTGTCCCGTGCAATAGGCCCGTGGTCAGGATGGCATCATGCTCGCACTTGTGCACCTCCCCCCAAACAGCATCATCATCCTGATGGACATTGTAGTCGAAGGATTTACTGTACCGGGGTGCACATCTCCATGAAAAGTCCAATGCTGCTCTGACGATCCAAGCAACGATGCCACGGCCGTCTTCATCTTTCATGTGGTCGTCACGATATTGTCGGCGATAAGTGTCCGAAACTCCGGCGTGGTCATCTACCTTTCTCGCACGCCTCAAGGTCCAGCACATATGCGATGGGCCCACAGTGTGGCCTAGTCCGTGATGGTGCCCCAGAGGCCCTGGAGGGCGCAATGCTGTTTGTGCCTCATCCGCCCTTCTCTCAAACCACATCATGGCATGGTGGAATTGCAGCGCTCGCTCTCGTATCGAAAGGTGGCTATATCCAAAGTGTCTTATAAGCCCACATGGTTTCGTTGTGAATAATCGTGCAGCTACGTAGTCGCCATCTGAAGCAAAGCTCAGAAATGCCTAGTCGATGAATCAGCTCGATGACCCTTGTGGGAGTTGGCAGCCGTTTTGGCTGCCGTTTCACGAATCCTTGATTCGGCAGAGATCCAAGCATCTGGTCGACAATCACATCTGCTGCCAAATGTGGCCGATCATGGTGCTGCACAATCATGTACCTCCTGTTGTAAACACTTCCATCCTAGGTCTCGGCGTGGGTGTGTGAATGAGGTATCTTGCCCAGACTCTCGTCCTAAGCACTGGCCAATACCCATAGACTGCTCTGCCGAATTCTGCAACTTCATTTGGCCCGATGGTTTCGAAACTGGCATGCCCTGTTTCCCACAGGGTCCAAGGACACATCGTCGTCCTCCTCACTGTCATCGCCTCCCCAATATCTGGTCCTCAGCTGCGACTCCTGCTCCTGTCGATTCCACTTCCTACAGCACTCGAGGACTCCGCCTTGCCAGCCCATGTCCAGCTCCTCCTTGTGGGTCATCCCAGATTACTCATCCGCTGAACATGTGCCTGCTCGTACTCGTCACAAAATTGAAATGCTCAATACTCTGCGGCTTCCTGCCAGCTTGTCTCAGCATAGAAGGCGCATCATGTGGAAAAATTGAAACATAGAGCGCGCGCAAAATGCGGCTAGGAGGATCGCGATCATGGCCACGGCTGGGTTGGTGTATCCGATCGACCCATACGAACTGCATCTTCTTCCAGCTCCTCTGGGTCCTCGTCGTCGTCCAGGAGTGTCACCTTGACCGGTTGCTTGATCTCCTTCTTGCCTGCGTTGTGTGGCGACGCCTTGTCCAGCCTTCGGCGTCTCCTCTCGGTCTTCTCCATACCGCGGTCGGTTCGTATGTCTCCGGAAGCTGCGTCACCTGGTTGCCGGGTAGGCATCTTTGTCCATCTCTGCTCCATCCACCTTCGACTCCTTTTCCTGGCACTGTATGGTTAGGGCCTTCAGCTCCAACTGTGCTAGGCTTTCTTCGCCTTTTGCCTCCTCCAGCCGCTTGTGTAGCTCTGCCATGGTTTCCTTGAACTTCCTGTGCTCCGCAATCAAATGCTCCCGGATGTTCTTCTGGCAGGCCTCCCACTGGGGCTTTGTGGTTGTCCATCGTCTTCTCGATCTTGCCTACCTTCCTTTGCTGCTTGCGGACTCCGTTCAAGGCCCTCTGCATCTGCTGCTCCACGGGCTGCTCGTCCATCAGGAGCTGCTGCATCTGGGTCGGCATCTCCCCCTGATTCTCGATTGCCATCTTTCGGATCATGCCCGCTAACTTGATGACATCCTTGCTGGCCGACTTGCTCTCCTCCTTTTCGGCCTTCTTCTCTTCGGGCTTGGTCTTGCTGAGATCCACGTCCTCATAGCTCGGCAATTGCTTCTGTTCCACTTGCATGCCCTTGCCTCTTCCTTTGCCCTTTTTTACCTGCCCCCACTGTTCTCCATACCAGCCATTCGCCTTCCAGTTCCATGCCATGTATCTATGGGTGGATCGTAGTGCTTCTCGGTAGGCAGGTGCAGTGTGGTGCTGCCAGAGGTAAGCCACTGACCTGTGCAGCGCCTTAGTTGAACCTCCGCTCCTCCTCACTCTCCAGATCACGGTCGGGGTTCTAGCTTTCCTGAGCAGATCCAGAGCCCTACTGAAGCGTGTATATATATATATATGTGTGGACACTTGCGTCTCGAAGCCCTGTGAATTCGATTCTAGGCAGCGGCGTGTTCTGTCCACTCCCAGCTTTCCTTTGTCCAGTTGGTTCAGTGACCCTGGTGGAGAAAGGAGCCTCTTGGAGGGTCGCCCTGATTTTAGCCTGGGTGACCCTACATGGGTTCAAACAAATGCGTGGCTTTGGGATGCTACAGACATGACGGTCCTGTGCAAGCAGTTAGAACTCGTTTTGTAGAACCCAATAAACGGGCCTCTTCTTTGACGGCATCCCAAGCAAGAAGTCAATGAACATGGAGCCCACAAGCTAATGTTTAAACCACAGAACAAGGGCGTACATGGGCTCGATCAAATGGGTTCCTTTCGGATGCTACATGATTGTTCCTTGAAAACTCCAGGAAACAAAGGGAAGCATCCTTTTGACACAAGTGAGAGGCACCTCTCAAGGCACCTGGCAGGGAACACCGCTGTGGTTTCACGTTGACGCGAAGCTGTCCCCTTTCCGGGGCCTTCGATTCAAAACGTCTCTTCATTCAAAACGCCAGGGAATGTGCCCAACACTGATCACCTCCCAAGTAGATAAGCCCAAAAAAGCAAAATGTTGATCTACCACGCTGGTCTTCTCAACACCTCCCGAGTGGATAAGCAAAAAAAACAAACTTTTAATCTGCCACTAAACTGGTGTTCCCAAAAGTGTCAAGTCCAGGAACTCGGGAAGTGAGACCAAAGGGATGATAAATCATTGCCACCCTGAATTGCCGCCCTGAATAAGGTTCGGGTTGGGATGGTTTGAAAGAAATCCATACCTTTTGGTGTACGTTGAATGAACCTTTGGGGGGTGATCAATCTTGGGTTCGGCCACCAGTTTTGATCACGGGAAGTTTTTGTCAGGTGAAAGTCATTTTTTTTGTGGTTTCCCTAATGGTCACTCCATGTACAGGACCATTTGATCAACCCCCATTTGGGAAGACTGGCTCTCGAAGTGGAAAGCAATCGACTCAATCGGCTTGCCCAGCCTCCGATCGCATGGTCTGCAAAAGAAGGTCGTTCTCAGCCACATCCTGCGAGCCACATGTCAGTCGGCGTAAGGAAGGAATGGAGGGTCCCTTGGTACCTCATATTTCCCGTTTTGGGGTTTTAATTCTCAAATCCCCCCTTAATCAACCTAAATCTGTACTAGTACGCAGCTATCCCTGTTCTCATCTGGTCTTTCATCCTTTCAGCATAGAGATTCTTTGGGTTTGTCTCCAAAGAAAATCCCAAAAAAGAGCTTCCTCTTGGTTTCCCAAGCCCCAAAAAGGACGAGCCAACGCCAAAAAGGACGAGCTGATCTTCCCAAGTCATCGCCATCTGCCACCAATGGGCATCTTTGGTCGATGAATCGCTCTGGTTTCGGAAAGCAACGATTTTGCATTTTGCAGTTCCGTTTTGAGCGAGGCCTTTTGATCTTGGCACATGTGATTCAACCCAAACTTCCAAAGTCGAGTATAGCCCCGACACCCGCCCAAAATGCGCGGTTTCCTTCGGGCGCTTTCAAAGCCACTCAAACGAAGATACCTCAACAACGCAACACGGGGTTTGTGTTTTCGAGGCTGCCCTTGTCAGGTTGATTTTAAGGGAAACCAACGTGAACCTCTCTGGGTCCCCCGATCTTGACACATTCCCACGTCAGCCATCCGCTGTCCTGCTCGTTGCTCACGGCGTGGGTCCTGACCTGGCATGGCGACACGTCATATCCAGGGCCTTTTCCTTGGACCCAGGTACCTCCATTTGCGAATACGCCCCTTGGGAAAAAAACAACAACAACAACATGAGAAGACATGTTTTCCCGGCAGTGAAATCGACTCCCCTTCAAAACCAGGGGAAAACCAAACCATCTTCTTTTCAGCAAACGGAGGCAACTCTTCTGAAAGAGAAAAGCATGAACTAACACCCGGTTGGAACATGACGGCTGTTCCGAGACGAAAAGAAGGGACCCCCAGGTAGGAGACGCAAGGCAAGCAGGGGTTCAATGGGTGTGCCAGGTGTCCCTTAGGCCGCTCAGGGCCCCTAATATGTGCGCAGTATCGCTCGGGCGGGCGAGCCCTGTATTTGTTCGGTGCCGCTTTTGAACCAAAAAGGTCTTGTGCTTCAGAGCCGGTGCTTTGCCACATGGAGATGCCATAGATCAATGAACTACATGATTTGGTCAAACCGTGAGGTTGCAACAGAGCCAGAAGTGAGAGAGTTCCGATGCTATGATCATTCCGAAGTTCCTGCATGATAGTCTCCCGAATGTGATTTCTAGAAGCTCTGATTGAAAGGCCTTCATCGAACCTTTCTGGTGGACAGGGGAACAGGATGCTTCTCTTTCCGCTAAACCTCCAGTGATCATGGAGGAAAAAGGGGCACCTTTTGTTGATACTTTATTTTGAAGGGACCCCCCTCCAGCAGAAATAACCACACCACACACACCAGTTCAGCTGAGAGGAACCACGGAAATGTCACCTGGCGGTCTGGATTACAATTCGGGTTGATCAAAAGGCCCTTTACATGGGATGCCCATTGGCACATTAAAAAAAAAAAAAAACTATATATATATATAGATTTCCCACATGGGAAAAGCTACACCCATGGTCATTAGGGCCGAACGAAATATTCGTCTCAACTTGCGCAGCGCCTTCTTGACTGAGCTGGCAAAGCGCAGGGTGCCCAACGTCTCCTGATGTGATTCGCATGGCTCGGAAAACTGGGGGTTGGCCTGCAAAAGCAATGAACACATCCCCTTTTCTTCTTGGTTGCCGCTGGGGACAGTTTTTGTACAACCTACTGGCCATCTAACATCCAGCATGCGGATTGTGTGGTCAACGTGAGTAAGATTCCAAAGAGCAAATTGCTACTAGAAAAGGACCTTCAACATGGGCGAGCTCGCTTAATCCCCCAGATTTGCTCGGTGCTTTCCTCCTTGCTGACCCTAGGTGTTGTCAAATTCGGGGACCATACTATTAATATCAAATATATGGATCTGTCTTTTTGTTTGACCCCACCAAATGGTGTTTTGCTTTTGGTTTCCCTTTCAAGCCACCAAAAGGGGCACCCTCAAGAAAGACAGATACACAACCTCCTTGGAAATGATGGTCTTTCGGAGAGCAACTCTGAGCAAGTGAGCCAAAGGCCATGATGGGGACCGCGACAGCGGAGGTGATTGTTGCATGCTTGAATGGACGCGTGCCATTCTCAAAACTCCTTAAATGTGTCATGGTTCTGGCTTCCTGCCCACAAATCCTTGTGATTCTATGATCCCCATCCCTACGGATTCAGGGCTGCCTCCGTTTCGGAGAGCGCCGGCGAGATTGCAGCGACCTTGCACGAGGCGCAGAAAGCACACATGGGCGTGGCTCAAAACTAAAGACCTAGGGTTACGCATGCTTTAGTGTTCATTTCCATTTAGCAAGGTGCCACTGCTGTACGTTTTTGTGAGCCACAGCCCACAGCCACATGGAAGAGGGGGGAAACATGCGGCGTTACTGTGTTGCTTTGCCCCCTTGAGCAAAGGGTCGATCACGTTTTGTAGGTTTAATGGAACACTCATTTGGCTGGGCGTTTGTGTTTTTAAAGCACCCCCCCCCCCCCGAAAATGGTGCTTCTTCTGTTGGTCTCCCTTCAAAAAGTCCCCCCCCCCCAAAAAAAACAACAAAAACAAACACACACACACAAACAACAACACAAAACGGGTATCCTCAACAAACAAGGATTTTGCCCGTTTGTGTCGAAAAGGAGTTGGGCGACTTGGTCGGTAATTATGTTACCTGGGCCCCAAAGGTTCAGCTCGATTCCGTTGGTTGCACTACCGGGACTTGAGAGTTTGTGGCTTTGGTTGGAGCCCGGATTTGTCATTGGCAATGTTGGACCCTGACGCTTGGGCAACATTTGAGTGCGTAGACTAGCCGTTCATAGATTCACAAGAAAGCTAGAGTTAGCCGTGCAAACTGCTTGCAGCCTCATGAGCACTTCATGACGCTTCGCTGCGAACACACTGCCACCCATAGGAAGCATGGGATGAAACCAGCTGGCTGTGGGTCAAAACCAATGGTTCCATTTTGGGGTAGGTGCACAAATTTTAGAACCTATTTTAGCGGGGATTGGAATGTTCACTGGGGGTACGATTTGGATTTTGACCCATGGCCAATGGGAAACCAAACTTCCGCCCTCTCCGGAAAGTCTGCTCTGGGGCGGTCTGCCATGTGGGTCTTGCTGTTGCCGTTCAGGGCGTCGGTGAGAAGGTACGTGAGCTTGCTCTGCCTGGGCCAAGCGAAACATATGCTTCAACTAGGTCCTCCAGTGGAGAGGTTAGAATAAGTTGGTACCCGTTTTTTTTTTCCCCCTTTTTTTCTTCTTTTTCTTCTGTAGTCTACTTTAGTAGGGGACGCCTCCCAACCAAAAAAGGGTGAATGGGCCCTACTGGGGGACCTAGTCAAGCAACTCCGGAAAGCCCTGAAACGATCGAGTTTGGGCATGGGGTTGGCTTTAAGGCTCCCCAGTTCCAGTTGTCTAGACCCTTCCATGTTTGTCACTCCAAGAGGCGACTCCACCAAAAAAGCCCCCCCCCCCCCCAAAACAAAACAAAAACGGCAACCCCTGATTTGTGGCTTGGACAGGTGGATTGGATTTGGATTTGAACCCCCGATCTCCAGAGCTCCCTCAATCCACCCATTCTTCGCAGCTACACCAGCTTACCCTACCTCACGCGTGGGACGAAAAGGGCACCTCCAGAGCCGACACAGCCACAGACTCTCCTGAAGCGCAATGACTCACTAGTGCGATAAGTGGAGAATGTGGTTCAATGAACCCGGAACCCACCGAACAACTCGCTGGACTTGCTAGTGCAATAGGTAGGGAAGACCGAGTCCGGGTGTTGGGAATGAACCGGTTTTGGCCTGTTGGATGGTTTATAGGGCTGATTCCCTCAGAGACCCTGAGCACCAGCGAGCCTCTTTGCAACACCGGAGTGCAGCTCCCTTGTGCGTTTCGACGCGTCCAGTTGGCGTTGTAGCAGGTGATACAAACAATCATCCAGCAACGCCTAGAGGTACGAAACCTGGTTACCACTATAGCGGTAATTAATTGGACAGACTGCGGCAACTACTGTTACCAGGCCAAGGTCTTGCTGCCATGCTGGTCTTAATCTCTAATAGCTGGGCTGATGACCATCCCCAAGCAGGACTGTTATTGGCCAAATGCACCCCCATTGGAAGAGGCCGACCTTTTGCTCGTCCAAAGGAAAATGAAGGACACCCAAAAGGGCAAAAGTCGTTTTGACCACGGCAAGAAGTTGTTTCTTCATGGGCTACACCATGATCTTTCCGCTTTTGCAGGTTCCATAGGTTCCCTACCAACCCCAAGTAAAAACCTCAAACCTACGAACCCTACCAACCGGACCAGTCTTACCTTTTCTCTGGTCAGGTCCAACCCCCCAGAATCCTGGGCTTTAACTTTGGATTGCATGGAAACCAAAACCACTAAATCAACGAAGGTAAGCTAAGCTAAGACACCGAATGGCTGAGAGCCAAGAATCCCTGCCAAAATTCCACAGGGCATCAAACCCTGCAGATGTGTGACTTCCCTTTTCTGATGGACCCCGTTGAGGGGCCATCGAACCTCTTGTTGCACGGTGCTCGAAGGGAGCCAATTGCTGGTGCTCAGCAGGGTCGAGCAAATGACCCCTATAAAAATCATCCAACTGCTGGTTTCCTTTCGGATCGCGACGGGGTTCATTCAACCACATTCCCCACCTATCGCAAGACCAGGTTCCCTTCCCCCCCCCAAAACCCCGGCCACTTGAGCCACTTGCTCAAAACCGGGTACTTAAATGGCCGCAATCCCAGAACCAGGCTTCAAGAATTGGGAAGACGGATATCCGCAAATTATTTAAGTTGGGAGACGGATATCCGCTATTTAAGGCAAGGGGATTGTCCCACCTTCATCAATCCACGGGATTTGATAGCTCACTTGGCCCCTTCCAGCCCCCCGCCCAAGGCCCCCCTCCTTCCCTGGCCCCCCCAAGGCCCCCCCCCCTCCCCTGCCCCCTCCCCCCAGCTTGGCTTCCGCCTGAAGGGCACGTGCTTGAACTTCCCCTGCGCCAGCTTGGAGATCACCTGAGAACTCGCCATCGGAACATCGGACGAACGGGGCCAGTCTTGGGCAGCTGATATTCTAGCCGTACCTTCCCCATTTTCTTCAGGGATCCTTCTCTTCAAAAAATGGGTCAACCTCCTGGGAAAATGCGTGGCTTCTGAAGAGAACGATGTGAAGAGAATGGGGAATCAATCCGGTATGGCCACGGGTCATAACCTATGCCTCTATTTGGAGGCCGAACACCCATGTACCACTTATTTTGATCTCCAGGGGTACAGGGCTTTGACCCACTGCCATATGCACCTTATACTGGCTGAATCCTAATACTACCCAGAGGCTCCAATTTGGAGGGGTCGGGTCTTCCATTGAAAGGTCTAGGAGCCTCTGGGTAACGGAATATACGGCTTCCAGTCATCGACCGAATTCTTTGGGATAATATCAGCTGGCCCCGTGATTTTACCATCAAATGCATCCCCATTCAGTGGCAGGTTAAAGGGAACCCCGCCCCAATTTGCTGACTTTGATAATCCCAAAAAACCGTCAAACATAATAACCCCCACTCCATATACCCGCTTTTTGAAGGTATGAGGTCAACCTGGTTTTTCAAAAAGTAGCCTAAAAAGAACCTAAACAATAGGTATTTGGAGTAGAGTTGTGTGGATTTATTCTTCCACCAAATTCCAAAGCTGGATCCTTTTCACGTGCATTGGGGAATATAGGGACTTCCTCCTTTTTGTTGGTTGACTTTTGAAGGAAGACCCAACGAAAAGAAAGAGCAAGCAAAGAAGCATTTCACCTCTTGGTCTCTTCCCCAGCAGCAACTGGGCCCAAAGCAACGCCTTTGAAGTTTCGGCCCAGGTTCCAGGCAGGTGAGCCCTTGAACCCTGGGGACACGAAACATAGTTTGGATTCGGTTGCGAACCCAGGTGGAAGGGGCACCAACCTGGAGATCGGCAACAGCACAGCTTTAAACGATCCGTTGGGGCACGAATGCTGTGGCCGGCTTTCGTGAGCCTGAAACATGAAAAAATTGGGCGGCTTGGGACCAATTCAATGGGGCCACGGCGATTCATCGGCGCCACTAAGGTTGCAGCGCAAAGACTCTTTGCGACCGAAGGAAGCAAAGAAGGCCTGCTGAGTAGGCGGCTATCCACTTTTGTAGTGGACCAACTGGGGCCAAATGGATTTCGAAGCAGGAGGTGCTAATCCCTTACTAGCGATCACCTCCCATATGATAGGGACATCGTCATATTCTAGAAGGTTGCAATGGCCATTTCGGTCACACCTAGCAAGACGCATGGGAACAAGGCTCCAAGCACCACCTCCATTGTGGCTCGTTCGTTCCTGCCGTGCTGAAAGTGGAGCTTGTTGTGGGAGATGCGGTAAATTCCTCTCTAAAGTCTAAAGCCCAACTAGGCCCTTGAGTGGAGAGCTTAGAATAAGTTGGTACCAACTTGTTGCTGTAGTCTAACCCTCCCCCAAAAAAGGGTAAAAGGGCACTACTGGGGGACCTAGCCAAGGGTATTGCTGGGCAAGCCGCTTGCCGGCTTTTTCGCTCGCTGTCCGGGATTCCCCCCACTCTCCCCATGCTCCAATCCCCCCCTCCTCCCCCCCCTCCCTCCCCCCCCGCCCTCCCCCAGCCCCCGCCCCCATGCGCCCACCCCCCCGCTCCCCCCTGTGCCCTCCGCCCTGGCCGCGTGCAACTCTCTGAGGTTGGCACCTGACCCAGGACACTCAGCGAGCTGTTGATGTTCTGACCCTCGCGCATGCGTTGACCTGGCGACTCCCATGGGGTTTTGCCCCCGGGCCACGTCGGTGCCGGGTGAGCAAAATCGACAAACAAAATGGGACTTTGCAGTACATGGGTACCCATATGCCATGCCTAGCAAGGGGTCCAACAGTGTTTTATGTTCCCACTCTATCCTGCAAAAGGGGAAAGGGGGGAATTCCGACTATGAATGGCCATAAAGGGCTCTAAACACTAAAGAGCGACATCGTTCTAGTCCCAACAAAAGAGGCCCACCATATAAAGCAACAAAAGAGGGAAATGGGACACGTTTGAAGATCCCAGTTGGAATTTACCCATTCAACTGGTCTTCAACCTCCATTCGATTAATGATGGAGCACCCTGGAGATTTTTTTTGATTTCCAGTATTGATAGATTCCCGTTAAGACCAAGATGGCAGAACACATTTCTTAAGCACATGAAAGTCAGGTGGATTGATCTATAAGCCCGGAGAAATGGCGGTACTCGCAAAGCTTCCCCCCTTCTGAAAGTAGCTGCAAGAAAGCTGGGCATGCATTGTGCACTAAGTTGCAGGGCACCCCGGAGTTGCCATGGCTTGCTTTGAGCACATTGCCGAGCACGTTGAAGGTGAGACGTCTCGGCGTTCTGTAGCCCCTCCCCCTCCGGAAGATTTCTCGACCCAGTTCCGCTTCGCGTTGATGACTCTCTGTCCGAACTGATCGCCTGTTGAAAGCTTCACTTTGCAGGTGTTCAATGGACACACCTACCAAACCAACGCAAAATCCTGAAAACCCCCAGACGGGAACCACCAATAAGTCAATGACCGTTCATTCCAAATGACATCTACTTCGTGGCGAACGGGGAAAGCGCTTCAAAGAAGCTCGGACCAAGCGTTATCGGTTCAGCAAGAAAGGGGCCCATTTTTGGACCTGGGCATCCTGTATTCGGCACAATTCCCCTATTAGTCATACCCTTCCAGGAACAAAATATGCACCTGTCTTTCAAATAGGGTTACAACAGAGTCCAACAGGCAACCGGGTGGATGTTACAAAAAAACAAAACAAATGGGTGTATTTTCTAGGTTGGACCCCACACACAATTTCCTTTGGGTTTCCAATTGAAACCACAAACAAGGTTTTACCAACTGCAACAAACAAATCACACTCATCAAATGGTTTTCGGGTTGCCCTTGTGGTCCTCTTAAAAAACAACAAAAAAGAAAAACGACGCCGATCTTGGGGCAGCGCGCCTGCTGCCCCACTCTTCTTCACGCGCTCACTCCCCGCCAGGTCAATCAGGTTCTAAGCGGGGCGGAGTCACCCCTTGTCACCCAAAAAGGTGTCCTTTTTGGGGGCGAAAAGGTAGAGTCGTAGTATTAAGTTGCTCGGCGAGAAAATAAAAGGAGTGGTTTCAACCTTTGCCAGTGGGCCTGTGACGTGTCATGGAGGGCCACGGAAGGGTGAACAACACCTCTTGAAAAAACAAAAAACAAAGCACTTTAACATGACAGTACTTTTGTGGGGCCTTAGCCATTTCGACCTTTCTCAAACTAATGGATCATCTTTCTTAACAGTCGCACATGACCAAGACAATGTTTTTCAAGGAGCGTTGCCGCAGACTTTGCCATCTCACCATGCCAGTTACACAGTCGTTTCCCCGGTTAGGTCTTTCAAAAGGCTTCCTAACCACCAATCAAATATGGGGACACCCCTTCCTGTTGGAAGCACCCAACTCCTCAAATACTTGGTTTCGCCGTAGTTTCCAGATTCGAACGACGCTCAGGGTGCCAACTTTACACAATCCCAAACCCCAAACAAAGCACCCCCCCCCCCACCCAAACAGAACCCTCGTCGGTCGTGTTGGGATTGGGGACCCCTCCTTTCTTCGTGGTTTGGCCCAAAAACTTGATAGGCAGGGAATGAGAAAGGGAATGCGTTGCGTGACCCCCAGAAAAAAAACCATCCACCCTAATGTTGACCCCATATTGTGGGGATTCATCACTTTTGAAGGGGAACATCCCCTATCAAAAAACTGTTGTTGTTTTTTCTTCTAAAAACAGGTCAACATTCTGGTTGTCATTAAAAAAAGTCCCCAAAACCGGTTCATCCCCCTGGGTCAATGGTCCTGCCCTACCTATCGCGGATCGTGTTCCAGGAGCCCGGCACGCAACTACAAAGAGTACGAAACGAAGTCTAGCTCCTCCAGTAGAGAGGATAGAATAAGGGTACCAACTAGTAGGGGAACCCTCCCAACCAAAAAAGTTTAAAAAAGGGCACCTAGCTGGGGGACCCAGTAGTCCTTGACCCTGGGCAACACCAAACCACGCCCTTGGGGTCAGCGCCAACGTGGAATTCCGGATGCGCGTCCGGAACTCGTCCTGACGAGGGCTTTTCCCACTGGGGATTCGACGTCGGGTGTGCGAAAAGAAAAAAAGGAAGAAAAAAAACAAAAAACGGGGGACCCAGGCACTTGGACAACATTCAACTCTAGGATGTGTTGAGTTGTTGATGTTCTTTTGCTTCTTTAATTGTTTGTTTAAACAGCAACAAGTTGGTCATCATGCTTGTCAAGGGCAAGGATATAAGATAATCCAAAATGTTGGCAACAGGGTGGGTTTCTTGGAACGAGCATGGGAATACTCGGGTTCTGCTGGGAAATGCACTGAGTCTCCCACGTCTCTCCGAAATTCACCACATTTTGACCAAACCCTCGTGTGGCGTCCGATGCTCTGTACGAAAAAAAAAAAAAAACGGTGTCTTCTTGGCCTTCGCAAAGCTACGGCCAAACTTGGTCGATCGGCGTCTTGAGAGTGATCGGTGGGCCCCGTTAAAGGAAAACCAAACGAATTGTTGTTTAGGTTGATATTGTTCAACCAAGTGGGCGTGTTATTTTTGCGGGTACCCTCTTTTGGTTTGGGTTTAAAGGGAAACCAACATGGACTACACCCAGTTTGGGGCGATCCATACAAAAGGGACACACCCATGTTCGAAGTTTAAACAAGGGCCTGCAACTCGCTATTTGCTTTTTTGCATTGAGATGCGTGTGTCTCGCAACAGCAGCTCCTTGATCGGGAAAGTGATGCGCAAGATGAAGAGCGCGTGACTGCGGGAGGACCTGGCTATGGAACGCTTTCCAACATGCTGGGGCCTATGTACATATGTGTATGTACATATGTATATATATATATACTTTTCGTCTATATCTATAGACCTGACACTCAATATGTGTATATATATATACACGTATTATACATATATATGCCTATATTGTGCATATGTGTAAACACATGTGCACGTGTATAATGTGATACACTATGTGTATATACATATATACATGGGGTCCCATTCTAGGAGCCAAACAGTTTGAGCAAGTAAGAAACACATGTTCCTTCGTGCTGATTCTCGAAGATTCCCGGACTGCCAGAATTCTCGTACCCAGAGGATCCCGATTGATTTAGGGCCTTCAAACAACCTGGTTTTCAGACCCAACCACCTCCGGGGTGTCTAATGCTTCGGGGTCGGGTCTTCCATTGAAAGCCGAAGCCAGGAGCCTCTGGGTATGGAGGTTGAAGTTAGGGGAGCAAAAGTTCAAATTTTAGCAGTTAAGTAGTTGGATTTCAACCATTAAACCACAAGAAGCCAAAATGTAAAATGTTTCCCAACAACAACCATGCAGAATTCTCGTATGAGTTGAGTGGCACCAGCTCTGGCCGGCCGCGGTGGCCAAAGCTGACAGCCAGTCCTTTTTGAGCTGCCAACCAGGTCCTCCAGTTTTGACAGGCTTCTGTTTGCCAGGTCCTGTTTGAGAATCTTACAGGCTCGGTGATTCTCCACCTCCAGTAAGGAGTGATACTTTTAAGTAGTTCGGGTTGTAACCCGCCCTTTTGGAAGAACAAGGCAAGCCGGAATCCGAGGAGCGATTGCAAATGAAACCTTTGATCTGCGCTCTCTGCCTAAACAAGCTCAGCCAACCTGAGAACTTGTTTCAGAACAAAACTCGTGTGTGAAGAAATAGAACACTTAAGACAGGTCCGTCACGAAATACACGTGCTGCCGCAGAAGCAGCGACTTGGCCGTTTCTCGTCTTCCCGATGTGATTGACCAAGCAATAGATGCCTACACCTACCCGCGTAGTGTTTTGGATCCACTTGAATTGTTCGCGCCGCTAGCCTTTTTTGATGACTCTTGGTGGCAGCTAAACGTCTATGCCGCACGAGCTAGGCACAGAGGCGCCGTGAAAACGAGGGCAACTGATTCAGCACATGCCTCCGGCTGTGCTGCTTCACTGACACACACACACACACTCACAGCCAGCTTCTTGCAGTTGCGGGGCCTGCACTGGAAAATGGCAAAGCCACCTTGCACAAGTGGGGTTGCCCACGTGAGGGTTGCTCAAATGAGCAAAGCCCCAACACAAAACAGTGTTAATCTACTTCGTCCATTTTGCCTTACTAACAAAAACAACAATATACACTTTCAGGAACTCAGGTGAAGTAATTGGATCATCACTGACCCATCTTACTTGGCCGCCTGGGCTCATTTGCAACCCCCCAAAAAGAATTAAAGGACGCTTTGTAAGGGGCCTGAGAGTGAGTGGCCTTTGACTAGTTGGTAACCCCCTGTTTAGAAGAACAACCCGACCCATTACTTGGCTTCGACAAAAACGACGCGACTAACACCACCGCTCAGCTGCAAGTTGGGCAACCCTCTGACCTCTCTCCTTCCTACTTGGGTGCTCTGGGATCTGACCTGAATCATCGCCAGCCTCACCGCGCAGTTTGGGAAACCCTGCGGATTGTGCACAGTTTCACAAACGAAATATATGTTCACATGCACGCATATTGCAGCTTGTTTGGTTTGTTTACGAACACAACGTCATCACATATTCATACATGTATAGGTATATGGGTATGTTTGAAAATGAAGGTTCCTTTCCGCTGAGTGCGGAAGGCAAGATCATACGTCCGGCTCCAACCGGAAAAAAAAGCGATTCCCATCTGTATATATGTATATGTATATATGTGTATTGTGTTTTGCACAGGAATACATTTCTTTGACCTTCCTGTAGTGGGAAAGCAATCTATCCTTCGGATCAGCCATAGACCTTCGCAACCAATTTGGTCAACTCAAGGGACACCCAAAGGGCAGATAGTTTGAAGCAAAAGAACGCCAAGTCTGGGATGGACCAGCCATGATCATTCCCATGCAGAAACCCACGGAGAACCAGTTTAATGAAACAAACAACGCTTGTAGGGCCCAAGTCAGGCAAGGTCCTGAGCTTTTGCCCAAACTGCAAAAGAATCATTTCAGCACGAACTTCTCCACAAAGTACTGGTGGATGCCTGCAGACAGCGGCTTTTTGTTGGTCTCCAGAAAGAACAACTAGACATACGCGAGGAGCTCCCCAGCCGACTGTCCAAAAGTGGCTACGCACGCCTACGGGCGTGCAACAACATGCCTACGCGGGGCCTGATATGTTCACTCTCCTTTTGCCCCCTTACTACTATTACAAAAAAACAAACTCCGCTCTAAAAGAGTTTATTCGTCCACCTAACATGGAACCCACCAGCGGGTCCCTTTTAGTCTTGCGAAGACAGGCTCCCAGTCTTTTTTAGTGGGGATGGGGATGTTCCCCGGAGGTACGGGGTTTTGGCCCATGACCATATGGGTGCATTTCGAATTGAGGCTTTGAGGATACCCTTGGTGGGGTTTGTTTCAAGGAACACCGACACATGTTTGGGGTCTGATTTGAGACACAACTCTATACAGTACACAAACGTTCAGGGTGAATTCAAAGACCCTGCTAACAGGCCAATCTTTGTGTGGCAAAACCTGCAACGCACTTGTGATCTCCAACATCCGCATGCGAGCTGGTTTGGCTAAGACAAAACTAGCACATCTCGCTCAGCCGAGCTTCATCAACTGCATCGTGATGTCGCCCGAGTTATTGGCTCAGGTTGAGTGTCAACATAGGTTCAGGATTGTTGGACATACACAGGGACCACTCAGCTGACAGCAGTTGCTTATTGCATTGTCCCGTGCACACACAAGTTCGCAAAGATTCAAGAGCTATTTCGCAACTGTTACTCGCCTCAATTGCTTTAATTCATGGCTTTTCGGTTGCTTTGACGATAATGGGTACCTTGCTCAGATTGTAAAATGGACTGGGGCTCAAATCCCCAAGCCAAGACTCCCCCAGACTAACATGGAAATCCCAGAAGGCTTCTGTAAATGGAATCAAGTCTTCCAAAGGGGTCCTGGGAGCTTCAATGTTAGTCTGGGGGAGGGTACAACCAAGAATCTGCAAATAGTTAGACGTTCGCCAGCTCAACAAATGTGATTAAGTGTATTTCAATGCACCTTGCCACACTTCCGCAGTCTCGCTCAAGCGTCGAGTATGTGAAGTCACGAGTTGTGTTTCAGCCCTGGGATTACCTTGCTGGAGCGATAAGCAAACAATGGTAAATGGAATGACGCTTACCTTTCATCCAACTGTTGGTTTCCTTTGTTCGGGAATCCCAAAACGGTTCATTCCCACATTCCCCACCTATCGCACCAGCAAGTTATGCTGGGATGTGACCCATGGTCCCGGCTTTGGACAACGCGGGGCCCATCCCCCTTTTGGGTCAAAGAAACCTTCTGCAAATGTCAGGCACTTTAGGCCTTTCAGAAATAGAAACGGCAGTGGCAAACAAAAATCGCCAGCTGAAACCACGTTCGCTTCATCTATCTTTAACTGAACAAAAAACACGACATTGTCGCTCAGACAATGTCCCCTGGATTCGCGGATTGTCTATTGGCCGAATTGCCAACCGCAACCAAGATGCGTGGGTCGTTGGTGAGTTCCGGATGGAAGGTCGTCACCAGGATTTGACTCGGAGCATCCAAAGATGCACCCGGAAAGCAATCACAACTTGCTGCGATAAGTAGAATAAGAGTTGGAATGGACACCACCAGTTGGATGGTTCAAATTCGGGGTCATGAGCCATTTTTCATTCCCCTATCGCATTTCACATTCCCGTCAATGCGTGGTTGGAGCTTGGCATGGGACATCTTCCACATGTTCACATATCGGGAACTTCCCAAGTTGGATGTGATATGCCGAGGGTGCAAAACCAATGGTACCATTTTGGCATAGGTGCACCACCCATTTTAGTGTATTTTAGTGGGGATTTCACTGGGGGTACGGGGTTTTGACCCATGGCCATATGGTTGAATATGTGACATGGGAACACATAGACAAATCTTCTAGCGTCCCTATCCAGAACTCCGATCGGTAGCTCTGAAAGGCTCTCATGTTGATAATTCTAGCCTTAGCTCCCTTCCAAAAGGCAACTGTCGTATTCTTCCATTTGCGTTTTGTTTTGCCCGGAGAACACCATGAGCAAATACTTCCAGTAGTGAGCTCGACTCCCTTTGAAAACCAACAAGGGGAAAGAACACATATTCATTTCAGCAAATGGACTCTTTGTTGCTGGTGACCCCCCCTGCAAAGAGCTTAGCTTGTTTTTTTGGTGTTCCGTGTCCAGCGTCAAGAAATCATCTGACAAAAATCGTGTCGGAGAACTTCAAAAAGCTCCGAAAGGCTCCACTAGAGGCAAATGTTGATATCCCTAGCCATCAACCAGCTAA